CACATCATGTAGACCATTTAATCTCCATAATGAATTTTTATTTGCTTCAGCACCTTGCTTAAGAAGATTAAGCATGTTGAGGTCGTAACATTGGAACTTTTTAACTCCAGTAACCATGTCACTTTTGGCAAGCTTGTGGCTAGAAGGATAACAGAGCTCGCCATTTGGTCCCAAACCCATTGAGATTCTCTGAAAAATCACAATATAGAAACCATTAGCATTAGTACACCAAAAGATGGTCAAGACATTGGCTTATTTGATCAAGTTATTTGAAGGCAAAGCCTTTTATCGTGATTATAGAACCAATAAAATGTGAGAATACAGACTTAAACATCTCACAGAAATTCTCGTAAACTTGAATTAGAGTCTTTCCATTAAGAACAGCGGATCATTAGCCACTTGATCAATGCAAACTTAAATTGAAATGTGTTGTTGGGGTCATCCTTGGCCAACCAGTTGTTATGCAACCTTATCTTTCATCAATTGATGCACTTGTAACTGCTTGACTTCTAAGGACTGAAGGCCAATGTGTTGCTGATGTTATGTTTGGTGACTATGGGTTAACCAAATGATCTTGTTAACATTTTCATTTTGAAAGATTTTGGATTTGAAATTTTTATGTTGGTCTACTTTGTAATCTACACTGATTGCATGTTAGATTGAATTGTATTTGATAAGTTTAATATATATTGATAGGATTTTTACAATGATAATGGCTCTTACATGTACCAGCAAACTTATGGTTATATGCCATATGGGACGTATTCTATTCCTAGTCCACCTCTTCCTTACTATGTGGCATGATGTTCAATCACATGCACTGTAAACATTTAACAAAACAAATGAGACTTTTATTTTTTACAACAATTCTTTAAGGGAAATAATTTTGAAGAAATAAAGGGGTTTTAGGTTTCGAGAGGGAGTTACCTTAAATGGGTTTTGAAAAAAATAAAGAGGAACTGAGAAGCTTAAAGAAACACAGCACGCCATTGAAAGTAGGGTTGGTAACGGGCCGGGTCTGGGTGGGTTTTTGCTCGCCCCAAACCCGACCTGACTTCATATCCGTCAAACTCGACCCCAACCCGACCCAAATTTTTTAAAATTTTTTTATTCTCGAACCCGATCCAACCAAACCTGAAATTAATAAAATATTATTTTTTAAATATAAAATATTATTTTTTAAATATAAATATTTAAATATATAATTATATAAATATATATAAATAAAAAATATTTTTATATAATATCAGATCGGGTTGGGTTTGTTTAAAACCTGAACCCGACCTCGTCTTAGCACTACCAGACCCAACTCGATTTGAAACCCGATTTAAAAAAAAAAACTCTATTATATGGGCTCGGGTCGGGTCAAAACTCGTCGAGGACGGGTTGGGTTGCCCACCCTAATTGAAAGCTTTAGTTGAAGAATCGTTAGAGAGGCTTCTGGGTTTAAAGGATAAAGAAAAATGATGCTTCTAAGAAAAAATTACTTAAATTACTTTTCATTTGGATTTGGTTTTAAATTGAGATGAGGTAATATAGGAATAAGAATTTCATTAAAATTTAAATTAATTTTTCATTTATAATTTAAAATTTTAGATAATTCAATCATTTTTTAAATATATATTTTTGATAAATAATTCAAAATTAGTAAAAATCTTATGTATCATTTTAAAGAAAAATTTTAAGAATTTTCTTACATGTCAAAAAATGAAACCGTCCATGTAAACATCCATGTCAATAAATTTTATCAAGTAACTATGTATGTTGTAATATAATATATATATATATATATATGATATAAATGTGAAGCCGTAATTATAGAATAAGAAAGGTTAAATGTTTAATTTAAGATAAAATATTTAAGTGATTATTTAATTTAAAATTAAATATTTATTTTATATAAATAAAGATAAACGTTATTAACTTATAATAATGTAAGATTTTTTTAATAAAATTGAAAAAATGCACTACAAATGCTGTTAACTCAAATGAGATATTGAATTATTAAACACACATGTTCTATTTGTTGATGTGACAAGTCAATGGGGTATTTTTTACTAATGTGATAATATTATTATTCACGTATTTAAGATAATAAAATATCAATTTAAATCATAATTTTTAAAAAATCTAATTTAATTAATTAACTTTTTAAAAAATTTGATCTCAATTTTTTTCATCAAATTGCCACCTTTGAAACTCTTCTAAGAGTCAACAACTTTTCCTTCTTTGCCTTGTTTGTTTCCCATAAAAAAAAATCTCAATTATTTTCAATGTTTTTGTCTTTCTTCTTCCTCTAAGTTTTCAAATCAACAAAGACTTATTAGTCTAAATACTACCAATCTCATTCCCAGTATTTGGATTTGGAAAATCATAAAGGTTCAATCTTGAATTAGAGTTACAAAACTTTGAATCAACCAAAGATTCTTTTCATCTTCATCCATTGCAGAATAAAGGTTATTTTGATTAAAGGTAAGATCACTTCTTTCTTAACCAAAACCTTAAGAATAGAAAATTTGGGGAAAAGGGGTTTTTGGCTTCAAAAATTGGGCTTTTTTCTTATAAGTGATTTCAAAATTAGTGTAGCCTTGTTCAGTGAACTTATCTTCTAAAATCACAAGTTTCAGCTTAATTTGACATTCATGATCAGTTTGATTTTGTTGTACATTTAGAGAAAATTCAAAACCTTAACTCTTTTATTTTTGTGATTTTTTTTTTGTTTTTAATAATTTTTGTACATCAAGTTGGAATTGTTTGTGTTATATTACTGGACAACTCTTTTTTGTGTTGGAATCATTTCTTTTTTGCCTTGCTTTGTTGCCTTCAAAATCAATTTCTGGAAATAATCCTAATCAAATATGAAGACAAACTATATCATTTTGGTATTTTTTTTTAAGTAAGAAATTAGAAAATAAAGCCAAAAAAAATTAAAATATTTTTAAAATTTGAAAATCTTCACATCATTTTTATCTATTACTTTTTTCAAATTTTATGGCGGGTGTATTCGATAATCATATTTTCATCTAAAAAGGTTTTATATTATTATAAGTCAATAACATTTAATCTTTATTTCTATAAAATAAAACATTTAGTTTTGAACTAAGCAACCAAGCAAACAACTTATTCTAAAATTGAACATTTACTCTATAAGAAAACTTATCAAACCATGTTGACTTTTTTTTTAGGAGAAACACCTAGAAATGCTATGTGGTTACTTGAATATAGTATTTTTTGGGTTAAATATAAAAATGACTTATGTATTATATACTATTTATCAATTTGGTACCAAAGAAATAAAATGATTAATTTTATACTCCAAATTTTATTTAGTTATCTATTTTGGTACTTCGTGCTAATACTATTAGTCAATTTATTGATGTAACATGAATATCCAATAATATATTGATATGTGTCAAAAATTCAGTTAACACCATATTATCAATTGTGTTGTCAATATTAAAAGAAAATTTTTAAAATTTTTCTAAGAAGTTCAAATAAAATTCTAAATAATTTTTAAATAAATCTAATTTTTTAAAATTAGAAAAAAAATTTAAAACATGCAAAATATTTTTAAAAATTATATAAATTGAAAACTATGAAAATTTAAAAAATTCAAAAAAAGAAAACATTTTAATAAAAATAAAATTTTCTAAAATTAAAAAAAAAGATTGACAAAAATGAAAAAAAAAAAATATATATATATATAATTTTTTGAAAAGTTTTAACAATTAAAAATTATGATTTTTTTGAAAAAAAATTTGAAAATTTAAAAAAAAAATATAAAATTATTTAAAAAATTAAAAATTAAAAATTTGAAAATAAAACAAAACTTAAAAAATTTAATGAACGTTCAAAAAAGTTTTAAAAATCCAAAAAATTCAAAAAATATTTAAAAAAATTAAAAATGTAAGATTCAAAAAATTGAAAAATTTAAAAAACTTTTTTACAATTTTATTTATTTTCAAATTTTTAATTTTTTTGAATCTTTTTTGAATTATAAGAAATTTTTATTTTTATTAAAATTTCAAAATTTGAAAACTTTAGAATTTTTTTGGTTTTTTATTAAAATTTTGATATTTTTTGACTTTTTTAATTTTTCATAATTTTTAAAAATATTTTAGACTTTAAAAAATTTAGAATTTCTTAAAATTTTAAAATTTTTTTTAATATTAGTGTGATAATTGATGATGAAACATTAATTAAACTTTTAGATACGTATCAATATCTCATTAGATATTCATACAATGTCAATAAATTGACTGATAGTATTAATTTTAGATATCAATGTAGATGATTAAATGAAATTTTGAGTGCTAAATTGATGTTTTATTTCTTTAAGTACTAAATTAAAATATATATAATGAATTATTTTTTTATTTAACCTTATTTTTTTCCCTTCTCTCTCGTGATCTTATACATATTGGAAATATATAACATCTCACATTTTAAAGAGTGCATATGCCACAGATAAACATATATGTATATATATATATATATATATATATATAGGCATGATGTGCATGTTGTAGATAAAATACGAATAAAAAAAATAGGATATGTTATATTGTACAAAATTTTATTTAAATGAATGGCTTTGGCCTAGTCTTCTGAAAATTAAACAAGATAAAATAACACAAAATAAAATTGTCGATGCCGCAACATTTTACTACCATCTCCACCAACGCATTGGCATTGAAAATTTATCAAGTCTTTCCTGTCCCCAATAATTTCGTATTATTCTTTGTGACTGAGAAAAACGTAACAATTTAATAATAATTTATCGATAAAATATTAAAATTTTATTTTTAATAGATACGACTTAATCTTAGCCGCCTCAATTTTTATTAAATAAATTATTTAATTGTCAATAAAATATTAAATTATTAATTTTAATAGATAAGACTTAGCCGCCACAATTTAAAAAAAAAAAAAGGGATCATTGACTGGTGCCACCTCACTGGGAAAGCATTGACAAATAAATTAAGTAGTGATGGATGGAAATTGAATTTGCTAATTAAAATCTTATTCAAACTCCAGTTGAAAGCCAGAATTATAGGAATTAAAGTCAAGATGAGTTCACTGCCAGAACAACAACAACTTCCATCAAAGGAAGAGATGGATTTCTTGCAGGCTGTTCAAGTTGCTACATCAGCAGTGCTCCCTTTTGCCTTGAAAACTGCCATTGATCTTGATTTGTTAGAGATCATAGCGAAAGCTGGTCCAGGTTGTATGCTTTCTCCTGCTGAGATAGTCTCTAACCTTCCTGCTAACAACCCTGATGCTCCGAATATAATTGATCGTATCCTTCGAGTTCTTACTGCTCATTCAATTTTAGCTTGCAATCTTGTTACTGATGAAGATGGACACACGAAAAGGTTATATGGTATAACTTCAGTTGGCAAATACTTCCTTCAAAATGAAGATGGAACTTCTCTAGCTCCAATGCTAAAACTGGTCCAGGATAAACGTTTAATCGAGTGTTGGTTAGTCATTTTCCTTCTAATTTTCCATGAGAATTTATGGGATTTGTTGCATTTATGTGTTCATCATCTCTAACCTTGAGTATCTTGTCAATATGTATAGGAACCTCTTTAAGGAAGCAACATTGGAAGGTGGATTATCATTGGTCAGGGGATTTGGGATGGACTTGTTTGAGGTGGTTGCAAAAGATAGAAATTTAGCCAACACTTTCAACCAATTGATGTCAAACCACACTACCATAGTCATGAAAAAAATTTTAGAAATTTACAAGGGATTTGAGGGCTTAAGTCAAGTGGTAGATGTGGCTGGGGGATTGGCAACAAACCTTAAGCTGATTGTTTCTAAGTATCCACATATTAAGGGAATTAACTTTGATTTGCCCTTTGTTCTTAAGGATGCACCCAATATCCCAGGTAATCTTAAAAGTATTGATTCAAATTTATTGACAAATTTCTCCAAAAATACTTGATAAAAAGGGAAACTTTGTTGTTTTCCTCAAGGCTATCAGGATTTGAACTTGGTACATAAAATTAATTAAAAGTCCAGCATTCTATCAACAAGCCATTCGACTGTTGGCTTGCTTTCCCTTTTTTTGTGTTGGAAGAACCGTATTTCGATGTTTAAATTTTCCTTATTTAATTTGATAGCTTTTGTATTCTTTTCCTAATGTTAGGTGTGGAGCATGTAGGGGGAGATATGTTCACCAAAGTTCCTCATGGAGAAGTGATTTTCATGAAGGTTAGCTATGAAAGTTGAAACCATCAAAAGTACTGCCAAACATACATTTTGTTATATATTCAAAATTGATAAAGAAATGTTCTTTTTTCCCTTTTGTAAAAATCTGGTTTAGTGGATACTTCACGATTGGGGAGATGAACAATGCTTGAAGTTATTGAGAAATTGTCATGAAGCAGTAGCAGAGAATGGGAAAGTGATATTAGTAGAATCCATAGTGCCAGAACTGCCCATGACTGACCTTGTCACAATAGCAACAGTTAATCTTGACTTGGGCTTGCTCCAACTGGTCCCTGGTGCAAGGGAGAGAACAAAGAAAGAGTTTGAGAAATTGGCAACAGAAGCTGGATTCACTACTTTGAAACTTGTTTGTCGTGCTTATAACTATTGGGTGATGGAATTGTACAAAATATGAACTACTTACAGCAATAAAATCTTCAGTCTAAGTTTGATCAATTCACACCCATGTTTTGAATTTTCCCATAAACTTTGAATAAAGGGATGTTGCATATGTCACGGGCTGAGACTTACGCTTCGACCCACATAGCTTTCGAACTTGGGTATCTATTCTTCCGACGCCCCTGATCAGCCTGATTACTACGATTCACACTATTGTGAAGTATTATCCGTTCTGACCCTCCTGGTCTTACAATTTTGTCCTATAAAAGGTACCTCACAAGGAAGAGATGGTGTGAACTCTTTTATATCTCAGTGACCCTCCTTTTATGTTCGATGTGAGATTCAAAACTCCTCTTTAAGGCCGTGACATTATCTCTCACCCAATCTCGTGACACCCTCATCACGGAGGCTGATCACCCTCCTTACCTCCTTCGATGTGCTTGATGTGGATCGAACGGTTTAGGACTGACTCTGATACCACTTGTCACGGGCCGAGACTTAAGCTTCGACCCGCATGACTCCCGAACCTGGGCATCTATTCTTCCAGTGTCTCATATCAGCTTGACTGCCATGGTTCACACCCTTGTGAGGTATTGTCCGCTTTGACCTCCCATGACCTCATGATTTTATCCTACAAAAGGTGCATCATAAGGAAGAGATGTTGTGAACCTTTTTATACCCCAATGACCCTCATTTTATGTTTGATGTGAGATTCATAATTCTTTCTTAAGTCCGTGACACATACATATAACCATGGGCATATGGTTATCATGTTCTAATTAATAAAGTTTGAATGTGATAGGGGCATTTTTGGTTTACAAGAAAATAATAGTATTTTACTGTAAAAGAGTGGCACACAATTGAATCAAGATTATTTTGGTTATTTGATTCGAATTGATGTGATGGGCTGCATTGGTGTGGCAAATTGAATACTTCATCCATGTTAGCCTAACAAGTCACCAGTCCCCAAAATATAAATATTCCCTCACTCTCTCTAGGTAAGAGGGTCAATTCTTTTTTTTTTTTAATTTTTTTTTTATCTCTAAGCTAATCCTCTTTTCATTTATAACTTGAACGTGGTAGTACAAATACCGAAAACAATTCCAACCTTTACCCTTAATCAATCTTATATTTGTGATTTTAGATTTTTGCCCCCAATCAAGGCCTAGCACCAAATCAGAATGCTTGGAAAAAACAATAAATTAAATTTGAATGCAAATCTTTGAAATTTCTAAATTTAATAATGAAGGATGGGCCATCTTTATCTTTTCTTTTTCTCTAGTCAAACATCAGTAGTTAAACATTAATTTTACTAATTAATTTGATAAACAATAAATTAAATTTGAATGCAAATCTTTGAAATTTCTAAATTTAATAATGAAGGATGGGCCATCTTTATCTTTTCTTTTTCTCTAGTCAAACATCAGTAGTTAAACATTAATTTTACTAATTAATTTGATAACATCATGGTGTGGTGTAGAATGCTTGGAAAAAACAATAAATTAAATTTGAATGCAAATCTTTGAAATTTCTAAATTTAATAATGAAGGATGGGGCCATCTTTATCTTTTCTTTTTCTCTAGTCAAACATCAGTAGTTAAACATTAATTTTACTAATTAATTTGATAACATCATGGTGTAGAATGCTTGGAAAAAACAATAAATTAAATTTGAATGTAAATCATTGAAATTTTTTAAATTCAGTAATAAAAGCTGGACTATCTCCATTTTTTCTTTTTCTCTAGTCAAACATTAGTAGTTAAACATTAACTTTAGTAATTAATTTGATAACATCATGATGTGGCCAGGAGAGCCTTGCCATGCCATGTACTCATGATATTGTTGAGAATACTAACTCAAATCCTATAACAAATTTATTTGAGATTGATTAGTTATTACTGAATAGATAAAAAGACTTATAGAAGAAGAATTCTAAGAGAAAATAAATTCTTAATAGGCAACTTTAACTTGCAGAAGAATTCTAAGAGGAAAATGATTCTTAATAGGTAAGTTTGTATACTTATAAATAGGTGACGTCTCTATAAGGTTAGTTATGAAAAAAAATGTAAAAGAGTTATATGATTTTATAATATAGATATCCCATAAGACTACTAGAGATTTAACGTCCTGATGGGTATGTATGTTTGAATAGACTACAGGAGAATGAGATAGTATAAATAGGTATAGTGATGTGAATATTTATGAATGGACTAAAAGAGACTAAGAGGATTTACATAGATATGGGTGCATGAGTGTATATGATTTTGTGTTTATTTGGGTTGAAAATATTTCATAGGAATAGAGGAAATTAAGAGAGCCTATGGGTATTGATTATTGAGTGAGATTGATTTGATATATGTTTATAATTCTCAATAATTAGTGGATCTTGTTTCTCATTTATGAATGTAGGTTGATTATATCGAATCATGTTAAATTGTTATTTTTTATATCATTAATTAATTATTTAATTTTGTTTTTGTTGATATAATTAGATTAGAATTTTTTGATCTAACAGAAATGTGACAGAGTTACTAATTAAATGCTAGACTACTAGCTTGGTAGGCCAATGTTTTCTTTAGAAAAATTTTTAAACAATTGAGCTATTAATTTAGTGGTGTTGGGGTCAATTGCAAGATTTCAAGATTAAAAGTTTTCAACTTAATTTCAATTGTTATGTAAATATTCACAAATATTTGTAAAATTCTTTATTCTTATTTCTTATTTCTTAAGCTTCATAATTTGCTTGGCATGGCAAAGGAGTTTCACAATTTTTTTTCCTTCTATTCTATCTAAAATGTTTTAAATTGTGACTATGCAAGTATTTACAAATATTTTTCATAAGGGATTACTCACCAAGAAAGAAAATTTAATACTTCCATTATATATAAATATATATATATATATATAAATTCTGTTGAATTATTTACTTTTCTCCATGAAAATGGAAAATAAAAAAGTTTCTTTATTATTAATCAATTTCATTTTGGCCCCTTTTTTGAAAAAGTGATCTTCAAATTCCAAATGGACAAATCAATTTTCACGAAGGCCTATAATTTTTGTTTGGCTAATTGAACTCTACAGATTAACACTATAAATGATAAATGCATGCATGAATTCGCTTTGTTGGTATTAAAGAATTGAATTCCAATATTTCTTTCTTCAAATAACAAAATAACATTATTTTTCATTTTCCTTTTGTCCCTTTTGAAAAAGTGATCTTTGAATTTTTCTTTGAATTCCTCAAGGACAAATTAATTTTCATGAAGGCCTGTAAGTTATATCCTTGAACGCCATTAATTTTTTCTTTGGATAATTAATATGTAATTATATGCTTTAAATAAAAATTTATAAATATTAGTTGGAACATTGTCTAATTATCAGGGAAATTTATTTTTATTTTTTTGGATAATTCTTTCTAGGAAATTTAGCAAACAATACTTTAAGCTGTCTTTGACTATTTCAAAACATCCCCAGGCCGTCATCGGCTGACAGCAAAAACAAAATGCAAAGAATCAATGGAAAATTAAAAAAGAAATAGTAAAAAATTTTATATCCAGGCTCACCTTTCATTGAACTTTGAATTTGGATCCCACCGGCGAAACTAATTGAAGACCAGCATCAATAAATTTAGAAATTTTCTTTTAAGTTTTTACTGAATAAGGATAAATCTAAAATAATTAATACTTTTTTGACAATTTTTAGGTACTTTTGGCAACGTTTAATGTTCTGTTAAGGGTAAATTTTCAAACTTAAAAGTAATTTTTAAATCTGGTTAGGTTGTACCAAATACAATTGGTCAAAAATTTTAAGATCTAGTCCAACTTGTCAGATTAAGAGATTTAATAATTTAAAATATATTTTAAAATTAAAATTAAATAAAAATTCCATGTTATTAAATAAATAATATTTTTTGTCAAATTCAAACTTGAAAATCGTTGTCCGAGCCAATCAATTATAATCATACTTTTCTAACAAATAGATCCTAATATATAAATTATTTAACCATTTCACATCAATTTGAGATATTAACAACGAAGATTGTAGTAGCACCATACACCAAGAGCATGGCCCATTCTTTTTACCTATCTTTCTAATAACATATTGTAATCATCTCCAAAATTCACAGACGAATGAATGAAATTTTCTCCTTGAATCTCACATTGTCTGATCATATTCGGTAATGCCGTCCATGAATCAAAGGATTTTCTTTTCCTTGTAATTTTTAACTTTAATTTTGTAGCCTTTCGAAGCCAGCAATTAGCTTCACACTATAAATAACTTACTTCAAGCATCTCTTGACAAGCCTTACTTAGAACAGCACATATATAACTATTATTATTATTTTTAAATTCTTACTAATGGTTCATCAGTTATTTTGTATTTAGAATTGTACGTCATTGCTCCAGCAATCTCATTTGCTACGGAGTTCATAGTTGGTGGTAATGACGGATGGAATGTGGGAGTTAACTACCAAGAGTGGGCTAAAGGCAAGCAGTTCATTGTTGGAGACACTCTAGGTATGCCATCATCATAAGTTTCAAAATTAATCCTTTTTTTTTTTTTTTGTCTTGCAATTCTTAACCCAATTCATCACTTTTGTTTCAGTTATTTTCACTCCATATATATCTCATTTAACAGTGGAATAAATTTAAAGATAAAATTATTTGTTTCAAAATCTCATATTGAAAGAAAATTATGAGTTTATATATGGTGGTGAATTTACGATTTGGTAATTTAAATTTTATGATATCCAATTAATTCATATAATTATATTTAAGAGGTAACAATCAACAAATTTAAATCCAAATTAAACATTGACAATTTTTTTCTCTATCCTAATTTATGATTTTTTTTTGTATAAAAAAATTTCTTGATAAAAAGAAATTACTAGTTTATATATAGTGGTGGATTTACGATATGAAAACTTAAATTCTGAATTTGAGTGTAGTCCTAAACGATATTTTTGAGCTTTTGCTATAATTTTACTTGTATATCAAGGAATCAATTACTTTTCTTGGAATGCCCCCATTTTTTTTCTTATTACTATAGCTTGAGTTCAAAGAAAAAGAGAACTGAATTAAAGAACTTCTTTTCTTTTTCTTTTTTTTTTTTTTTTTTTTTTGCATTTTGCAGTTTTCCAATACAAGCCTGGAGCTCACAATGTGTACAAAGTGAATGGAACCGACTTCCAAAACTGCAATGTTCCAACAAACAATAGCTTGGGCTTATTCAGTGGAAATGACACAATTAAGTTGGCAGCCGCAGGAAATAAATGGTACATTTGTGGAGTAAGCGGCCATTGCGATGCAGGGCAGAAGCTTAACATAACAGTGCTAGACTCTGCCACTGCTCCAACTCCCGCCCCTGCTCCAGTTCCTAGCGCTGCTCCAACTTATTGGCCAAAGAGGGCATTTCCCAGATCTTTTTATGAATAACTTCGGCCATTGTCGCTATGGTTATGGTCAATTAACTAAAATTGTAGTAGTATGAGATTTTCATTCATAAGGGGAGTTTGGAAGTCTAGTATTTTACCCATGCAATAAGCAGTTTGGAGGGATTGGATAGGAATTGGCATTCATGACTGTCTCTTAGTTTTTCTCTTAAAATGTGTTGGGCTAAAAGCCTCCAATCCAATCACATCAAGAAGCGAAATCAAACAATAAATCAAACATACAAAAAATAACAATTTAACGTGGTTCGATCCAATCAACCTACATCCACGGATGAGAAATAAGATCCACTAGTTGTAGAGAATTACAAACATACATCAAATCATCAACCTCACTCAACAATCAATACTTATAAAACACTCTCAATCTCCTCTAGTCCTATGGAGTATTCTCAACTCAAACAAACACAAACCCAAACCCTTGTGCACCTTTTCAACATAATCAAATACATACTCATATGCTCCCATACATCATACCTATATAGATCATCTCAGTTTCTTCTAATCCACTCACAAATAAACATACACAAGACGTAGAGCCCCAATACTTATGGGGTGTCGATCCCACAAAACCCTACAACTCTCTTACATTTTTTCTCATACTTAATCTTGTAGAGACTTCACTTATTTATAATCATACAAACTTGCCCATTAAGAATTTCTCTCCTCTTAGAATTCTTCTCATATAAATCAAACTTGTCTATTAAAAATCCATTTCCTTTTAAAATTATTCTCTTGCAAGTCAAACTTACTTATTAAGAATCTTTTTTCTCTTAAAATTTTTCTTTTTTTCAGTCTTTTTGTCCATCCAGTAATATCTAACAAATCTTAAACAAATCTCTAATAAATATCTTATAAGATTTGAGTCAATATTTTCAACAAAATGAATGCTTAATTGTTTGAACTTTAAGCATACAAGGAAGAGAAATTTTTTTTTTTTTTGTATTTTCAACATAATGTTGAATAAAAGTCATTTTCAATTGTTTAATCTGGTACGTATGGTATCGAATACCACGATTTTCTTATTGTTACAGATGACTTCTTTTGAATGAATTTCAGATTTATCAACAGCCTTGAGATGCGTTCAATGTCTAAAATCTAAATCACTAAAAATTGAAGCCGAATTGCATTCTGTTAATATAATATTTTATCAAATAATTTTCAAAAAAAAAAATTGACAAATTGATAAGTGATTTAATGTAATTTGATAATTTTACATATGGTACGATCATATAATATAAAAATAATAAAAAAAATAAGTGAAAATGCAAATACCAAAACTAATTTTGATCTTTGCTTTTAACCAATTTCATACTTATAAGTTTATATTTTCGAACCCCAATTTAAGCTCAGCACCAAAACAGAATGCTTGCAAAAAAAAAAAAAAAAGTTTGAAAGCAAATCTCAGAAATTTTCTAAATTCAGTAATAAAGGCTGGGACCTCTCTATATTTTCTTTTTCTTTATTGAAACATCAGGAGTCAAACATTAATTTTACTAATTAATTTGATAACATCATGTGTAGCTAGGATAGCCATGCCACGCCATACACCTATCCTCTTGTCTTGATGATATGTGACAGAGTTACTGTCGATGTTTTCTTTCGAAAAATATCCTTATTTTTTATTTCTTAAGCTTCATAATTTGCTTGGCATGGCAAAGGAGTTTCACGATTTTTTTTTCTTTTGTTCTATCTAAAATGTTTTAAATTGTGGCTATGCAAATATTCACAAATATTTGTAATAAGAGATTACTCACCAAGAAAGAAAATTTTAATATAAATATAAATATATATGATAAATTCCGCTGAGTTATTTACTTTCTCCATGAAAATGGAAAATAAAAAAGTTTCTTATTATAAATCAATTTCTCTTTGGCCCCTTTTTGCAAAAGTGATCTTCAAATTCCTCATGGACAAATCAATTTTCCTGAAGGTCTATAACTTTTGTTTTGGATAATTGAACTCTATAGATTAACACTACAATATTGATAAATGCATGCATGTATTTGCTTTGTTGGTGATAATGAATTGAATTCGAATTTTTTTTAAATAAAAAAAACATTATTTTTGAGTTTCTTTTTCGTCCCTTTTGAAACAGTAATTTTTGAAATTTTCTTTGAATTCCTCAAGTACAAATTAATTTTCATGAAGGCCTGTAATTTATCCTTGAACGCCATTAATTTTTTTTCTTTGGATAAGTAATATTTAAATATATGCTTTCAATAAAAATTTATAAATAGTAGTTGGAACATTGTCTAATTATCAGACAAATAGCATTGTCTTTCTGGGAAATTTATTTTTATTTTTTTGGATAATTCTTTCTAGGAAATTTAACAAAACAATACTTTAAGCTGTCTTTGACAATTTCAAAACATGCCCGGCCGTCATCGGCTGACAGCAAAAACAAAATGCAAAGAATCAATAGAAAATTAAAAAAGAAATAATAAAAAGTTTTATATCCAGACTCACCTTTCATTGAACTTTGAATTTGGATCCCACCGGCGAAACTAATTGAAGACCAGCATCAATAAATTTGGAAATTTTCTTTTTAAGTTTTTACTGAATAAGGATAAATCTAAAATAATTAATACTTTTGACAATTTTTTAGGTACTTTCAGCGATGTTTAATGTTGTGTTATGGGTAAATTTTCAAGCTTAAAAGTAATTTCTAAATCTGTTTATGGTTAACCTGTACCAGATACGATTAACCATTTAAAAAATTTTAAGGTCCAGTCTTATTGTCGGATTAAGAGATTTAATAATTTAAAATATATTTTAAAATTAAAATTTAATAAAAAATAATTTTAGCAGGATTCAAACTTGAAAATCGTTGTCTGAGCCTCGATCGGAATTACTTATTGGGGCAAATAACCTGGTCCTTTCTTAATCAATTATGATCATACTTTTCTTCTTTCGTTTTATAGCAAACACATCAATCAAATAGATCCTTATATATAATTATTTAACCTTTTCACATCAATTTGAGATATTAACAACGAAGATTGTAGCAGCATCATACACCAAGAGAATGGCCCATTCTTTTTACGTATCTTTCTAAGAACATGTTGTAATCATCTCCAAATTCATAGAATGATCCAATGAAATTTTCTCCTTGAATCTGACATTGTCTGATCATATTCGGTAATACCGCCCATGAATCAAAGGATTTCCTTTTCCTTGTAATTTTAACTTTAATTTTGTAGCCTTTCGAAGCCAACAATTAGCTTCACACTATAAATACTTACTTCAAGCCATGTTTCTTGACAGGCCTTACCTTGGAACAACAAATTAATTATTATTATTTTTTGTTAAATTTCTCTATCTAATGGCTGTTCATCGTTCATTAGTTGTTTTTGCAATTGTAGCTGTCATTGCTCCAGCAATCTCATTTGCTATGGAGTTCATAGTTGGTGATAATGACGGATGGAAAGAGGGAGTTAACTACCAAGATTGGGCTAAAGGCAAGCAGTTCATTGTTGGAGACACTCTAGGTATGCCATCATCATAAGTTTCAAAATCAATCTTTTTTTTTTTTTTTTGTCTTGCAATATATTCTTAACCCAATTCATCACTTTTGTTTCAATTATTTTTGCTCCTTACATATCTCATTTAACAGTGGAATAAATTTAAAGATAAAATGATATGTTTCAAAATCTCATTAAAAGAAACTTAAGGGTTTATATATGCTGGTGAATTTATGATTTGATAACTTAAATTTTAAAGTATTTAGTTAATTCATATAATTATATTTAAAAAATAGTATCTAACAAATCTGAATTTAAACTAATTATTGATAATTTTTTTCTCTATCCTAATTTATGATTTTTTTTTTATGAAAAAAGTTCGCAATGAAAGAAAACTACTAGTTTATATATAGCGGTAGATTTACTATATGAAAACTTAAATCCCAAATTTGAGTGTTGTCCAAAATATATTTTTGGGCTTTTGCTATAAATTTACTTGTAGATCAAGGAATCAATTACTTTTTTTGGAATGCCCCCATTTTTTATTTCTTATTACCATAGCTTGAGTTCAAAGAAAAAGAGAACTGAATTAAAGAGCTTTTTTTTGCTTTTTTTGCTTTTTGCAGTTTTCAAATACAAGGCTGGAGCTCACAATGTGTACAAAGTAAATGGAACCGACTTCCAAAACTGCAATGTTCCATCAAACCATAGCTTGGGCTCGTTCAGTGGAAATGACACGATTAAGTTGGCAGCCGCAGGAAATAAATGGTACATTTGTGGAGTAAGCGGCCATTGCGTAGCAGGGCAGAAGCTTAACATAACAGTGCTAGCTTCTGCTCCAGCTTCTAGCACTGCTCCAGCTTCTAGCGCTGCTCCAACTTTATTGGCCAAAGAGGGCATTTCCCAGATCTTTTTAGGGATAACTTTCGCTATTGTCGCTATGGTCATGGTCAATTAACTAAAATTGTAATAGTATGAGATTTTCATTCATAATGGGAGTTTGAAGTCTGGTATTTTACTCATGCAATAAGCGGTTTGGAGGGATTGGATAGGAATTGGCATTCATGATTGTTTCTTACTTTTTCCCCTAAAATAAATGCTTAGCTGTTTGAACTTTAAGTCTCCACGGAGGAGACTTTTTTTTTGTATTTTCAGCAGAATGTTGAATAAAAGTCATTTTCAATTGTTTAATCCGGTACGTATAGTATCAAATACCAAGATTTTCTTATTGTTACAGATGACTTCTTTTGAGTGAATTTCAGATTTATCAACAGCCTTCAGATGCGTTCGATGTCTAAAATCTAAATCAGTATAAATTGAAGCCGAATTGTATTTGCTTTATATAATATTTTATCAACTAATTTAAACAAAAAAGAATCCGACAGTTTGGCCGAGTGGTCTAAGGCGCCAGATTTAGGCTCTGGTCCGAAAGGGCGTGGGTTCAAATCCCACAGCTGTCATCGATTAATCTTTTCAATTTTTTTTCCAACCTCGTCAGTTCATTCATGCACAGTAGCTACAATGGAGTTTAAAGACTCTGGACGATCCTCCACCCAATACAAGTCACCTTGAACTGGTAATCCATGCTTTGCTAAACAATGAGCTTCTGCATTCCCTGAGTTTCTGGTGTGTGCTATGCTGCAGTCAGTGAATTTTGCAACCTTGGTTCTAACCTCATCTATAATAGGGCCAATGGGAGAGAGGTCTAGAGTCATTGTCTGTATTTTCTTCAAAACTGCTAAAGCATCACCTTCCATAACAATTCTTGCGAATCCCATCTCAAAAGCAAAGCCCAAAGACCAAACAACTGCTTCAAGTGCCTCTAGTACAGAGAAGGAATTGTTATCCATGGCAGATCAGCAATGTGTACACCCATAACCAACCCTTCAGAGTTTCTAATCACCACACCTATACCCACCTATTTTCCCAAATCTGTCTATGGCACCATCAAAGTTCCCATTATAAATCCCATCACATGGTGTTCATCGCTATTGTTTCATTGGCAGCGCCTAATTAGTTGCTGCTGCGCTTGGTTGAACTCCAAGTAATTTTTAGCAATTCACCGTGAGTTTCACCATTCCTATCATTCCATGCTGACATTATTCATTAACACAACACAAACTAGATACAGAGTTAAACAGATTGGAATTTTTTGTGTAAAATTAATTGTGTTTGTGTCAACGACAAAAAAAATATTCGTGTTTTGATGCAGTTGATCCATCTAATCCATTTATGTACATTTCGAATTAACAAATAAATCTACATTATGCAACATATATATATATATATATATATATCTAATGTGTTTAAATTCATTTATGAAATTATTAATACTTAAAAAATATATAAAATAACATATTATTCATATTTAAAAGGTTTCTGAAAAAAAAGTTAAACATGTTAATTATATCATATCATATAACTTACGTATAATAACAATTATAATTATGTAACACCAAGTCTCTTTTGAGAAAACAAAGAGGTCAGGCGATGAATTTTGCTTTTTGAACTTACAAAATATTTTCTTCCAAAAGCTGGCTTTAATTAAACAACAATCAACATTGAAAATCTCTAAAAAAAAAAAAAAACAAAAACAAAAACAAACGCAATTACTACTATATAATTAAGTACTGCAGGCATGTTTCTAGGTGACATGTGTTTAGTTTTCATCTTGTTTTTTTTCCAAGGAAACAAACAAAAATGATAATATATATTCTCAATTTGTTCAAACACGTCCTCTTAAGGAAACAATATTATTATTTGGCAGTCCTACTTATAACCCAATGTTAAATGATGACCCTTGCCGGTTCCTCTTTCATATGAAATTTTCCTAGCTACCTAGTTAATCAAACTATAAATTGGTCCTTAATTGCAACTAATCAGCCGAACCAGATTCAATCAAAGAATCATAAATAACTGAAGCTTAGTATAAGGATTTGATAAAATCTTTGTTACAAGCTTCAAATGGCTTCTAACAAGTTTCTCATGCTCACCGTTATTACCATGTTTCTTCCCGCAATGGCCATTGCAACAAATTATATCGTCGGGGATGAGAGTGGATAGACAATCAATATCGATTATCAAGCTTGGGCAAAGGATAAAACTTTTCGTGTTGGCGATAAATTAGGTATATTCATAGTTGTATATTATTATTTTACTAACCGGCCATGAAATTTTTATATTTCACATATGAAATTAGATGATTACATGATTTATAAAATTATGTTTATGCTAGATAGACATAATTAGATTCATTTCTATTAACACAAATGTACAATCGGTTAGTATAGGAGTTTATTTACTTCTTTTTTATATTCTTTGAGTTTTTTGCAGTGTTCAAATACCGTCAAGGATATCACAATGTGTTCAAAGTAAACGGTACTGCTTTCAAGAATTGGGACATTCCACCAGCAAACGAAGCTCTCACCTCCCGGAATGACACAATCGTCCTTAATACCCCAGGCAGAAAGTGATACATCTGCGGTGTTAGCAACCATTGTGCCGATTATGGTCAAAAGCTTGCAATCACTGTCCAATATTCATATGGCTGGGTACCAGCCCTAACACCAAGTTCTGAACCTTGGACACCAACTGTACCTTCAATTCCGGTAAAACCAACTGAACCTTTGGCACCTGTTCCATCTTCACCTTCAACAGTTCCATCTCCTACTGCACCTTGGTCGCCACAGGCTCCATCTCCCTATCCATGGATTTGATTAGCCATTTTGAAGTCATGTCATCAGGGATCTTGTTTTTATGGCAGCTATGGAAGCAATTCAATTTGATTTTATTTGATTTTACTTAATCTTGGTCTTGGCTTAGTTACAAGTCAATTTAGAGTAGTTAATTCTTCCTGGAAATCCATCATTAGTCCCAACAACTAAGAAAATCATAAGAAAACTCATACAACATGTGCCAAAGAGAAACTTGTTTGGCTTGATGTACAACCTCCATATCAAAAGCTACATAAAAATAATTAAACAAGAAATTAAGAGATGTAATTAATCAAAATAGCCAAATAAATCATATATGTTTCTATTAATTTCCAATTCAATTAACATAAGCATTTACAAATTTGAGGAAAAGCTGGTGGGGTTCTGGTTTTCAACACCATATAGTATGTGTATGCAAATAACACAACAGATATCAACATAAAACCAAATGCTCCAAATATTAGCTTTGAAGATGAATTTTCTGCAGCAGAAGAAAATTTTTTTCCCATGTCTTTGGCTGATTCTTGTAAAAAATTTCCTATTTCTAGACTTGGCTTTGAAATTTCGAGCTTCTTTGAAGCAGCTTTCTTGGGCAGCTCTAGACTGAGATTACCTCTGCAAAATACTGCACGAATATGTTCTATATCATAAACATCATTTGATATTTCAATTTGCTTCCGAAGGAGTCTCGGAGATTCTGCAATGATCGATATAATAGTTTTTTTCTCCCCAACTCGGTTGATTTTAACTTCCACGTCTTCCCTTTTGAAGCCTATGAAATTATAGTAGAAATTGATAAGAAATTTTTTGTATTAAAGAACCGTAATCTAAGGATAACTGAAGAAACTACAGGTGTTATGATTTAATCTCCATATCTATTGGTTTCTAGCTCTTTTGCATGAACAAATTTGGTTAAATCTCATATTCAAAATTAAGTATTTTTAATTTATATAGTTAATCAAATTCAAAACCATTTTTTTAAATTCATCTTTTAAAACATAGCATTAAATATTTCTAATTTCAAAGAAAAAAATTCTTCAAAGAGCGGTAAAATACAATACCATCAAGCATAATATCAATTGCATCCGACTGATCTTTTCCTCTCTTCCATAGGCAATAGGGCTCAAAATATTCTTCTGTGGGTGTTTCCATTTTTCGTTGTTTATCGTGTCGGATTTCGAAATAAGACAAACGCTAATTTGTGGGATTCTTTTCCAATTAATGAAGGATTTCTTATGTTTATAAAGAAATTAACTCTTTGATTCATTGTTGAGTACAAGAGGTATAAAATGTTTCGTAGGGAGTTTCTCTTAGAAAAGTATCATTTCATATTTTGTGGTTGTTTTAGGAATTGACAAGGTTGCTTTAAAAGCCTAACTTCATTTATTCCTCAATTGAATTCATGTGGAGAAATTTGTTTTGATTGTTATGACATGATTTTGTTGAGATAGCGCAACCTAGAACTTATATTACGCAAGTGGGATTAACTCTCCTTCAACACCAAAAAAAAAAAAAAAAAGTGTGTTTTTTGTTTTTTAACTTAGAGGAAAATGACTTGCAAAACCTCAAAAAAAAAAAAAATTCAATTACCAAGTTTTAACCTTATATATAGCTTTTAACATACATTCGCTTTTTCTTTATTAACTGGTGATCATATACAAATGTATTATTGAGATAGATTCATATGTGAGTAAAAACTTTCACGTAATTAAGAAATGTGAGTGAAAAATTTTATATATACATATAAAATCCAAAAATAATAATTTAAAATTTTGAGTTTAAGTGGTGTTCAATATTTATGTATGAACTTTTGAAGTGCTCATATGGACTCCAAGAAATGTATCTTCCCAACATATATATGACATTTAATAATTCTACAATTCAAATTCTATAAGCTGCAACCATTTTTTTATTTTTTTTATTTTTTAGTTGTGATCTCCTTTGTAAAAAAAAAAAGAAAAAAAAAATTTAAAAATAAAAAAATTTTCTAATAATGCCACTATATATTCTCACAATTGTTGTTAGATTAAGTTTAAAGTAGTAACCAATCAAACAGACATCATTTTGAGAATTAAATTTGCATATAGAAATACGAATATAAGAAGGAAATGCCTTTAAAAGAAAAAAAAATATGTATCTTTGGATTAATGCTAATAATACTCTAAATAGCAATTTAATAGCAATTTTTTTCCAAAGAAGTTTGATTTTCTTTAGTGGATCATATTAGAGTCGCATGTAAATGGTTATGCCTAAAGTTTAAAATGCATGTACCATAGCTGCACGTTTTTAACCTAACACACTTTCCGCTTAAGCGGAAAAACACCCATTATTTATAAGTTAAGACCACTTGCTTCTCTTATAGATGTGGGATTCGTGACATATGCACTTATTATTAAATCAAACGATCACATATTATTAGTTATTAATTAATGTTACATTGGCATGAATGTTATAATAGACTTTTAATTTTATCCTTACCTAAATATTAAGCGTGAACTTATTCTCTTCACTAGGAACGTGAGATTAATAAGAAAAAAAAATAAAGATAGGAATCCTTTGTAAAAAAGAAATACTTTCTGCATGCATGTGTAAATTCACGTTGAAGATGTTGCTGATTTAATTAAAAGTAATGAACATGCAGCGATCTTTAAATTCACTTATATATAGAGTTTAAAATTTTAATTATCAATGTTTAAGATAATTTTTCATTAAAAATTATTCTTTGAATACTTGAAGGTTAATGCAATTTCAAGCAATCCCTCATTTAGAAAAGAAAAGAATATGCTTTAATTTCAAGAGTAGACGTTGTTTTTTTAATGAAAAAGAAAAGAACCTTTTTTTTTTTTGGTTTCGAAGGTGTCAAATTAAGTCCATAAAAAGAGAAGCAAAGAAACAACTTTCATACACTCAAATCTCTTGATTAATTCATCTTCCTTTCTCCCTTCAAGATCCTAAGAGGAGAATAAAAGAAAAAAAAAAAAGCTTAAATTCCTTTGGAAATGAAGAAGGAAGAAAGCAATGTTGAGCCTTCTTACGAAGATTTTGAACCCTATTGCAAGTGGATAAAAGAAGCCAAAGATTACGTTCTCAAAGAAGCTGACATTCTTGAAATCCAGCTCCAGGGTATAAATTTATATCTTTTCCTTCTTTTTACAAAACAAAAAAAAAAGTTTTTGCCTTCTTAATTTTGGTTATTAATTTGCTTTTGCATTTTACAGGTTATAGAGTCGAATTTAGGCTAACAAGATCCCAAAAAACTCCAAAGCAATTAGATTTTTAAATTTTCAATTTGGAGGTTTGTTTGATAATTTTTACAATGAGATAATATTTATAGGATGAGAGAAAACTCCTTCATGGTATAGCTTAAATGTAATGAATCTGATCAAATGTAACATAAAAGGAAAAGGAAAAAAATTTTCCCCCAAACCAAAAAAAAAAAAGATCTTTTCTCAGAGTAAAAAGCAGAAATAATCTCACTAGTAGTATTTCATACACACACACAAACACACAACACACACACACACACACACACACATATATATATATATATATATATATGAATATATATGAATATTTCTATATAATTTTTCAGAATTCAAAAGGGAAGAACTGAAGTACGAAATGGGTGAGGACAGACTCTTGTATATTAGGGGAGAGCATCAAGTGGGGAAGAGTCTAATAAGGCGATTCAACAAAAAAATTGATGTTTCAAAGTACAACATCAAAGAAATTGAAGCAAAGTTTGAAGCTGGGAATCTTAATCTAAGGCTGCCTTGTAAAAATTCTGCCTTAAGCTTCTGCAAAATGGGGAAGAAAACAATCAACTGTGCAATGGTTGCTCTGCTTTTGCTTCTTGCATTTTGTATGTACAGATATTCTGAGTGAACCAATTTTCGGAATTCGTTTAAATGAAATAATTGTTCATATATATGTCTGTACTAAAACAAATCAAAATCTAAAGTGATGTTTACTAATAAAATCAAAGTTTCGAATATGAACTTCTGATTTTCTATGAATTGAAAAAATTACATCATATATATAATGATGTCCGGGTGTAATGTTAAATGAGAAAGGGTTGCTAGGTCATCACTTGGGAGCAACGTGCCACATTGCTGCCCATGTGTGGTATCAAATAGTCAAAGGTTTTCATGTTTTAATGGATGAATACGAGTAAAGAAATTAGTCTGTGGGATAAATTACACTTAGCTACTTGGAATATAGGATCGTTAACTGGTAAAATAGCAAAGATATGAGAAGTAATGATTAGGAGAGTAATTAATATTATGTCTCCAAGAAACTAAATAGGTCGGGGAAAAGGCTAGAGAAATAAAAATATGTGGCTCTAAGTTTTAGTATGCAGGTAAGGAAAAGAGTAGAAATGGAGTACGAATAATTGTAGATAAGAATTTAAAAGATGATATGGTTGAAGTTAAAAAAATAAAGGTAGGATTTTATATGTTAAACTTATATTAAGAAAGGAAACCATTAACATTATTAGTGTTTACTCCTCACAAATAGGTTTGGATCAAGGCAATAAGCAAAATTTTTTAAAAGATTTAAAAAAATAGTGCAAGTCATAGCAAATGGAGAAAAGTTTTTTATTGGAAGAGATATAAATGGTCACATAGGCAATGATTGTAGTGACTTTGAGAAGGTGCATGGAGGATATGGTTTGGAGAAAAAAACCATACCATATCGAAGATAATATTCTAGAGTTTTCTGTTGTATTGGACCTAACTATATTAAATAGGTGTTTTAGGAAAAAAGTATCACATTTGGTGACTTTAAAGAGTGAGTCAAACAATAGTCAAATTGATTTCCTTTTTACGAGGAAAGATGATAGAAGAAACTATAAGGATTACAAAGTTATATTAAGTAAGAGTGTGACAACACAATGTAAACTACTAATTCTAGATATCTTTCACCTTTGAGGGTCAATGAGCATATATCAGAGTTATAAACCATGTATTAAGTGGTGGAACTTCAAAGGGGACAAAATGTTAGCTTTTAGGGATAGACAAGTTAAAGAAATTTATTGGAAACCTAATGAAGATGTAAAAATAATGTGAAAAAATATTTTTACCAGAATTTAAAGAGTTGCTAAAGAGATACTTGGCGAATCTAAGGGTTGTGCATCATTAGGAAAGAATCTTGGTGGTGGAATAAGGATACAAAAATCACAATTAAAGCTAAACGGGAGTGTTATAGAAATTTAAGAAACAATAGGGATGAGATGAGTTATTTAAAGTATAAGACAATTAAAAAAAAAAAGCCAAAAAGGCTATTAGAGATTTAAAAACTAAGATCTATGAAGAATTATATAGAAAACTAGTGACAAAAGATGGAGAAAAAGAGTTGTTCAAAATTGATAAAATGAAGAATAAGAAGAGTAAGGATCTTAATGGCGTAAGATGCATCAAATGTAGTGACAAATGAGTTTTAGCAAAGAATGAGAAGATTAAGAAGATATGAAAAGATTATTTTGATAATCTCTTTAATGACAAATTTGAGCATGATATAAGCAAGCTTAACATACCTTTTAAGGATATAAATAGTGTATTTAAATGAAATATTAGAAGGTATAAGGTTAAAGAGGTATTGAGAATGATGAAAGCAAAAAAAGCTATAAGACCAGATAAAATCTCGATTGAAATGATAACGCTTAGGTGAAGTATGGATATGATGCTTGACATATCTTTTCAACAAAATTTGGGTTATTTAAAAAATGCCAAAAAAATTGAGAAAGAGTACCCTAGTGTTTTTATGCAAAAAAAAAGGTGATATACAAAATCATTCAAAATATAGAGAAATAAAGTTTAGAAGTCATACTATGAAATTTTGAGAAAGAGTAATTGAATATAAGTTGTAACCCAAATTCGAGAGATTTACATATGACATTCATTGACTTGGAGAAAATATACAATAAAGTTCTCTGAGATGTGCTTTAGTGGACCTTAATAAAGAAAATAGTTCCTTTAAAGTACATTAATATAGTTAAAAATATGTATGAAAGAGTTATAATGAATGTGAGGACGATTAGGGGTGTGATTAATAACTTTTCCATTACTTTAAGATTGCATCAAGGCTCAGCATTAAGTTCATTTCTCTTTACATTAGTTATGGATGAGCTCACTAGACATATCCAAGACAAGGTGTCCTTATGAATGTTCTTTGCCAATGGTATAGTCCTAGTTACTAAAAGTAGTGATAACCTTATTACGAAATTAGAATTATGAAATCATACACTAGAGTCTTGAGACTTTAAATTGAATAGCTCTAAAACTAAATATATGAAATATAAGTTTAGTAATCATAGGGAAGCAAGTGCCAATGTAATTAAATAGGATAGTGATGTAGTACAAAAAAGTAGTCATTTTTTATATTTAGGATCAATTATTCAAAGTGATTTTGAGATAGAAAATGACATAAATTATAGGATTCAAATAGGATGGGTGAGGTGATAAAGTACATTGAGGGTGTTGGAAAATCACAACATGCCTTTAAAGTTAAAGGTAAAATTGTATAAAACAATTGTATGGCATGTGTTATTATATAAAACTGAGTGTTGGGCCGTTAAGAAACTACATGATGAGAAAATTGTTGTAGCTGAGATGAGGATATTTAGATGAATATGTGGTAAGATTAGAAGAGAAAATAAGAAATAAAGAAATCAAAGAAAATTAGGGGTAGCATTATAAAATTTTTTTTATATACTGACGTTTAGTTATATTAATAGTCAAATTTTGTTAGTAAAAGAGACTTTTACTGACGAATTTTTAATACTGTCAGAATATATTGTTTAAATACCAACACTTTATTTAACTGTCAGTATAAATAAACTTTTTCTAACAGCATATGACTATTTATCAATATATATGTTATATATTAACGGTTTTTGTAACCGTTAGTATAGGCTCGAAACAAAAAAAAAATATTAGCTTGCAAAAAATTGAATAGGATTATTGAAGGTGTTTTTGGCCAAAAACGCATTCAATGATATATACAAAATTTTTTGTATGGATTATTTACTAATAGTTAAATTTCATCAGTAAAAGAGAATTTTACTAACAGATTTTTAATACTATCATAATATACCATACTTATACTAATACTTTATTTAACCGTCAGTATAAATAAACTTTTTTTACAGTATATGACTATCCGTCAGTATAAATAAACTTTTTTTACAGTATATGACTATCCGTCAGTATAACTATGTTATATACTGATGGTTATTAATGTAACCGTCAGTATAAGCTCAAAACAGAAAAAAAATTTTGGCTTATAAAAAATTGAATGGGATTATTGAAGGTGTTTTTGATCAAAAATGTCTTTACTAACCTATTCAAAAAATTTTGGAGAGGGATTATTGAATGTGTTTTTGGCTAAAAATACCTTGAATAATCTCTTACAAAAAATTGAATAAGATTATTTAAAGCATTTTTGACAAAAAATGCCTTGAATAATCCATTAACAAAAACACTAGAGCATCTCAGTTGGTTAGAGCATACAGCTATTAACTATAAGGTCATAGGTTTAATCCTTTCTTGTAGCATTTGAGGGTTTTCCAAAAGATTATTCAAGGCGTTACTCAATCGGTTAGAACATACGACTATTATTTAGGTTTGATCTTGTCCTCTAGCATTTTGAAGGTTTTCTAAGGGATTATTAAAAGTGTTTCTAGCCAAAACACCTTAAATAATCTTTTACAAAAAATTGAATAGGATTATTCAAAGCATTTTTTTGGCCAAAAATGCCTTGAATAATCCGTTAATAAAAGTATTTAAATAACTTAGTCGATTAGAGCATATAGCTATTAACCATAAGATTGTAGGTTCAATCCTTTCCTCTAGCATTTTGAAGGTTTTTCAAAGGATTATTAAATGTGTTTTTAGCCAAAAATATCTTGAATAATTTCCTACAAAAAATTGAATAGGATAATTCAAGACATTTTTTAAAATGCCTTGAATAATTCATTGAATAATCCCTCACAAAAAATTAAATAAGATTATTCAAAGTATTTTTTTGATCAAAAATACATTGAATAATCCATTAACAAAAATATTTGAATAGCTCAGTCAATTAGAGCATATAGCTATCAACCATAAAGTTGTAGGTTCAATCTCTCCCTCTAGCATTTTGAGGGTTTTTCAAGGGATTATTGAATGTGGTTTTAGCAAAAAATGTCTTAAATAATCTCTTACAAAAATTGAATAGGATAATTCAAGACATTTTTTATCAAAAATGCCTTGAATAATCCTTTAAAAAATTCTCAAAACACTAAAGGAAAAAATTGAACCTATAACTTTATGATTAATAATTACATGCTCTAATTAACTGACCTACTCCAATGTTTTTGTTAATATACTATTCAATTTTTTGTAAGGGATTATTAAGGCATTTTTAGCTAAAAACCAAAACTGTCTTGAATAATCTTATTTAATTTTTTGTAAGAGATTATTCAAAGCATTTTTGATCAAAAACGCCTTGAATAATCCCTAAAAAAAGGCAGGAGATTATTCAAGGTATTTTTAGCCGAAAATACCTTAAATAATCTTATTTAATCTTTATGAAGGGATTATTCAAAGCATTTTTAGCCAAAAATGCCTTTAATAATCCTTAAAAAAAGGCAATGGATTATTCAAGGCGTATTTAGCGAGAAATGCCTTGAATAACCCCATTAAATTTTTTGTAAATGATTATTCAAGGTGTTTCTGATAAAAAATGCCTTGAATAATCTCAAAAAAATGGCGGGCTTATGAATTTAAATCATTTTCTTTACCTTTACCTTCCACCGATCTACATACTTAATCTCCACCTCCCACAAACTCTTTCCACCTTTCACTAACTTTACAAATTTAAACCCATCAACATTCATTTTATTTTATAGTTGAATTAAAGTTGAAGCATCAAGACTCGTTATTTCTTAAAGGTATTTTTCATTTTTTGCATTTTAATTTTGTGTCATTGAGCATGCCTCTTTTTTTTTATGTTTTTGATTGTATTAGATGAATCTAGGCTCAGTCTTTATCACCTCAAAAAGTAGAAGAGAACTTAGAAATGTTATTAGCGGCACTGTTTTTGTTAATGGAACAGCTTTAATAGGAAAAATAGATGAAAACTTCAGCTATCTTACTGTAGATTGGTGACCTCTTGATAAATGTGACTATGAAACATGTAGCTGGGGGAGAGCTTCTCTTCTTAATCTAGTAAGTAGCTTATCTTTAAGCCTCTTAGATAAAAAAACATCACAAAAAAAAAATCTTTCTAAAATTTTAATGCCTGCTTCACTTTTACAAGAATTTCTTAAATAATAATTTGGCTGATCAAGATATGAATTGTGTGGCTTTGGCATTGGAATAAGAGTTGCAATAGATCAATATGCATCTAATGTAAACAATCTTTAAAATATTATTCAGAATATATATAGAGAATTTGAGGTTCAGCCATTAGTAATAGCATCAGGAGGATTCTTTGATGCAAATTTCAAGCACCATGTTTGTAGACATTCAATCATAGATATTAATGTTCTTTTTTTTTTTTAGATTCGGTATAATGATGTTAGTTCTTGACTTATTTTAAATTTGTGGATTATAAAACAATTTGATTGTTGTTTTATTTCAAATGTTATTAAATAGTTTTTACTTTTTTGTGTATTTTTACTTTATATGAAACTATATTATATTATGATTATAAATAAATTAATATTAATAATTGAAAATATAATTCAAAAAAAAGTTTTTACCAACGTCTTAAAATTTATACCATGTTTTACTATTGAAATATTTCAGGTTACACTAACAGTCTATATTGACAAACATTAACTGTTGGTATAGGCAAGAAAAATTAAAATATACAAGTCTATACTAACGGATGTTAACCCTCAGTAAAAGATATAATGGTTTAATACACAACAGATGCTACATTAATAGATATACATTTACTAACGGTCTTGAATCGTAGATATATTTTTATAAGCTATTTCAACACTTAAAAAATCGTCAATATAGGTCTATACCAACAAGGATATACTAATGATAAAAAATTCATCAAAATACATATTTGACTATCGATAGGGTATGGTGCTATATTGATGGATTTTGGAGTTTTACTGATATTTTTTCGAGCGTCACTATATGTCAGATTTCTTGCAGTATAGTTCGAATTGAGGAAAAGATGAAATAGGGTCGTTTAAGATAGTTTGGACATATTAAACATTGGTTTATCTATGTGAAATGTTTCTGTGCACCAATTAAGAGAAATGAGCTCCTAAATTTATGAGAGACCAAAACTATTAGAAGCACAGCATAAAAAACATTGATGCAAGTAATAAAAAATTATATAAGAGTTAAAAAAATAGATGAAAAGATTGTTATTGATAAAAATGAGTGATGCAAAAGAATTTAAAATTACGATATAACGTGAGACTTTTTTTACTTTTCATACAGCCGATCCCAAAGTTATGGAATATAAAATTTAGTTTGTTGCTGTTGTATTCTTCGTCTTAAATTTTAACATTTTTCCATCAAATATTTGATTAATTGTAGGTTATTTACCCATCCTAAATTTTAATATGTTGTCAGTAATGATACCGAGTACCTAATTATACATTTTTATTTTATTATTATTTTTCCCTAATTTCTGATTAAGTTCAGAATCTTTAATTCCTTAGTTTGCCTTACCATTAAAAGTTATTTGTGCCCCAAAACCTGTTCAAGATGATTCCTTTCCCCTTCTGGTTATACTTCCAAATTACCACCAATAAAGATTCTTCTTTAATTTTCATTTTAATCAGTTATTAGAGAAAACAGGAGATAATTAAATTCGCAAACAATAAGTTCAACTTATAAATGTTTCATTTTTATTCATGTTGAAATTACAAAGTATTAGTTCCAAAGATGAGAACATTGGCAATATTTGATTACATAAGCTCCAGCAGCCATTGCCAAGGAAATTGCTACTATGATTTCCATAGCTATCTTTTTATTACGATTGCCTGAACTAACATTTCCACCAGCACCTGAAATGTTGGAAATTTCCTTAGGCATTGCCAGGTAAAGAATGCCATTAGAGAACTTTGCGTGAATTTGGTTTGGTTGACAATTCTCCGAAAGTGGAAATTCTTTCCGGAATCGGCTTCTTTTCATTTTATCCTCATCCGATTGACGTTCTCCAGTGATGTTTAAGACCCCAGAACTGCTAAGTTGAACTTTCAATTGCTGCCTTTTAAATCCTACAATTTTTTTTTTCGGTCGACAGAAATTTAAGTATACGTAGACTAATTGATCAGTAAATTGATCATTAATTTGAAGATATGGAAATATAATCTTACCGGGAAGATGTACCTCAAGTGTGTCACACTTATGCTCCCTTCGCCATTTGCAGAAGGGCTCAAAATCTTCATAAGAGGTTTCCATGGGAGGCTGCATCTTATTTTTGTTTCTTCTTCTTTTAATTCTCTTTTAGGCTTATTTGGACGATGAGAAGATTGAGATGTAACCATATATATATATATATATATGCCGAATATTCCTTTTATAGTTTCCGAGTTGCGAAACCTTTGAGAAAGCAGGTAAAAGAGTTTTCCTTTTGTTTTTCCTGTTGTAAGAGAATGATTCCTTGATTGTTTTTGGAACATTGGGTTTCTTTTTGTTTCAATTAGGCTTAATTTCCATCTTTACTCTATGGATGGAGAAACTGTTTTGTTTTTTTATTCCTGACTTTTCTTAACCCTTTAGGCTTGTTTGAGTACGCTTTCTTTTCTAAGAAATTCCAATTTTCCTGTCTCCGAGAGTTTATTTTTGTAACACATTAATAAAAAATTGGTAAAGTACTGAACTTGTTCAGAAATAAAATTTTGACAGCCTCGAATATAAAGAAAAATATTAATATATAATATTGCACTTAGGAATGTAAGGGATATCAGAGGTTTGCAGGTCACTCGGGGAATTGATTATTATTTGAGGATATTTGGAGTTTTTCTTGAGAGAGATCAAATATTCATTATTCAAGCAATTTTTTTCTTTTTCCTTGACATTTTCTGTTTGGGATTTGTTTTGTTTGTTTCTTTGTGTTAGATATTTATACTCTGAATAAGGCTGTTGCCTGTGGCTGTATGTTTCCCAGCAGTTCATCAATGGTTTTTAGTACTTCTTCGCAATTTGACCACTTATAGTAACCTTTTTCTTTTTCAATTAATTTTTTGGTCTAATACAATGAATTCCACTAAATTTCCCATAAGTTAATTATTCTACAATATAATCCAAATAATTAATCTGAGGATCATCAACATGTTATGTTACATATTTTTAATTTAATTTTAGCCCTTTCCCACTGAGCAAAAACATGTAATTTGAGCAAAAACCATTCTTATAAACGGATGAATTGGTACGTTCTTTCATTTCTTCAGCTATAAACATCGTTCATGATCATTCTTTTTCTGACAGGTTTTGCATTAAAAACCTGTAACATATACAAGGATTTGGTATTTCTACACATGCATAATCATGGGATCATAAAATTTGAGTGCATAAAATAGCAAAGAAAACAGCAGTGACAGCGCTGTAACACTTGCCACAACCTTCACTGCTGTCTTTCTCTCCATTTTAAGCCACGCAATAAACGATTTGGGGCCAGCCTTAGGCAATATAGCATGTTCAGTTGGCGCACTCATCACATCTCTAGCACCTGATTGCTCAGCAGCTTCTTTACTTTGACTGCTGGTTTCCTGTTCTAGTTTTCCTTTGTCTTGAATTGGCGACGACGCTTTACTTTGACTACTGGTTTCTTGTTTTAGTTTTCCTTTGTCTTGAATTGGCGACGGCGCTTGTTGCGCCGGTGTAAGTGGTTCCTGTTGAGGAACCTGCGGAGCAATTTTCTTAGGTATTGTTATAAAAAGAATACTAGAACTGAACTTTGCGTGAATTTCATTTGCTTTGCAATCTTTAGGAGTGTTGAATTCCTTGCGGAATCGGATCCGTTTAGTTCCATCCAGGGAACGCTCTCCGGAAACTTTTAGGACGCCATTATTAGAAAAGTGAACTTTCAGCTGCTCCTTTTTAAAACCTGACAAACTAGAATTGAATCAATTTGCAATGGAGCAATAACTTGCACAACAACCAGCATTCATCTTCATTTTTGGCTTAGAAAATTATAAAATGTCCCAACTTTATGACCAAAAAAACATTATTTCCAAAAATATATATTACCTTTCAATTGAAATTCAATAATGTCATGAGCTTCTCCTCTATGGTATTGGCAATCAGGTTCAAAATCTTCGTAGGAAATGAACATTTTGGAAGGAAAAAGATATATAGGGAACTCTTGGAAGAAATAGTACTGTTTGTTTTCTGAATTCAATGAGGTAGAGTAATACTGTTTTACAACTCCTTTTACATATACTAAGATTAACAAGCTTATATTTGAAAGAGGTTTGGTCTAATTAAAGAGGTTTCTTTTGGGTTTCCTATTGGAATTAAAGAGAATCATTCCTTTTCCAATTCCTAAACATTTGGATTGGTTTGCTACTTTGGACAATCTCCCTTCACGCTATACATATGTTGTCCTCCCTCAATACGTGATCTCTTCTTCATTTCATAGGTTTTCCTTGGTCTTTAGCATGTGACAAACTAATGCAAAAGAAGAGGTTTAGCCTTATATAGGAATAATTATTTCGAATTGAAGGTTTAGTCTAGTCGTTTCACGCAATCACTCTAGCATTTAGCAAGTTTGTGTTTAAATCCTAACAGCTACAATCTCTTCTCTTGTCCCCAGGCCACGGCCTTCTTTGTACACCTATTACAGAGCCAATCCATGCTTTTCATTGTTTGGAGTCAATTTTCAATGTTTTGGATGAGTTCCTGGATTACAATTCCACCTACGTTAATTTCATTAATGATTACAAGTGAATGTAGGATTTTTCTTTCTAAACAAATGTTTCAACATATCCAGAATTTCATAAAAAGGATAACAAAAAATGTTCCTGGTGATCTGTATAATTATACAACTCAACATGAAGATATTTTAGCCAATGAAAAGTTGTCTGTTTTGAACTCTGCACTATTAACTCACTCTTGAGCTTTCTGGTTTAATAACAAATCTGATCAGCTTTGGAATTTGACCATTTATATATACAATTAAGTCAATTTTTTTGTTTGTTAAGAGAGAATTATAATAGCTGAAATGTGCAAGTTTAAGGGGACTCAAGCTTGTTTAACTCTAACAAAGTCAGTTTTTTGTTTGGTATTTCACTAATTCAAACTCATTGAATCATATGTATACCACTAAAGGCTATTAACCATCCAAATTACAGTAAAAAAAAAAACAAAGATTTAAAACAACTATAGTATACTCAATGGAGGTAATGGAGCTAAAAGACAATTAAGAACTAACATGCTTTTGAAGGGGCAGTAGCTGTTTTGTTCGCTAAAGCAAGAAGGAAGTTTCTGTAATCCCCCAGAGGGAATGATGTCATGTATTACTTCTCTCAATTCTACTCCATATTTTGTATGTTGAACACCCTTTGAATATCATCCATATGTCCATCTCAGCTCTGTTCACCATCACTCCTGCCTAGGCACCTCTATCGGCTACCATCACTTTAATGCTTGAAAATGAAGTATGCAACTGGTGAACTGGGAAATAGTAACATAATTGCTTTCAGTGATTCAATTATGTGACTGATGCTCCCAATTTTTATAGTTTAAGTTTGGTTAAAACATTAATAAGAAATGCTTTCAAGCCACTTAGATATGGAAACAGATTGTTAACTTTGCATAACAGTTAGGTGGATTGCAAATACATTTTATAACCATCTTTAATGCATCCTCAAACTCCCAGGATGTCCCTTTGGTGATTGACTGGAAAACATTGACAAACCGACAAGCTTCAAATATAGAAACAAAAATTAAGATTGCATGCAGCATAAGAAACACATTACCTTTGTGTAGTCATGTCCATATATGTGCTTATAGCAAGAAAATGTCAACTTAAGCTGTGGAATGCTCCTTTTTGGTGAAAATCTCTAGTACAATACCATCATCAATGGCTCCAGGACTTCCCTCCCGTCTCATAAAGCATCCTGGCATCACATTGCGTGATATGTTGACTAACATCTGCCTGGTGTGCCTTGTGTGATGTAGCTAATGCAACCAGAATCTGTCACAAAAACAATGATGAGTCATTGACATAAATTATCTCAAATTCCAGCTCGAATTCTAAGCTTTAAACTTGAAATGATACCTGTAATTATAATCAAACTTACCTTCTGGTAAGGGTGGGAGGCTCAATATTGATGATATCCTGGTCCAACTGCCTTTTATACTTTGATTGATAGTCTTGCTTGATCATGAGGAAAATATGACTTGATTTTCGTCCTGCAAAAATTTCCACAACGGCCTTATAGTTCGTATCATCTTGCTGAATTGCTCCCCTAGCAACAGTGGCATCTCGATCGTGAGGATCAAGCATCCAAAGAGACAAGGCTGCACAGGTTTTTGGTGAAACCCCAGGCTAATTTTTCTGGCTACTCATACTAGTCTTTTGAAGTAGAATTGTAAGGTCTTCCCCATACATTTCATTGTAAGTCCCTCTAAAGCTGAGTTCACCTAGCCAAAGCTTGAATCAACTGGTTCAATCTTCACCAAGAATCATGAATTTCCTTGCATTCATTCTCAAAACTATGGCTTGAAGATGCTAGGATTTTGGTGGCCATGAAGGAGTTTGGGGGAGTAGTTGTTATAAAGGCTTGTCTAAAGTCAATAATAACATTTATAATTTTTTATCATGAAAAAAAAAGGTTAATTTTGACAATTTTGAATCAAATTAAAGATATTTAGGCATAATCTTGACTTCAAATTTTAACATGAACATGACTACTACCCAAATTACTGCTCTTGATAAGGACTTTCAATTCAATTGAAAAAAAAAAATAGGAGAGACCTTCCAACTTTTCTTTGCACAACTTATATATACAAATTGATGTAAAATTCTTGCATTAACCCATATTCATATCATATATCTTTCTTTTATTTTCTTTATGAAACGAATAAAATTAAAATTAAAATTAAAAGACTGTTAGAAATATATGAAGTAATTATTATATATCCACCAAAATAACCCAATGAAAATAAAAAACTTTTTGATAAAAAAAATCAACTTGTGCCAATATAATATTTAATCATAGGCCAGGCCTTATTTCTAAATTCTCAACATTAAAACATGGGCCACTTGAGCCTTTGCTTGGCCCAACCCATTATGATTTAATTAAGTTATAAGGATTTTTTTAATTCGTTTTTAATTTTATAATTGAGATTAAAAATTTGATATATATTTTATTTTTAATTATTTTTTAATTTTTAATATATTGGGCATGTGTGTATCTTAATCAGTACAATTTTTTTTAATTGATACATTTTATCTTATTAACCTCTATAATATAAAAGTAGATGAAATAATATGTTTCTTTTCCAAAATCATGTTGGCTTGTGATTAGTATATTTTTTTCCCAAAATAGGAAATCTCAAAAAATTATATTAGTAGCAGCTATATTTAGAAGAGAAATTAAAAATAGTAGGAGAAAATTTTTTAACTCTCCCAATATTTTAATATAAATTATAGAATTAAATCTGAAAATTTAAAATATAATATAATTTAAAATTTTAACAATAATTATATATAAATTTTAAAAAAAATTAACGAGAAATGAAATGGCTTTTTCTCTGTCTCTTTTAACACACAGTCTCACTTACATCTGATCCGAAAGGAAATATTCCATTCTTTGGTGGGTGTATTCAGTATTTTCTTGCTTATGCTATTCGTTTTTCTGTTTGGTTGCAAAGAAAATCCAAAAGGTGTCTTTATAGCTATTTGCTTAGTGGGTCTTTGAAAATGTGGTAGTATGCATATGGGTTTGGCTTAGTTTTTGTTGGGTTTTGGTCATTGTATGGAAAATGGGTAACTTGAGGCTCAAGGCTCTCTTTTCCTTCATTTTCCTAGTAAAAAGAAGCTTGTTTTAGTGACATTTGCTGGATCTGTTAGGTTTTGGGTTCCTTGTATCGTAGATTTAACAAGTCGCATTGATAGGTAACCTTACTCTTGATCTTTTTTTCCTTTTGATTCTTTTAGGTTTAGCTTGATGAAAAAGCATAAAGATTAGTTTTTAAGAGGGTTTTAGATTCCATTGCTCCTTTCTTTGGCATTTTTGTTTCTTAAGAATTAATTGCATTAAGTATATGGGGTTGATTCAGCTCTTTTTTTTAGATGTTAATTAAAGTGCTTGGTAGAGTGAAATCTGTAAATGGTAGTATTAGCTTTTGAGTTTTAACAAATCTACTGATGTTAGCAGCCTGCTGGTTTATTACTATGTTTCCATCTCTCATGCTTTTGTCTCATGATTTGAGCTGCACAATATCAAATATAATTAAATCTTGATCAAGTTTGTATTGAAAGTTCAAAATTGCATTTTCTCAGGATAAACAATGGCATGCAAGTTGAATACATTGTGTTATTTCATTAGGAGTATTGAAAGGATGGATATGTTCTTTAGATTGGTATGTTTCTATGGATGTGGCATGAATTTAGCTGTGGATATTTAATGGGGTATATTTAGGAGCAAATAGCTACAAAAGCCCCTGTGCTTGAGTAAACAGAAAGGAATTCCGAAAAAGATTCACTGTTGTCTTGTCTAACATGCAGCAGTAAGAATATATGAAAGTGTCTCCTGCTTTTAGCAAAGATATTCTTGACTTATGGTCCAGTGAATTGAACCAAAGATAGCCAATATTTTTGCTTGAGGTTTGAGCTATCGGACGTAGATGCCTTGTCATAGCTCTGTTTAAGATGGTTCTACCTGGCCTCACTTTTGGAACTGTGATTTCTACAGATTTATGGTTAATGTGTTGTTTTTGCCACCTGCATGGGCTAATATGGCAGTGAGGTGGTTTCAGTTATTCACAATCAGATCAACTTTTTCTATTCTGGACGTTTGTCAAAATTATACATCAATTAGGTGTTTTATTTATAAACTTCTATAACTGCAACTTGCTAATTATTTCTGTAAAGTTCTCTTCAAGTTCGAGAGACCATTTTCTAAGAAGTTTTTTTGAGCATGAATACGGAATAAATGCAGGTTCAAGTTATTAAGGCTTTTCAATATTTCTTTTACTTTTGAGTGTTTGTTCTGGGTTTAAGGTAATCATGCTTAGAAAGTGAAATTTATTCTAAACATTGTGTCCTGATTTTCTTTTTTTGGAGTCTTCTGTTTCTTGCCTCTGAAATGACATTGACTTAATAGCATTCTCTTCTTTCCTTTGATTTTGGCCTCTATGCAATCTCTATGTGTTTCCTCTTTTTCCTAGTTTATTATGTTCATCACTCCGCTAATTGTGGAATTTTCTTTTCCATTAAAATAATAACTGGATTTTTATTAATATCTGCAACTTTTTGCGGTTTCTGCCATGTATTATGGCAAGGCTTCTATTTGTATTCTTATAGTCTTACCACATCAGCATAAAGTGCTGCTGATTTCTAGTATAAGAAGTAATAAAAATTTTCAAAATAGAAGTATTCTTTGCTTGTTTTCTACTTAGAAAACCTTTGAAGTAGGAAATTTGATGTGCTGCACTTCTTGTTTTGCTTTCCAGCTTGTTTGCAAAGATAGCAATGGTTCAAGGCAGGTTGATGAATAAAATTTCTGGAAAATTTCCTGACTTTGGTGCTATCTTCATGTCAAATGCATCTACGAGGGAAGAGTGCCTCAAGAGAAAGCTCTTTGGTCTTCCAATGTCTTCTGCTGACTTTGTTAAAGGAGTTAAGGTTGGAATGATCTTGTTTCTTTTCGAATATGAGAAGCGAGAACTTTATGGAGTCTTCAAAGCAACTACTGATGGTGAGCTAAATATTGTTCTGCATGCATATAGATCATCAGGGAAGAAATTTCCTGCGCAGGTATTCATCAGTAATCCACTTTAAACTTTGTTGGTTTTTTGCTTTATTACAGCATTACTTTTACTATTTTTCCAGATTTTTTGCTTCAGTAATTTTGCTTTATTTTTTCCTCTACCTTTTTCTTTTGATGCTTATGGTTGGGTGATGTAGTGTGGTTCTTGTTGAAGAGTACTATGTATTCTGCTTTACATTTGTCCAGGTCAGATTTACCACAATCTGGCACTGCCATCCTCTTCGGGAACATGAATTTCAGATGGCTATTAGAGATAATTACTTCACTACAAACAAATTCAACTTTGGGCTGTCTAAAGATCAGGTCTTTTTTTCTCTTTTTGCAGTCATTCTGTTAAAAAGTTTTATTGTGTTGTAAAATGTTATGTGGTTGAGTTCATCTGATTGCAGGTTCAAAGGCTTCTATGGTTGTTTGGTTCAAGAAAGATAAGACTATTCCAATCTCAAAATCTTATAGATAGTGAAATTGTAAACAGGTATCATGAGGCTTCACTTGAGAAAAGAGAAATGGAGAAAGATTGGTCCAATCATACTCAGATTGGCAGAAAGAAACTGAAACAGGGTATCGATAGTGACTCACAATCTAATGGAGAGCCCCTAGCATATTCTGGTAAATTGACTGTCGCAAAAGATGAATCTCAACTGTTAGATTCTGGAGATTCACATACTACATTAAAGGAATCTGATAGCATGCACTATAATTGCCCATGCTTTCCTGAATCTCCTTGTAGCCAAAGGTCATTACCATTTGTTGCTGTTCACAGCTCTACTTCTGGACAGGAATTGGGTCCTCATCCTGACCATGCTATCCAAAGTCAGCCTGTTAGTGTTGGACAAGAGCTTCAAGAGTTGGAAACTCCAGGAAATCTTGACATTGATCTTGGAGATTACATACCTTTGTTGCCCTCTGATGATTCTGACTCAGATACCAGGGCTTCTCCAGAATCTGGATGTTTTATGACAGATCAAATAGGTCTGCCTTTTTCTGCCTCAGATCCATATGAGGATACATGGCACCCAGTTCCTGCTGCTTCTCCCATCACAAAAGCAGGTGATTTCTACATAAAGGAGAACAGTTATAGTTTAAAATCCCCAGTAGAGAACTGCCAAGCAAATGAGAATTCTGATTATATCAATCAGTATACATCTGTCAGGGGTCTTTATTCTGATGCTTCAAACAACAGGAGCAGTGTGTTCTCACGCTTGAATTTTTCATCTGGAGTACAAGACAAAGAGGATGATACCAGAGTGGAAAAATCAGCGCATAGAACTAGAAAACAACAGAAGTGTGGTACCAGAGTGGATAAGTCAGTTCAACAAATCATGGAAGAATTGCAACAAAAGCATGATAAATGGAAGAAAATGGTGAGAACGACTAGATCTGTTGAAAGGCAAAATGAACACACTGTGAACACAAAAACAAGTGTGTTTTTGCGTTTGAATAGCACTTCAGCACCTGATGTACAAGATAACTACATTTCTACAAGGTTGCAAGAGAGACATGACAAGCAGAGGAACATGAGAGAAACTAAATTCCCTGTTTCAGGTGGAAACAAACCTAGCGTGTTTTTGCGCTTGAGTAGGACTTCAGAACCCGAAGTTCACAACAATGGCATTTCTACATTGTTGCAAGCAAGACGGAGACATGACAAGCAGAGTAAGATAGGAGAAACTGAATGCCATGCTTCAGGAAAAAAATCTCACTCGCAATATATGGTAAGTCCAATTTGCCTTAATAGTGAAAATGAAGAAATAGGCAAAAGCTTGACGGCTACAGACTCCGATGGAGTAGAGCTGGATAATAATACTAGTCCTGATGTCACAAGGCCACTGAAGACGGACAAGCATCACCACCTTCCATCAAACAGCTTGCAAGAAGTATACGAGAACCTGACCGATAACAAAGGCAAATCAGACTTTTAATGAAGCTGACACCGGAACTAATGACGATGCAGGGTTCGGAAAATCCAATGATTTAAGAAGGGCAGATTGGTGACCATTTATTGATGAGTTCAGTCCAGTTCATCCCAAGAGTGGAATAATGTATTGAATGGAATGAGCAGGCAACTTAGGAAACATGGTGGGACATGGACCATGGCAAAAAGTCCAGAAGAAAGCAATTGGATTTGCATAGAAAAGCAACAAAAGTGTTAGATCTTACTTTGTTACTGACATTTTTTGACTAGTGATTCTAACGAAGCAGAGATATGTATGTTCCCAAAAGAAACAATAGACTTTACCATGTTAATGGTGAGACTTACATTACATCTTATTGTTTGGACAAAAAATAAATCAAACCAAAATAATCAAATGTCAAGCTCGAGATAATCCGAGCCAAAAGTAACTTAAATTTTTTTTATTCAAAGTAATCCAATTTAGAATAACATGAAAAATAATTTTATTCGAAATGACTCCGCTTAGATTTATTCCAATATCATTTCCAAATATACGAACATAAAATTAAATACTTGACTGTCAAATTACAAATTGTTTTTTAGAAAAGTAATGTTAAACAAAGTATTGTTTAATTTAATTAATTAAAAAAAAAAAAAAAACCAAAACAAAGCACATAATCCAAAAAGAGACAAATCCAACTAAGGTCCAATGCCACATGTTTGACCAGAGAAAAGAATCGCAAATGTCTTGGCACTCCGGCAATTATTTATGTGACCTTTTTCCTATTTTACTGTTTTACCCTTATCCCTTTTTAAGCTAGGGTTTCCCTTTCACATCTAAAAATGGGTTTTTATCATTATTAAATTAGCTGTTGGTGATTGATAAATACTATGCATTTTTCCTTTCTTTCAAATAAAATGAACATTTATCATTATTACGCATGTTTTCAGTCGAGTTTATGTTTATAAATTTCTATTTTTTACAATTTAATTTTTTACTCGAGTTTAATTTTTTAATAAGTTATAAATAAATTGAATATAAACAATTAAATATATATAATTTATTTATTTATTTTTAAATGTATTCGAGTTAGAGTTGTATTTGATAGAAAATTATTTTATTCATTCAAAATTAATTTATTTAAATAATAAAATATTCATATTTAATTCGATTGAATTAAATGAATTCATTTATAAATATTAAATAAATATATTTAATAATATATATAAATAAATATATTCACGAATAATAAATAAATTATATTAAAATAAATTTAAACAAATAAATAAATTTTAAATGAATATAAATAGACCTAAATGAATATAAACAAATCTTAAAATAAAATTAAGATAAAAGATAAAAATGTCATTTTGTTATAATTATTATAAATGTGTAATAAATAAATAATAAAGTAACGAGTTTTAAATGAATTTATTTACAAATATAAACAAATTAAACAGGCTTTTGTTTGTGTTTGATTCATTTAATAAATAAATATAAATATATTATTTAAGATCATTTATCAAATTTAATAAGTGAATATTAATCAACAAAAACTAAACATGTTCACAACTAATTTATTAAAAACTTTATTAATTTACACTCTTATTTTTTATAAAAAAAACTTATCTTTAAGACTTATTTCATCCATTATTATTAGAATTTTTTGATTTAACAATAATAAAATGATAAATACTTCTTAAAATATATTAAAAAAAAAACTAGTTTAAAAATAAAATGTGTCAATTTTTTATTTTATTTATAAATTAAAAAAAATCATTAACATTATATAAAAAAATCATAAAATTATTATAAATTTAAAAATGAATTAATTTTAGACAAATAAATTATAAAATCATTTGATCGCAATAAATTTATTTTTTAACTAGTTCAAGAATAATTTAAACAATTCCAACAACAGATATAATATTTTTTAAAGTTACAATTATAGTTAATTATTATATTAATATAATAAATTAAATAAACAACTTTTATATTATAATAAACCTATAATTACTAATTAATTAATTAATTAAAATATAACTAAAAAAAAATTTACACACAATAAAATTTGAATCTAAAATCTCATAATTCTATAATTTTTTCCTTACTACTAAATCAAAATCTGGCATTGACGTAATATTTTCTCGCACCATAATAAAAGTTCAATTTTTCATAAAAAAGTTAATTTGAAACATCAAAACAAAAAAAAAAAAGAAAAATGGTATGATATCATATTGTTTAGGGTAAAATGGTAAATTAAACAATGGCAAATCGAAAGAAAATGCGAGGGCATTTATGAGATGTCATGATAAACTCAATCATATACATTATTTCCTGCTCACATTCTTTCCTCCCTCTCGCTCTCCACGAGTTGTCTGCTTCTTTCTGTTTCTGTCTCTTAGCATTTTTTACTTCATTTTCTGCAGCAATTTTTTTTTTACAATGCAGGTAAGCTGAAAATTCTTTTTCTCTTCTCGTCTTCTGTGGTTAATGAATCTAAAAACTAAATCTTGTGAGTTATTTTGAATTAAAAATGTTAACTTTGTTGTGTTTCTAATGTTGGGTTTTCAGACAAGAACTGTACAAGTAAAGAACCTGTCAGATCTAGCAAGTGAGAGAGAAATTCATGAGTTCTTCTCTTTTTCTGGTGATATTGAGCACATTGAAATTATAGGGTAAGTTTTTCTATTCGTTTCTTTTCCTTTTCTGGTTTTGTGTAAAGGGTTGGTGTAAAATGTGTTTGGTGGCTGAGAAAATGAAAGAAAGTTGGAATTTTGGATCTTGAGTTTTTCCTTTTGTGGGCCAAAGTTAATGTTTTCAAAGTGAACTTAAAAAAAAAAAGGGAACGTGTGTTTTTTATTCTGCTTTTTTATTGTCTAGGCATCTAACCTGAAAGGTAAGGCTGCTTTGGAGTTTTTAATGTTTTATTTTTTTAATCTTTTTTGGGTTGGTGGATAAGTTCAAGTAAAGGAAGTTGGAATAAAATTTGGGTCTTCTTTTTGTTGCTTTCTTTTTTTTGGTATTCTGAACAACATAATGGAAATTTAACATAAGAAAAAGGGATGCTGTTGGTTAATTTGGATTGCTGTGTTGTTTTACGGTTGTTGCAGTGAACCTGGCCAATCAAAGACTGCATATGTTACATTCAAGGATCCAAAAGCTCTTGAAATCGCATTGTTATTATCGGTTCGTGCCTAATTGGTTTAACCATGGTTTGCTAAGTAGTGTGCTATTGATGCCTGCATTTTCCTTTTTTTCATTGTAAAGCTCAAATATTGTTTACTTCAAGAAATCAGCTAACCTTGCAATGCCTTTCCCTTATCTTCATTGTTTATACTTATCCTTGTGAATTCTTCCCAAAAGTTGGTTGCTTATGCCTTCTTAAATCAAAATAATTTGTTATAATTTGTTGACTTGAAATAAGTGGGCATGTAAAGCATTTTTTTATAATTGTAAAGCAATGCCAACTGCCAAGTAGGAAAAGTTGGCTATTTTGGTTTTCTTGAAAGTTTTATTGTCCTCACAAAATGATCAATATTTTAAGAAATAATGTATTTCATTGTTTTACTCTAACTAAATTTATTTTATCAGAAACGGGAAAAGTAATTTACTTAGTCTTAGTGATACAGTCAATCATACAGCTAGTAATTCTAATTGTGGAATATCCAGAAGTAAGAGAGGACTAACAAATTTCAATGCTTTAGATGTTTTCCTTGGTTGACGGTTGTTGTTGCCTGATTCCAACCCCCTACAAATTGCATATCCTATGAGGCCAGAGAGAGACCATCAGAGGGAAGCGGTAAAGAGTGGTTAATGGTGTTGGCTGATAGTTGTGACAGTCAGTTGTGTTGCTGGAATCCAGCTCACTATTAATCAGATATCTAATTTGGTCTCACTGTGGATATCTAGGATACTCACAAGTCCCCCTTGGATTCCCTTTTTTTCATTAGATGGTTTGACTGTGTATAATGGGACAAATGAAATACTGTCCTCCCTGTTTCCCACTTTTGAAAATTACTGTTAAATTCCATCAGCTATGTAATTCCTGATTTGCGCTTTTTAAGATTTGCTACATTTGTTTTTTCTGCATTAATTAACAATTAGATTAATAGATCTCATGTCTTTTTTAAAAAAAGATTTTAACTAATAGCAATTCTTGGTACAGTTTTTTATCCTGTCACATCGGTCTCTTCTATAGTAGTTAACATTTGTCTTTTTCTCTCCTTATACTGTTCCATTTGTTGTCTATTCAACAAGATGGATTCCTGTCATGAATTATAATTTGTGTCAACCTTTTCTTTTCCAAGAGTTGGGCATATGTTGATTAGAAATCTCTGTTCTTTTAAAGACAACATTACTCTACATACATGACTATAGGAAGTGAAATTTCTGAATCTTCTACTGCAGGGGGCAACAATCGTTGACAAGATTGTGACAATAATTTGTGCTGAAAATTATGTACCAAAGACTGAGATTAATGTAAGTTGACTGTGAAGTTTTGCTTTCTCTTTTCAAGTGCATTTAGCGAAATTCTTATGCTTTTTAATTGCAATTCATGTAGGAAGCAAGAACAGCAGACAGCATTGTGTCTATTACTCCTGCTGCGCATAATGCACCACATGATGAGGTACCAAATTGCTGTAGGATTAGAATGTCTAAAATTTATTTTACATATCAATTGTTTCCTAGTCGCATAGGCTGGTTAAATATGGGAAAGTGGTGGAAAGAATACGTTGATGTGTTCAGTTCTTTTTGATACATAGCTAGTTTAATATTATATTGAGAATTGCCGATTTGTTTAGTTGAACCAAATAGATTTTGAAATTTCAAATTTACTAAACAAATGCCAGATTAAAGAAAATACAATCAGGAATGTTCATGCACTTGATAAACCGTCGCTAACCCTAGGAAAAGGAAAGGATGATAAGGAAAAGGAAAAACATGGGTTTATAGTCTTTAAATTGAAGTTGATCATCCTGTTGTTAATGCATGATATATTGAATTCCTGCTTGTACCTGCCCTTTTTGCTATGACATGCTCAGTCAAAACGAATATTATGGTGGCAACTTTAAATAGATTCTGTCATTTGGATCTAAAATTTATTATTTTAGTTTATGAACTCAGGCTATCTGTTTATTGCATCAGGGTAGAACTAGTTCACCTAGCAGTGGAAGAATGTATGTTAGTAAAGCACAAGATGTTGTTGCAAGCATGTTGGCAAAAGGTTCAGCCATAAGAAAAGATGCAGTTAACAAAGCTAAAGCATTTGATGAGAAACATCAGTTGACAGCCAGTGCATCTGCCAAGGTCATTTCCTTTGACCGGAGAGTTGGGCTGACAGAGAAATTGACAGTGGGAATTTCAGTGGTTAATGAGAAAGTAAAGTCTGTGGATCAAAGGCTGCAGGTGTCGGATAAAACAATGGCTGCAATATTTGCTGCAGAAAGGAAAATAAATGACACGGGATCAGCTGTCAAATCTAGCAGGTATTAATTCTCCTCTCAAAACAGTGTGACTCCACATCTCTGGATCAAAGACAATAATGAATTTGATTTCTTGTGAGTTAACTATGAAACCTCTCAATGAGTGGCATTTTATTTCATTTAGCGCGGAAGAACCAATTATTTCTCATAGAAGTGAGACTGGGAATGATGGAAAACCCTATCTTAAGAACTTTAACTTTTTAGAATTTCTAAACTCATATTGGAGTTTCTTTTGATGAAGCTATTTTATGCATTCTTCAAAATCTTATATCCAGCCTTTATGCTCCAACTTAGAAAGGCCTCCTTTGGTAAGGTCATTCCAATACGTTGCAGTCTTTTCTTTAGGAAAGGATGCTTAATAAGACTTAATCAAAGTTTCTAGACTGAATAAATTGATCTTGGTGGATGTTATGTGTGTGAAAGACACCTGCATTATTACTAGTTGGACCTTGAACTGGTTCTAAGGCCTAGTGAGCATCCTGCAGTGCTTCTTTGATGATATTTGATATTGGAGGAAAAAAAACGCTATCATCCTTCTAATCAGCTTCATCCTCAAGTTATGATAACATTGGGGTACTCTGATTTCTTCTGGACAGGTACGTAACTGCCGGGACAGCTTGGCTTAATGGTGCTTTCAGCAAGGTTGCAAAGGCTGGGCAGGTTGCAGGTACAAAAACCCGAGAAAAGTTCAATCTAGCCATGTCAAACTTGACTACCAAGGTGCGTCATTCTGGTAGCACTCAAACGACTATAGTAGGATTATAGATTGCAGGCCTAAGAAACAATGTCCATTTTCCCATGTTAATCATGCCTTTAATTTTATTCAAGTGCAGGATCCAATTGCAGTGTAAGTCAGAATTCGGCATCTTAAGATCGCATCTTTTAGATCCTTGTTTACGCTTGCATTGAATGGCCTAGTTACACCAACTAGGAAAGAGGTATCTATAACTGGGGATCTAGATGCTTTGGGTAGGATGCACAAAGTTGTGTTCATTTTTGGCTTGACGTGTGTGCTTATGCAATACAATGTTTCTGTTTTATTTTTTACAATATTCTTTGATGCCTAGGGGTATTGTGTGTATGTCCTTTGTAATTTTAGAGCTTGTGACATTGCTTTCAAATCAGAAAGAAGCTGAAATTGATGTTAGCATTGTGCTCATTGATACTTCTCTTTTGTAATTTTTTTTTCCTTTAAGAAGAAAGCTGAAATTGCACTCATGTGTCAAAAGTTCATCCTTCTGGCATCCTTCATGTGCAAACCAGAACAAGATTGAACAACACACAATAAAACTTGTCATATTCACCCTTGTGGCAATTTCACCAGCCTGAAGGATCCCAAAGAAAATATTGTCTCACCTTTTTCCTTGCAAAATCATATTAATGAACTAAAAATCCAAGTACAGGTGCACGAAACTGCATTTGGGGTTTAGGCATACCTTATTTTTAGTTGGACAACACCCACAATTGACTCTAAAACAATTTGTTTTCTTTCTTTGATTTGATAGGTGGGACTCAATTTTAAATACGAAAATGATACGAAAATATATATAAAAATAATATAGTTTTAATATCTTAATAAATATTATATACGGATTTAGTAAAAAATAAAAAAAATTTATATTTGATGTGTTAACATAAATTATGATATAATAATTTTTATATTTTATATGTGTTTAATATAAAATAATTATGATATAAATACATAGATAATTAAGTTTAAATTTTAAGATTCAAGTTACAATGTAAGGATGTGAAGTCAAATTGCATAAAATAAACTCTTAGAAGAGCAAATGAAGTCAATCCAATCATATGCTAAAAATAAATGTGTCTGTTGGCCAGTTAGGTACATGTTAATATTTTTCCTTTATTAGTACTCTCTTGCCAGGTATACATGAATATCTTATTGCATTAGGTTTTGGCTGACTTGGTTTATAATTTTTGTGATAATTTCTAGTTTACGACACCAAGCTGACAACCTTACCTAGAACTAGAACTAGAAGCGAAAAGAACATGCCAACATTCTAAATCTCCGGAACAATCCATTAAAAAATTGGGAAGCAAAAACCAAAATAAAAATAAAAATAAAAATATCATTAAATTATAAGTAAACTCACAAAAGTTATTTTAATTAATAAGAACAGTTCGATTAACTGTAATAAAATAAAATTATAAATTTATTTTATATAAAAAAGAGATTCATATTGAAAAAGAATAAAATTTTAACAAAATTTAGATATTTCAAAATATATTATAAAAATTATAATTAAAACTGTGATAATAATATATGTTCGTGTAAAATTAAAATTTTTCACTGTTGGTTTATTTTAAATAAAAGAAAATAATTAAAAAAGAAACTCTTGTTTCGTAAACAAAGCCAAAGCATGAAATCTTGGCAATCACGTCCAGCTACAGACATGCATGTGGGTAGCATGTGAGTATGGCCAAAGTCCAAACGCTGCAATTTGTATTTTCGGCGATTTCTTTGAAGAAGCCGCTGTTTTCTCGTTTCTGCCTTTGGACTGGACTTCCCTTTTTTCTCTATAGTTCTCATCACTTCGGAGATTTATTTATTTATTTATTTTTGTAAAAGAGGGCTAATGTTTCTACAAAGGACAAAGAAGGTGGTAGGGTCAAATTCATGTCTACATAATTTTTAATTCATCTCTTAATCATTAATTTTAAAAAAAATTATTTTTTTTTACTATAAAGGGATACAATAAATAAATATTTAAAAAATATAAACTAAATTAGCAAATATTTTTATTATTTTTCAAAATATGAGCTGAAGTCAATTATTGGAGTTGAGGGGAAATTACTTTAATAAATTAAAAACAAGAGACCAGGAGAGAAAAGTCAGATGCTCAAAAAAAGTTGTTAAGCAAAAGAATAAAAAAATATATAAATTTTTAAAATGATAGAATTAAAAAAGGCGTTGAATTATCTTTCATTTTTATTTCTCAAATAAAAATAAATAGGATTCCATTTTATTATTTAAAAAAAAATAGACAATTTGTAGCTTACACGTCAACATTTATAACTTTTTTTTAGCGTGTTTATTACTAATTCTTATAAAATTCTTTGACAAAATCCTAAGTAAAGCATTTTCTTTTTTCATATATAAAAAAAAGAATTAAAAAAGGTATCTTTTTCAAAATGACAATAAGGAAGAGATATCGTTTGTCTTTTAATTAAAAAGAAAATGCGTATATTTATCAAAAAATTATATAAAATAATTATATTATGTCAGCTTATATTTATTTTGTTTAAATTATATTATATAGTTATATTATAAATAAATAATTTATTTATTAAAATTAAATTAATTATTTAATTATCACATATAATATATAATAATTAATTAAAATTTTTAATAAATATAGAATATAATTTAAAAAATATATATAACAAATATTACTGTTTCATAAAATTATATCTGTTTGCAATGTCATCCATTTACTTCGTACATTTACAAATGTTTGACAAATTAACAAAGGCGTTGAAAGCCAAATAAAAGGACAAGGAGAAGTCCAAAACGGCTTGGGAAAAAAAAAAGCAGTCTTACTTCTTAATGCGTAATTAAATCTACTAAAGTACCGTTCAAGACCAGGTGGCCATACACAAAGTATTACGTGGACCCAAGAGTGTCGTGACGTCAAAAGCACAAGGTCGAAATCGTCAATATGAATTTTCAGTTTCCCAAAATACCCCATTTGTCTCGTCTTCAAACACTTCTTTCTCTCTCTAATTTTCTCTCAGTCATGCTTTTATGCCTTTGGTTCTTTGGGTATATTCCTTAGCTTTGATTCTCTATGTAACAGAAACATGCCTTTGGTTTACGTTTTCATTCCAAGTTCTCTTCTTCTAACTGCCAACAATTTCTCTTGGGGAGTTTTCGTTAAGGTGTGGTAAACAGATTTGGTTTTCTTTGATATTCAATTTCCAATTGAAAAAAAATGTATTTTCTTCATTTATGTGTTGTTTTTGTTGAATTCACTGAGAATTTGACGATGAGTATATTTTATTTTTTTGGTGTTTTGCTTTCTTGAGTTGTCATTGGTGAAGCTGGGAACTTGGGTAGCTATTGTCTTTGATTGGAAGTTTTGATTTTTGATTTGTTGGTTAATGATGGGTATGGGTTAAATTCATGTAATTTTGGATCTGGAGATTGATTTTCCTATGATTGATCTGTTATTCTCTTTTGCTCTAATTTTAAATTTTGCATTTTGGTTTAGCTCTATAGCTTTGCTTTCAATTGTGTACTTTGTCTTAGATCAATCATTTGCTTCCCAGAAATGAATCAGTCTAAAGCCATTGTTACTCTCTCTATTTAGTTTCTGTTGCAGTAAATTTGAGACAGCTTTTGAGATCAAATGTATTTTCATTTTTAATGTGCAAGCAAAGTTGTTTTTGGCTCTTTGCATTTGAGTTTGTAATTTCTTTTCATTTTTACATCATGAAATTTGCAATTTTTTATTGTCTTTCTAGTGATGGAGTTGTTTTTATGTTGTTCATTCATTTTTCTTTAGTTATTATATCTGTTCTACAAGATACTTTATGCTGACAGATGAAATTTTAAATGCAGAATGTTGCTTCACCTTTTTATGGGAGATATCTTTCTTCTTCATGAATGCTAATGGGGGTGTGTGGATGGTTGTTGAAACTGGTACGTCTTCATAGTAAAGATGGTGAAGATGATGGTGGGCTGATATGCTATTGACAGTTTAACTCAACTCTTTATTTAAATGGAAATAGATTCTAGACCCTGTTGATTTCTCGATTATAATATGGACTAGATGGAATAAACTACCTAGGAGGCCATGGCAGTTTGTTTGGCCTGTGCTAACTTCTTTATAGGCATTTGGAGAATCTTTGGCTCTCGACATAATGTGGTGAAGGCATAGTGTTAAGCAGCAGCCATCAGCTGTGATCTCTGAATAGTAAATTTCAATAACTTAAAAAATGTATTTGTAGATTGTTCTCAGTATATAAAGAGTAGTGGAGATGTTAACGTCACCTCAAGGACAGAAGCAGAACCTCCATAAATCCATGCAAAAAATTCCACCTAATGGCTCACATAAAGATTTGTGGCTTGCTGTGCGAGAAGGATCCTTGCCTGATGTAGATTCAGCATTGATGCTATTGAAGAAGACTGGAGGTAATATCAATTCAAGGAACAGTTTTGGTCTGACTCCTCTTCATATTGCAACTTGGAGAAACCACATTCCCATTATTCGGAGGCTTCTAGCAGCTGGTGCTGATCCTGATGCTAGGGTCTGTAATTCTTTTCATCCCTTAGTTGATCTGAATGCTTTCACGTTCGTCATGGATGCCTATCAAGCATCCTGCTCTATAATGTCTATGATCTTGTGTTAAACGTCATAAGGCCATAGAGATGTTATGATGGTCCAATTAGGTTGAATCCTCTTTCCATGACACCTCAGAATCTATCTTTCAGGATGGAGAATCAGGATGGAGCAGCCTTCACAGGGCTCTGCATTTTGGTCATCTTGCTGTAGCAAGTGTTCTCCTTCAGTATGGTGCTTCTATTACATTGGAAGATTCAAAATGTAGAACACCTGTAGATCTCCTATCTGGGCCTGTGTTGCAGGTTTTTGGATGTGGGCAAGATTCAGGTACCTGCTACGGTCTTGACATGGTTGGAAAGCATCTAGTTGCTTTATGCAAACGAAATCTATCTGTATTAAAGCATAACATAGTTTTCTTTCTGTTTTTAGTAGCTACTGAGGTGTTTAGCTGGGGAAGTGGTGTAAACTATCAACTAGGAACAGGAAACGCCCACATACAAAAGTTACCATGCAAGCTTGATTCATTTAGTGGCTCTATTATCAAGTTAGTTTCTGCTGCTAAGTTCCACAGTGTAGCTGTTACTGATAGTGGAAAACTCTACACCTGGGGTTTTGGAAGGGGGGGCCGTCTTGGGCATCCTGACTTTGACATCCATAGGTAAGAGATTTCTTGTGCCTTTGCATAAGACAGGGTCTTAGCAGCTTTAATGATACTTCAATCAGGAACTCTAAATTTAAATTTAAGCTATGGGAGCTCTAGACATTGAATTTTGTTGGTTCAAAATTTTCGTCACATTTTTCTGGTTTGGAATACCATACTGAAAATTTGTAAAAGTTTGGGATAGTTTTATTTATTATTTATTATTTATTATATTTAGGATAACGTGAATCAACAATCATGAACATATTATTTTGTCTTTTATACTTTTCAGTGGTCAAGCTGCAGTTATCACTCCCCGCCAAGTGACTTCTGGTTTAGGGGCTCGTCGGGTGAAGGCAATTGCTGCAGCTAAACATCACACTGTAATTGCTACCGAGGGTGGGGAAGTGTTCACTTGGGGATCCAATAGAGGTAAAAATTTATGGGTTATGCTAGCAAGATTTGCTGACCATATGAGATAGTTGTTTCCTCAAGTGAAAATTTTCCCTTTATTCTATTATTTGATTCAAAATCACTTACCTTCTACTATTTTATCAGAAAAATGATGTTCTGCATTATGTTTCAAACCAAATCAAGGACTTATTGACTAGAAATGCCTGATTAGACTTCATCTTGTGTTGTGCAGAGGGTCAGTTGGGCTATACGTCTGTGGATACCCAACCAACACCACGTAGAGTAAGTTCACTTAGATCAAGAATAGTTGCTGTTGCTGCTGCGAATAAGCATACTGCTGTTGTCTCTGAGTCTGGTGAAGTTTTCACATGGGGCTGCAACAGAGAGGGGCAACTTGGTTATGGAACCTCTAATTCAGCATCAAATTACATACCAAGAATAGTTGAGTGCTTGAAAGGCAAGATCTTTATAGGTGTTGCGACTGCAAAATATCAAACCATTGTGTTGGGAGCTGATGGAGAGGTAAATATGCTAGCATCTGCTATTTTTTGTAATTAAAGTGATCTCTATTTGCACGAATCCTTAATCCCAAATACTTGGATTCCAATTGGATGAATATTTTGTAGACTAGCTCTAATCAGAGTGAGTGCCAACATCTTAATTTCATTGTTGTTTTTACCTGCTATTGTGGAATGAGAGTATATATGGGGCTAACCACCGTAAAACTTGTATGGCAGGTGTATACTTGGGGTCATCGACTTGTTACACCTAGGCGAGTTGTCATTACTAGAAATATAAAAAGGACTGGAAGCACCCCTATGAAATTCCATCGAAAGGAGCGACTTCATGTGGTTGCAATAGCTGCTGGGATGGTACATAGCATGGCTATGACTGAAGATGGAGCATTATTCTATTGGGTTTCCTCAGATCCTGATCTTAGATGCCAACAGGTTCTATTCCACTGTCTTTGATTGATTTTTCCTTTCCCTCACAAGTGAAACATATTATTTACTTCCTCTGGATGAATTGTACAGCTATACTCGCTGTGTGGAAAAAAAATAGTAGGCATTTCTGCTGGTAAGTACTGGACTGCTGCTGCTACTGCTACAGGTGATGTTTACATGTGGAATGGCAAGAAAGGTGAGGAAAAACCACCGGTTGCAACTCGGTTATATGGCGTTAAGAAGGCTACTTCAGTTTCAGTTGGTGAAACTCATCTTTTGACTATTGTTTCTCTCTATCACCCTGTCTATCCTCCAAATATGCCCAGAAGTGATCAAGCACCAAGGTTGGAAGTCAATGACGAAGTAGAAGAATTTGATGAGGAATTTATGTTTACTGATTCAGAGTCAAGTAGTATGAGATCATCTGTTCATAAAAATGTTTCTGAGGAGAAGCCCATACCAAGCTTAAAGAGTCTTTGTGAGAAAGTGGCTGCAGAGTGTCTAGTGGAGCCACGGAATGCAATTCAACTACTTGAAATTGCAGATTCGCTTGGAGCTGATGATCTAAGGAAGCATTGCGAGGTATTCTACTCAAAGGCATTAGCAATTATGAGGAGAAAATTTTCTTATAGTCTTCCATGTGCTTTCATTTGTGCCTAACTTGTGACTTTGCCTTGGATTTTTTATGATAGTATACCTAACTTTAAAATTTCTAACAATACTAGATATTCATGCTTTCCCTTAATGTACCAAACTTCAGCTTGAAAAAAGAAAATAGTAAGAGAGATCTACAAGACAAAACCCGTAATGTATTGGTTTTCTTCTTGTTATTGTGACCTCCCATGTTAGCGATCTCTTCTTTTTTTTGGGCCTCCGGACATTTTTGAGCACAATGAGTGTCTTACATGATATAGAATCTTTACTTCTGTAATTTTCATATTTTAGGTATTATCCTACATGTCAATATCTATCACTTTAATTCTGAACTTCTTCCAGAAGAAAAAATATAAAGGAAATGAAAATACAATTTTTGTATTTTAAACTTAGTATGTGTAAAAAAGTTTGGTGGTTATATTTTCTTTCATTCTCTTGTTTCAATAGAGTTGCCTGATAATTTAGAAGTAAGTTCTTGTTTCTTTTCTTTTTTCCCCTCACTTTGTAAATGGGAATCAAAACAGAATTTAAGATGCCAAACTTCTAGTTCTGCTGTCACTTATTTTCAGCTCAGTGTAGGTTTTATGTGGTTGTTTAGACATTGTGTTGAACAGGTACATTGATTGTTTTATCTCTTCATTTTTCTCTAGAATATACTAATTTCTTTTTCAGTCTTTAATATGACAGTTACTACCCTGGGATGTAGATTTACTTTTCATGCTACTTGTCATATTCTTTGTTTGGAAGAACGTATATGGTTGATGTAAGTTGTGTAGTTTCGGACCAATTCTGACCTAAAAGATCACCTGGCAGATCAGATTTTGTCAATTATATCAGCAGTTTCCACTAAGGTTTCTTGACATGATGTTTTGCATGGAGATATACTCTAACAACAAAGTTGTCTTGACTTCTTGAATGCAGGATATTGTTATTCGAAACTTGGACTATATCTTAACAGTCTCATCACAAGCTTTTGCAAATGCATCACCAGATGTTCTAGCTAATCTTGAGAACTCCTTAGACTTAAGATCATCAGAATCATGGAGTTACCGTCGGCTTCCCACTCCTACAGCTACCTTTCCGGTTATCATCAATAGTGAAGAGGAGGATAGTGAAAGTGAGGTTCCAAGGACCCGTGACAACTGCAAGAACAAAACTCCTTTGGAAAGTGGAGACAGATTGGACTCCTTTCTGCAACCTAGAGTTGATCCTAATCAAGGCATTTCAAAACAAGTTCGAGCTTTACGGAAGAAGCTGCAGCAGATTGAGGTGCTTGAAATGAAGCAGTTGGGTGGATGCATACTTGATGACCAGCAAATTGCAAAGCTGCAAACAAGATCTGCTCTTGAAAATTCTCTTGCTGAGCTTGGTGTACCAGTTGAAAAATCGCAATCAAATGGATCATCTTTGATTTTACCAGATGGAAAAGGAAATAAAAAGGCTGAGCTTTCAAGAAAGCAGAGGAAGAAGAGCAAACAGAAGGTAGCTCAAGTTGAGACAGTCTCTGGTTTTAGTACAAGTAGCATAGAGCCAAACTCTGTGAAGGACTTTTCTGATATTGAAATGCCCCAAGTTTTAATGAATAAGGTTTGATTTTTTAAACTCATACTTTTGGGCATGTAAAGATCTTTCTAAACGTATCTTTTTTGTGTGTACACTTTACTGAACTGAAGAGTTGCTTGGTTGTTGTTCTCGGTGCATCACTATTCCTAGGGACTGTTTGGATGGATTCAAGTGCGTTTCTTTCTTTTGCTTTCTGAATGCTGCAAGAGTGTTACTTGTGAGATTTTAAGTCCTTGAGGAAAGAAGCGCTGCAACATTTACGTTGCCTACTCTTTCTTCTATCCTGCATTAATTGTGTAACATACTCACCATAAAATTTCATCTAGTCCACTTCACCTCCTCTGGTGTCTATCATTTCTCCTTCTGCCAACTCTTTTTTGTTGTGAGTTTCTCGAGTTTTTCAATTAGTAGCTCTAATATTGAGGTTCAAAAGTCTGCAACAACTTAATTAGGATTTCTAGGTAACAGCTGAAATGAAAAAGTGAAGCCCTTTTTCTGTCAATGATCTTGATACTCGTGAAAAGTAGCGTCAAGAACTGCATTATGCACTGTTTCTGTGGGTTAAGGATTTCAAATGCCCCAGGTAAACGTCAATATGTGTAATTTTCTATGATTTAATAAGGTCTGCTATTTAGGGTCTCATACTGTTGGATCTTGACGAGTGTTTTCTTTATTTCCTATAAATTACTGAAATGAAAAAAAAAAGGTTAAAATTACTTGAACAAGTAATCATATTTGTTGAAGTCTTTGTGACTTTTGACAGGAAGAAGATGCTATGTCTGAAGCAACTATAGCAGACCAAGTCTCCAAAGAGGCTACTTTCTTTGCTCGAAAAGAGGACAGTTCAGTGCCAGCAAAAGATAAGAGTACTTCACAAATAGCAACCAAGAAGAAGAATAGGAAAGGTGGACTTTCTTTGTTTCTGAGTGGTGCCCTTGATGACACCGCCAAACATGCTACTCCCTCTCCACCAACACCCCGAAGTGAGGGCCCTGCATGGGGTGGTGCAAAGGTTTCAAAGGGATCTGCGTCACTTCGAGAAATTCAGGATGAACAGAGCAAAATACAGGTGACCCAGCTAAGTGGAAGCAAAAATCAGGTGGAAGATCTTTTTGATGGTAGAAGTGAAGGAAAAATGCTGCTGAGTTCATTTTTGCCATCCAAGCCTATTCCTGTGGTCTCAGTTCAATCGTCACAGGCATCTGATGTAGAAAGAAGCACACCTCCTTGGGCTGCCTCCGGTACTCCTCCTTATCTTTCTCGGCCATCTCTCAGGGACATCCAGATGCAGCAGGTGAGTGAAATTACTGCTCTCCTTCTCTCTTGGTGTCATACATCCATCCTTGACTGGTTTCATAATTTATATTATCTAACTATGAGCTTTGTTTGTAGCCTGAAAATGCTGTCATTTCTTTTGTTCTTGCATGTTATTTTATTCTTGTTCTCGAAGTTTGCAGGACTCACTTTCTTGTTGGTCCTTTTGACTAAAAGCAGGGAAAACAACAGCACAGTCTTTCTCATAGTCCAAAAACGAAAATGGCTGGGTTTTCAACAGCTTCTGCTCAAGGTTCACCATCCGATTCCCCTGGGATGAACCGCTGGTTCAAACCAGAGGTTGAAGGACCGTCTTCAATTCGTTCAATTCAGATTGAAGAGAGGGCTATGAAGGACCTCAAACGCTTCTACAGCAGTGTTAAAGTTGTCAAAAACCAGTCATAAGAGGAAAGAAGAGGATATTTTCTTTTTCAGGTGGCAAAAGGCTTTCTTTTTTTCCCCTTTCTTTGGTTAAATGTAAATTCGGCTGTACAGATGTTCTCCATGACCATGTACATTTAACCTTTTTCTTCTTTTAGGTTAGTTTCAGCATCACCTTTTTTTTTTCTTATCATGGAGTTTCTTTACTTTCTTTCATTCTTTCGCTGATCTTACCATTTAGAATAATTTTCATCTTGAAGAATTGAAAGTTCTTATGGATGTTTATTGTACAATCAGCAATAACCTAGTCTTTTAGCCCCATCAAACAAAAACGTTTTTCATGAAATCAGCTTTCTTTTCCATGAATGAGTAGGAAGTTCACAATCCGTCATTAGGTTTGGACCTGAAATTTTCAGAATTAATAATCTTCTCTTTATTCTATCGGTTTATTGGTGTTCAGCTATGCTCAATAATCAATGCATCATATTTGATGAAATGAGGGGATAGTATGCAACATGATCTTCGGGGCACGTGTCAATCAAGCAAAGTTGTAATGGGTCCTACACACATAATCATTCAGGTTCTCAATAGGGGAGAGATCAGTGGCTGGGACCATGCCAGAAGCATTTCTTGCCCAACACAAATAGCCATACTTCTTCCAACCCTCAGGGCCAAAAAGAGCAGATACATTGTCTAGTCAAAAATCTTGTGAACATGAAGATGTTTCTTTCCTTTCTTTTGAGAAAATAAAAGAGAGGAAAAAGAAAAGATAATCGTGTGGACCCATGATGGGGGCAAAGTTGGGTCGAGACTTGAGTACTTGAGGGAAAGCGAAAGGTGAAAAACCCACTTTGATGTGACAACCCCATGAAGAATAAGGCCTGTGTTTTTGGAAAGAGAATCCCATAATTTCACTTGTCAATAATATATGGCATGAATTCTTCGCCAATACTTCGGTGTGTCACTGTTTGAGGCTGTGAATTGAGAAAAGAAAACAAGATTTGTGAACATTGCAATTAATTTTCTAGTAATGCTTAACGTTGTGCTGTTTTGTCACTCAATTCACTTCGTAGGATGGTAGGGTAAGATAAGAAAGATAGCTGAGGAGCATCTCATCCAAAATAGTAATGCTGAAATTATTAAGCTTCGAAGTGTATATGAAGTTTAGATTTTACTATTTGTAATCACAAAAGATTTGAATGCATATGATTTACTAGATTTTCAACTATTTGCATAAAAAAAGCATCCCTACTTTTCCAAAACTTAGATCCTGAGAATCACCCTGATAATAATTCAGCTCAAATTTCAACCATAACAGTAAAAGTGGAAAAAGAACATAAGATTGTTCAAACTTGCATGGATACAAGCTCATATGGTTGGAATTATTCTCATGTGATGAATGAAGTACAGACACGGTATTGAAGGGATATGATTTCTTTTCCAAAGCAATGCAAAATCATCAAGATATTCACATACATGCAATTCTAAAGATATTATGTTTGGTACAAGGTGATTATTTCAAAAATCATATGATCTATATATAATGATTAGATAATCGACTTTGATAAGCATTAGGTAATTTTACGTGAAGCTAACCTTGGATATTAATTTCAACTCCATACTAAAGTACAACTAAATGTTGGCAAGCCCATCAAGATCTGTCCCACCCTTTGAGATTGAAGCAAGAATTGGAATTTAATACTTCATTATCATTCAAGAAGCAAAGTTAAAGTCATTAGTTGGAAAATTTACTTCATCCTTGGTAGATAAGAAATGTTTCTGTCATTAATACATAGGTCGAGCTCGAGGGAGACTGATTAGAAGGCCAGTTAGAAGTACTTAAGTGCCTAATTACATTCCTAATTACATTCTTAGGGTTGAATCTTTCTAGCTATATATTCTATTAGAAATGAGAATTAACATGATTTTCACCCAAGTACTAATGCTGTTCGTAACATGCTATGGGGATGGTTAAAACAAAAGTTGAATTTGAAATGTTCTATCCTCATTGAGAAAAGTAAAAGAAAGAGAACATGTCTATAGGCATAAATTTTTGCTACCCTTTGGTAATTAGTACAGAAAATTGCATGAAATGAAGAAAAGTATAGGAAAACTTGTCAAGGATTAGAAAGATACAAAAAGGAAGTCCTAAAAGAAGAAAAGGAAGAAAAATAATCCACAGAGAAAATGGTCACTGTAGAATGGTGGATGGGCCATCTGATGATTAATACTTATGGAAAATGATAGGAATTATTTGTTTGATGAAGATGGCCTGTAAATCTTGGCGTTAAGGGTACCCTACATCACATGCGAGTTTCAGCATTGCAATTGAAAAACAATAAAACTTGATATCATGAGCTTTTAGGATCAATTGTTGTGAGACACACCAGCAATATTCCTACACTCTCTGCTGCCATTTTGCCTGCAGGGATTGTTGGCTTCAAGATATTCTAACACTTCCTTGCAAGCAAGATAATTGTTCAATGCCATCCCATATGGCCCCACTGAGAGATTAATCTTAATATTAATCATGGTTTTACACCCAATTTAAACAAATAAATATTTGAAGAAGACTATATATGAACTCATCCATTAATTAAAAACTTAATTTAATTTGCCTATACAGAATTTTACAAGAGCAAAAAAATGAATAAAAAAGATCATATACCCAAAAGTGTCAAATGGTTATTATGTATAAAGATTCATCTAACTGTAAAACTAAGTTAATTATATCTGAACATATAAAGGAGCTCAATCTCCTCCCATTAATTATATCCTATGGAGTTTTTCATATCCGATCTCTCAAGTTAAAACAATTATAACCTTATTTCGAACCCAATTAAGTGTTCTCAAATGGATTGTAAGTCTCTTAAAATCCCTATTATTCCCTTATTGATTTCTAATTGGACTTTCTTAAAGTTAACCTACTTAAGGCTGTACTAGGTATATAATTTGAGCTAGCCTTTCTGAGGGTAGCAGGTATAACAGCTTGGATGGCATTGTAGCAAATAGTTAAACTAACTCCAATAATTAATTTCTTAATACATTGTTAGGTGATCATTACCATTTGGAGAAGTTGGACCCATTTCTCTTATACTTTGTCAACATTATGCACTTTGGTGACATCTTTCCTAGGTTCAAAGCCTTTTCAATTGGATGAATTATTGGAGTAGACAAGAACAAACAACCAAAACTACAATCTTTTAAGGTTTGTTGCCTAGGATTCATTAATTAGAATTCAAGATATAATCAAGACTAATTAATCCTACTTTAAGACTAATTAAGACTCAAAACAACATGCATGTGCTAATCAAGAAAACCATGCATCATTTCATTTTGGTAAGTTTCACTCTTAAAGATACATTAATTATAAATCTTGGTGCAACTTAACATCATAAAATGAAGGATCTAAGGATTTTGAAGTGCTAGCTAATTATTTCAAATGCATGTACATGTCAAAGCTTTAAATCAAATCTTGCCTCTATATATGTAGTACTAGTTAAGATCATTGATAAGATTAATAATTAAGTAGGAGGGTTTTTCTTTTATACATATATACGCTAACCATTTTTTTCTTAGTTTAACCCTAACTAGCATATTACACCATTGGCCAAAAAAAAAAAAAAATTTATCACCTTGATGAATCCATTTTACTTGGTGTGTGTGTGCGCACGCGTGTCTATATATATATATATATATATATATATATATAGAGAGAGAGAGAGAGAGAGATTTATTTAAATTATTGTAACTCTTACATTTTTTTTAATTTTGAGATCAAAATTATTAAATTTAAAAATATTATTTTAATTCGAATTAGTCATAAATTTAATTTGGATATAAAAAAATGTATGAATTACAATGTTAAAACATTTATAAAAAATAAATTTATGGTTTAAAAAATAAAAATATTAAATGTCTATGAATGAAAAAAATATTTTAAGACAGGCCAAGATTAAACAAAAATGAATAAAGAAAAAAACATGAATACCAATAATTACAAGCAACATCATTTAACATAATGATTAACGTATGATCTTGTTGTTCAAAGAGTAGGATTCGATTTTCCATTTCCTTCCTAATTTGATGCATAAAACATGAAGGGCGAATATATTAAAATCTTATTGTAGTGGAGGCCCATATTGTCACTTCTGAATGTCTCGTAGCTTTCTCGTTATTTTCAGTGGTAAGCTCATGATCCTTTTTTTTTTTTTTTTCACAGAGATAGGCTGTAAAAGCCCTGTATTTTTCTAACCACTCTTCTTTTTTTTATCTCTTCAAAAAAGACTTAGAAGAAGACAACACCATACTTCCAAAACCTACCAGCATTTTTATTATTTTAAGATTGTAGTGACCTGTCAATCATGTGCTTTTCTACGTTTATGTCTTTTTCTTTTATTAATTTCTTCTCTTCCTTCCTTGTCTCTCCCTTTCTTTGATATAACTATTAACTATATCATGCTCGCATTCACTTCACTTGTTTCTGTGAGTTTGGGAGAAAAAGAAAGAGAGAGATCAGAGGCAGAAAACTTGAGTGTTTTGCAGCCTTGTTTGATTGTTGAATCATGAGAAAGTATAGGGTCATCGAAAGAAGGAAAAGGGGTGTTGGGAATGAAGTTTGATCCAAGATCCTTGTCTCTTTCTCTTTCTCTTTTCTCTATCTCTCCTTTATATTTGCTTGATTTGTGTGTGCATGCTTGCTTGTGTCTCCTTTATATATTTATATTAAAGATAAAAAACCTTCTTCAGTTTTGATTGCTAAATCATGAAGGAAAAGAAAGAGAAATAGGAGATAAAGATCATACCTACCTTGAGGAAGGGAAGGGTGTTTTTGTGTGTGTTTGAGAGAGAGAGAGAGAGAGCAAGAAAGGATGATATCAGATATGAGAGAAGAGGGAGATCAGAGCTGGCTAGGGAGGGTAAGACTTAAAAGAGTGTTTTCTTTGAAGAAAAGAGGGTTTGTGGAATGAAGTTTGATCCAAGATGGATCGATCCCTCCACTTCTCCAATTCTCCTTATGTTCTTAATTATTTGATAACTTGAGGGATTGATCATTGATCAATCGATCTCGGACCAGGCTTCATTCCTCACACCATGCTTTTCCTTGATCCCACACAATCAAGCCAAGGCTATGATCTCTAATCCAGGTTTGGCATATAGATATACATATGTAAGAAACAGCTTTATATAATATCTTGTTTTCATTAATTTATTTTCTTATTAAATCTCCATTAAGAACTCTGATTTCTACATATTTCTAGTGATATTTTCATCAAATTTTATCGTATATGTACAAATAATAACATCCCTTTTCCATTTTCCTTCTTTAGAATATTTCCAAAACAAATGATGCATCACATGTGCTATATATATATATATATCATTTTCCTTGCTATATTATACATAGTATTTTGCTGTATGGTAAATTGATAATAACTTATGGGATTCATGAAATATTATTTGTCTTTCAATATTCAGTTATTCTAAAACAATTTGTCAGACCAAAAAACTAAAAACAATAATATTCTCTTAATTTGAATTCTTGAGGTCTCTTGCACCTGTTATATCAATGAATAGATTGATATAACATAAACCCTAGTAGTATTCTGTTTCAAGTTTATCAAGTTATAGTACAGTTCATGATTAGTGGTTTTCCTATTCAAGTTTTGTGCTAAAAAATTACTTTGCAATACATTACATAACTAATTTACACTGTATTTTTTTTTTTTTTGAAGTTTTTGTACTACTATCAACTGACAAAAAACTGGCATTTCCATTTATAAAAATAAAACTCATGTGCAAACAGAGATACAATTAGACCAAATTTCTTTTCTTTTTCCTTCATCTCTATCCCCTTTGCTTGAAACCAATCTTAATCATACATAACTATATATATGATACAAAAATATTACATAATCTTAATCTTATGTCGAAATGGAATCCCAAAATATTGCAACGACTCTCAGAACTTCAAGGGCAATTTGTTTCCTCAAAGGCAAGTATTTGAAATCTATCACTCACAGCTTGTATCTATTTTGTTTGGATGGAAAGAAATCAAAGAAAATTTGGTCGATCCCCATGCAATTAGAGGCGAAACCAGGTATAAGTAGAAAGCAGACCAGATATTTAATTTAACGGGAGAAGAGGATCAAATAGTAAGTTTCATGATACACATAAGGGTGCTAAAATTTTTTAGGGGCCATGGTCCATGCCTACCCCCTTAGCTGCTCATCTGCCTGCAGTGTTGATTCAGTTGTTGTTTATATCATGGAGGAAGCTCAACTAAGGATTTGTAGCTCCTCTCAGCTAGTCATATCCTCTAGGAACTATATATAGTTTCTTTTTCTTAGGAACTTATTAGTTAAATGTTCTATGAGTTTGTAATGTGTTAATTTAACAAGTTTACCATAGCAGATTTGGTCCGTCTCTTTAGATGAATAAAAGGCATTTATTCAAAAAAATTGTTGCATTGATATGATAAAAAATAAAACCCAAAACTTTAAATCATTCTATTTATACAATCGCTTTTAAAATGTAATATCTAATAGATTTAAAATTTAAATCCTCGCATTACAATATTTTTCATTATCCCAAGTTGTGATTTTTTTTTTTGTAAAAAATAAAATTCTTAGATATTAATCTCAATATTACAAGTTATACAAGTTTAAGTGGATTGTTATTTTTATTATTTTTGAAACCTAATTATATTTTTTTACTTGATTAAAATTTATTAAAATGTAAATAAAAAATATGGAAAATATACTTAATGAAATTTGAGAAAATTACTAAATTAAAATATGAATTTAAACATTACTACTATTTTACATATATTTTTCCTTAGTTTTTGGAGGCCCGAACAAGGATTTCGGAAATGTCAATGCCACGTTCGGGTTTCCTTTTATCTGTTTCTTTCTATTTCTCCTCGTTTCTTTCCCTTCTAAAGTTCAGCATTTTTTTGATCCAATCGTCAGGTTAAAAAATCACAAAACTCTTCATTAACCATTACCCAGAATCCCATTTTCATTACTTTCCCCTTTGCTTATCATTAATCAAATTATAAAAAAAGTATTTTTTATCTTTTTGTTTTTCACTCTGTTGTGCAGGTGAACGTTCAAAGCTCCCTTTTTTTTTTTAATAATCTTAATCTTAGAAGTTGATTTTGGTCGGCTTTTTGAAGCATGTAAGTCTTATTAGTTTAGTTACCAATATGGGTTTTTGTTCTTTTATTTATTTATTTGTTTATTATTTTTAATTGAAGTTTGTTTCTTTGATAATTTTATTGTTATATGTATTTTGATTAATCACACGAACCGTTCAATATTTGTTTTTTTTTTTTTTTAACAAAGTAGTGACTATCCAATAGGTTGAATCAAAAGCTAATGCTTCTCTCTCTCTCTCTCTCTCTCTGTATATATATATATATATATATATATATATATATATATATATATATATATTTTTTTTTTCCTTATAAGGTTTGCTTGTTACTTTTTGTTTGCCTAAGACAAAGTAAATGCCAAATGTCAAAATTAAAGAGAGCTTGAAAGTTGTAAAAGAATTGATTAACGTCTTTGAATATGTATCTTCTGTTGGTTATTTATGTAGTCTTGCACAAACTTGCAAAGTCCTCTATCCTTTGCTGGCAGGAATTTCAAATTAAAACTGTAAACTGTTTTGCAATTTTAATGACATCAGCCCCTTACCTTATTCACAAAAAGGGGTGAAAACCTGATAGTCTTCATCTTTGTGTACCAATAGTTTCTTTATTATTATTATTATTATTTTGGTTCTTTTATTTTCTGAAGTTGTTTCGAAGTTTTGTTAAGCTTATTAACTGCTGAATTTCACTTTAGGGAATCTGTTCAAGAAGGTGTTCTTCCCGGATTGCCTGATGATTTAGCTTTGAGATGTCTGGCCAAGTCGTCACATGGTTACCATGGGGTGATTGAATCTGTCTCGAAGAAGTGGAAAGATTTGGTTCGCAGCAGTGAGTATGCAAATTATAAAGCTAATCAAGGATGGTGTGGGGATTGGTTATTTGTCGTCACTGAGCGTTCTAATAATCAGTGGATTGCCTATGATCGTGAAGCTGATAGATGGCATCCCTTGCCAAAGATTCCAACTGAGCATGATGGCTTGCAGCATTTTGGATTTTCGTGTGTGTGTGTGTCTGTAATCGTCTCCTTGTGATTGGTGGCTCTTATGCACCGCGTGATACTGCTTCTCCCCATCAAATGCCTGTGATAACAAATGCTGTTATGCAGTTTGATCCATTTAAGAAACAGTGGACCAGATTAAAGAGCATGCAAACACCAAGATCTCATTTTGCATGCTGTGTTATATCTGGGAAGGTCTATGTTGTCGGGGGGCTCAACTTATCTTACCCCCGGGGGCTTTCTCTTGCTGAGGTTTATGATCCAATAAGCGACGGGTAAGCTTTATTTCTTCCAGGATGATATGTTTTTGTTTTCTGAAAACACATTACTACTGCAAATGCTTTTCATGTTTGTGCTGTCTGGTTTATCAGAGCTACTTTTAGTTGTAGTCTACCTTCAGGCACAAGATGCATCAAAGATAAAAATCTTAGAGTGATTTATAAAACAACTGAAATGTCACCGTAAATCTGAGGCTTTTGTCTGGTGCATTGTTCGTGACTTATGGTGGATTAATTGTTGAAATTGTGTTTGCATCTATTGATTCTGACCTTTTTAGTCTCGCATTAACCCCCCTCTTGTGTTATTTCTCTTTGACAGAAGACTGATTATCTACCTAGAAAAATATATTATAAATTATGTAAAATTTTCTTTTATTTGCAAAATTGCTTGGCTTGTTTATGACTCAATGGTTGTTGCAGGTGGGAGGAATTGCCGGATATGCCCAACCCCCAAATGGACTGCCTAGGTATATCATATAAAGGTAAATTTCATGTATTGAGTGACCAGGTAGGCTTGGCAGAGCAGAACCCATCTGAAATTTTCGATCCATCAAATAAAACATGGTGCACAGTTAACAACATATGGCCTTTCTCTAGGGCAATTCAATTTGCAGTTCAGGTGATGGGGGATGATCAAGTTTATACTGTGGTGGATTCGGGGGAGAGCTTGGTAAAAACAAGAGATTCTGTACAAGGTGAGTGGTACAATGTTGGTGCTGTTCCTCCAGTTCATCTTCCTGACCACTCCCGAGAACTTGAGGCTTTTGGTTATGGTTTTGCTGCACTGAGACATGAATTATATGTTCTTGGAGGAAAGGTTCTGAAGTGGGAAGACTCTGGAGTTGGGAGGTTTGACGTAGTGAGGTTAGCTGGGGTGAGAGTTTGTGATCCTTTACAGAGGCCATTAAGCTGGAGGGAAATCGGGCCCATGTGTAGGCCAGCAGGTGGCTCTATCCTAGGCTGTGTGTCATGAGCCAACCTTGTATAAGGCCATGACCGGGACTTAGGTTGCCATGAGCCACCCATGTATAGGGCCATGGCCGGGTAGACCCCTTGTGTTAGGAAAAGTGTCCCCATTTCAAACATTGTAACGGTTACTGGTAGCATAGCTCTAAAATCTCTAAGGCTCTTTAGGGGGGGGTGAGCCGGCAGGGTATTGTTGGGCTGTCTCACCGGGTGCTATGCGAGCTTAGGCCACCCACCATGGGCTGCCCCCCTGGCCCTGGTGATGGTGGGAGGTCCCGATGTATGATTCCCAATTTTAATGATATGTGCCTCGATTGAATGCCCGATTGTTGCCTCGATGTGTTTCTTTTCTTTCTCGATGTGAATGTGCCTTGTTGTGTGTATGGATGAGATTGATATTGATATATAGTGCCTTATTGTGAATGCTTGAGACTAACCATGGTTTATGGTTATTTGTTCAGATCTCGATCTATTGAGGGCTGACTTGGGTGGAAGCGTCCATTCAAGTGCCTCGCGGGCTAGTGCTTGTTGAGAGAAAGCTTAGTCCGTGACACGTGGTATCAGAGCACGGTTGAGAAGTGCTAGAGAAATGGATGAGATGGCCACAAGTGGTGGACCGGATCATCGGCAGAGAATTGAGGAACTTGAGGCCGCGGTGGCCGCAATGAAAACTCATATGGTAACAAAAGACCGAGTGAGGGAGATCGAGACAACCCAGCGGGAGTTGTCCGATACTCTCCACAATGTGAGCGAAGAGGCTAGAGATGCCTTGAACATACTCCACAAGGAGTTTGAGGAGCTCAGGGCCCAGATGAGCATCCTACAAATGGCGGTGGCCAGTTCGAGTTCAAGCTCGACGGACAGGGGACAAAGGCCCAAAGTACCGGAGCCTCGGTGCTTTGAGGGGGCAAGGGATGCTAAGGAACTTGAGAATTTCCTGTTCGACATGGAACAATACTTCCGAGCTGTACACACAAGTTCAGAGGAAGACAAGGTGACAATGGCATCGATGTATCTCGTAGGGGATGCCAAGTTGTGGTGGCGCTCCAAGTTTGTCGATGACGAGTGCCCGATTAAGACCTGGACAGATCTGAAGCGTGAACTGAAAAACCAGTTTTTTCCGGAGAATGTGGATTATATGGCTCGAAGGAGACTTCGAGAGTTGGTGCAAACCGGAACGGTGCGAGAGTTCGTGAGGAACTTTTCTACCCTGATACTGGATATTAGGGACATGTCCGAGAAGGACAAGTTATTCCATTTTATTGAGGGCCTCAAGCCATGGGCGAGGACAGAGCTACAGAGGCAAAGAGTGCAAGATGTGACGACGGCCATGGCTGCAGCGGAACGTCTTCATGATTTTAATGATGGTTCGTTAAAACGGAAGAACCCTCCACCACCGGGTAGTAGCTCTAATCTTGGGAGTGGGGGAAAGATAACTAGGTTGGACCGACCCTTCAGTTGGGGATCAGACAGGAAGTCCTTTGGGCGAGATAGCATCCAGCCTAGGACAAACAACGCAGGGATCTTCAAGCCTAGGCAACCGCTTGCTTGCTTTCTTTGCAAGGGGCCGCATCGAGTGGCTGAGTGCCCGCACCGAGGAGCCCTTAATGCCTTAAGGACCTCATCCCAAGAGTCTGCAAAAGTGCCCGAGAGCGTTGAAGAAGCTGAAGAGGAGCCAGCCAGGATGGGCTCAATAAGGTTCCTCAGTGCCCTTCACACCCAATTGAACACTATAAAGAAAGAGCAAAGCAGAGGCTTGATGTACGTGAACTTGACGATCAATGGGAAAACCACCAAGGCTATGGTGGATACAGGCGCAACCGACACTTTCATCACACCAGAAGAAGCAAAAAGGTGTGGTCTTCAGATTGGTAAAGACTGTGGGCGAATGAAGGCGGTCAATTCGCCAGCCTTTGCAATCAGTGGAAGCTCGAAAAGTGTGACGACCCAATTGGGGCCATGGGAAGGGAAGGTAGACTTCACAGTCTCCCCCATGGATGACTTTGATGTCGTTCTAGGATTGGACTTCATGACGTTGGCTCAGGTGATCCCTATCCCCGCTGCTAGCTGCTTGTTGTTCTTAGGAGAACACCCATGTGTGGTGCCAGCCAATATCTTGCCAAAGAGTGGGAAGAAAATGATTTCGGCTTTGCAATTCAAGAAAGGGGTAAAGAGAGGGGAACCCTCTTTTGTGGCCATGCCGATCTACAAAGAAGGGTCGAAAGTAGAACCAATACCCAATGGCGTGAAGAAAGTGTTAGAAGAATTCAAAGAGGTGATGCCAGAGATGTTGCCCAAGGTTCTACCCCCTCGACGAGCAGTGGACCACGAAATTGAGCTACTCCCAGGGGCAAAACCCCCTGCTAGAGCCCCCTATCGCATGGCCCCGCCAGAGTTGGCCGAGCTGAGAAAACAGTTGGATGAGCTTCTACAAGCCGGGTTCATCCGACCATCAAAGGCTCCTTTCGGAGCGCCAGTGCTATTCCAGAAAAAGCATGATGGGAGCTTGCGCTTATGTGTCGACTACAGGGCTTTGAACAAAGTCACCGTAAGAAACAAATATCCTATCCCGCTCATAGCAGACTTGTTTGATCAATTGAGCGGGGCCAAATACTTCTCCAAACTGGACCTGAGATCGGGATACCATCAGGTCAGAATCCTCGAGGGAGATGAGCCGAAGACCACCTGTGTAACACGGTATGGTGCATTTGAATTCCTTGTGATGCCTTTTGGACTAACCAATGCTCCTGCCACATTTTGTACATTGATGAATCAGGTGTTTCATGACTACCTAGACAAGTTTGTAGTCATTTATTTAGATGATATAGTGGTGTATAGCTCCACGTTGGAAGAACATCAAGAACACCTGCGCCAGGTATTTCAAAGGTTACAGGACCATCAGTTATATGTAAAAAGGGAGAAGTGTGCATTCGCTCAGACCCAAATCCATTTTCTCGGTCACATTGTCGAACGTGGCCACATCCGAATGGACATGGAAAAAGTCAGGGCCATCAAAGAGTGGACGATACCGAAGAATGTTAGTGAGCTCCGCTCCTTTTTGGGACTAGCCAACTATTATAGAAGGTTTGTGGAAGGGTACTCTCGTAAGACCACGGCCCTCACGGAGCTACTGAAGAAGGAACATAAATGGTGTTGGACGAACGAGTGCCAGGAGGCCTTTGAGGGATTGAAGGATGCTATTATGAAGGATCCCATCTTAGCTCTCCCCGATATTGGAAAGCCTTTTGAAGTCCAGACGGATGCATCGGATTTTGCTATTGGAGGTGTGCTTTTACAACAACATCACCCGGTAGCATTCGAAAGTAGGAAGCTGAGCGAAGCTGAAAGGAAATACACAGCCCAGGAGAAAGAGCTCCTTGCGGTGGTTCATTGCTTGAGGACTTGGCGGCATTACTTGTTGGGTGCGCACTTTGTCGTGAAGACAGACAACACAGCCGTTAGCCACTTCCTCACCCAACCAAGACTCACGGCGAAACAAGCTAGGTGGCAGGAATTTTTAGCTGAGTTCGACTTTTATTTTGAGCATACCGCGGGGAAGACTAATCAAGTGGCGGATGCCTTGAGCAGGCGGCCAGAGTTAGCGGCCCTCAGAAGAATGGCCCCAATGGTGGCTAGCAGAGCCACTACAGACATCCATAAGTTGATTGGAGACCATTTAGGGAAAGACCCGCAAGCCTGTGCCATTTTGAAGCTAGTGGAAGAAGGGAAGTCCAAACATTTCTGGAAAGAAAATGGGGTCTTGTGGACCAAGGGACCTCGAGTCTTTGTGCCAAGAGCAGGAGGTCTGAGACAGATGCTGATGAGGGAGTGTCATGACACCCCATGGGCGGGACATCCGGGCTGGCAGCGCACGTTGGCGTTATTGAAACAAGGTTATTATTGGCCTCAAATGCGACAAGATGTGATGGAATATACGAAGACTTGCCTCATTTGCCAACAAGACAAAGTCGAGAAGAGGAAACCTGCAGGTATGCTTGAACCTTTATCGGTACCTACCAAACCGTGGGAAAGCATCTCCCTCGATTTCATCTCGAGCCTACCCAAGGTTGGCGATCTTGGAGCTATCTTGGTGGTGATTGATCGGTTCTCTAAGTATGCCACATTCATTCCTGCTCCCAAGTACTGTACAGCGGAGGACACAGCTCGACTATTGTTCAACATGTGGTCAAGTATTGGGGCCTCCCCCAAAACATTGTCAGTGATAGAGATCCTAGATTCACAGGGTCCTTTTGGAGAGAACTTTTCAAGATTTTGGGGTCCCAACTCAACATCTCCTCGAGCTATCACCCTCAAACTGATGGCCAAACAGAACGGTTCAATGGATTGTTAGAGGAATACTTGAGGCACTTTGTCCACGCCAACCAAAAGAACTGGCCCTCATTATTGGACGTTGCTCAACTCTGTTTTAATTCCAACAAGAGCTCTTCCACCAACAAGAGCCCATTTGAGGTGATCACCGGACAATTACCAAGGCTACCCCACACTTCCTTGGAACAATATGGAGGAAAGAATCCCAGAGCATTCAACCTCAGCAAGGAATGGAAACTAAACACGGAGATCGCACAAGCCTACTTAGAGAAAGCGTCAAAACGGATGAAGAAATGGGCAGACAAGGGTCGTAGAGCTCAGCAATTTCAAGTTGGGGATTTGGTTCTTGTTCGATTAGTCCCTGAACAAACCAGGTTCTTGAGGAAGAGAGATCGTAGATTGGTGCGCAAGTACGAAGGTCCAGTAAGGGTCCTTTCCAAGGTGGGGAATGCTTCCTACAAAATCGACCCTCCAAAGTGGATGAAGGTGCACCCAGTATTTCATGTGAGCAACTTGAAGCCATTCCATGCAGATCCTACAGATGCTGGTCGAAGAGAGCCAACCAGAGCCGCCATCACCATGAAACCACCTTCAGAGCGTCGAGTCCAAGAGATCTTAGCTGACAGGGAAACCAAGATATCTCGAAGACTAGTTCGGGAGTACTTAGTAAAGTGGGAGGGACTAGGCCTAGAAGAAACCAGCTGGGAGAGAGAGCACGACCTCCAGAGATTTCAAAGGAAGATCGAAGAATTTCAAGCCAGCAAGTCGACGAGGACGTCGTTAGAATAGGTGGGGGAGGATGTCATGAGCCAACCTTGTATAAGGCCATGACCGGGACTTAGGTTGCCATGAGCCACCCATGTATAGGGCCATGGCCGGGTAGACCCCTTGTGTTAGGAAAAGTGTCCCCATTTCAAACATTGTAACGGTTACTGGTAGCATAGCTCTAAAATCTCTAAGGCTCTTTAGGGGGGGTGAGCCGGCAGGGTATTGTTGGGCTGTCTCACCGGGTGCTATGCGAGCTTAGGCCACCCACCATGGGCTGCCCCCCTGGCCCTGGTGATGGTGGGAGGTCCCGATGTATGATTCCCAATTTTAATGATATGTGCCTCGATTGAATGCCCGATTGTTGCCTCGATGTGTTTCTTTTCTTTCTCGATGTGAATGTGCCTTGTTGTGTGTATGGATGAGATTGATATTGATATATAGTGCCTTATTGTGAATGCTTGAGACTAACCATGGTTTATGGTTATTTGTTCAGATCTCGATCTATTGAGGGCTGACTTGGGTGGAAGCGTCCATTCAAGTGCCTCGCGGGCTAGTGCTTGTTGAGAGAAAGCTTAGTCCGTGACACTGTGCCTCCATGGAAGAAGAATACTCTTCTTGATCTGGAAAAATTATTTTCTCATGATGTACACATTAAGCAGTCTTAACCATGTTGCAGGGCCAATGAAATGTGAATTCTTGTGCAGCAGCCTCACATGTCTGTCAATGGCAAACCTTGCTGTTAAGAAAAAAAATATTGTTGGCCGCATATAATTCCCAGAGCAAATTAGAACCCCCATATTCACGTCTCAAGTAATGTACTACCTTCACAGTACTTATGCAACAGAAGTTTATCTAGCAACTCTAGCTCTAGCCCTGTTTTATATCATTAGGTGGATTTGTTATTTGTAATGTTATTTCTAGAGGAAGCATCGAAATTGAAATGCTTCAGGAGGGTATTACAATTTACAAGTACCGTAACCTTTATCCTATTATTCATAGCATCTAGAGCTTGCTTTATGGCTGCCATGAATTTCGCAAGGAGAAAAGCCAGCATTACTTGTGCCCTTGCCAAATAAACAGCTCCTCAAACTACTGGAATGCTGGTGCAGGTGCTCGTTGTGAGGTGTTGGGTCAGCTAATGCAGGTAACGCTTCCCTAGAAAGCAGATACAGGACATATTGAAACTATTCAGTTGATTTCATTGTTAGTTTTGCTCTTCGTCGCCTTTGATAGGTTGAACATTTGTGAAAGAACAGATGAACATATTTACCAAAGAGAATGTGTTTGATATAATGAAAGTTTGTATAGATATGGATGTTTTATTTGTGCTATTAATCATTGCTATATCAATCTTTTATCCCTGTCTTTCTGTTGTTTGATTGATGATCAGTTACTCGTCCATAGGCGGAGTTGAGTTTTTAAGAAATTGTCACTTTCTATTCTAGAATCTTGCTTTCCATTACCATACATATGAGCTTTACAAGGTTTGATTGTTAGCATTACTTAAAGAATGTACTAGTTTTTAGAAATGCAAAACACTACCTCTACACGGTTTTGATGTACCAAAGTAAACCACCATTTTTATACTTGATCCTAGTATTCTCTGGTTTCTTTGGTTTAAATAGAAAGTTCAGTACTCTACTTTCATACTTCTTTACTTTCAGGCAAATTCTGTCTGAATGGGATTAGGCCAGAGTATGGTTACAAGAATCTTACTAATTACCTTTTCTTTTAATATTTAAGATTGTTAAAATTTAAACTCTAATATTTGAATTAAGACTCCGTTTGATAAACTGAAATCAACTTTCAAAGTATACAAAATTTTCCATGTAAGATACTTTCCAGAAAAGAATTCATTTTTTTTTGTTTGGATTGTTTTAAAAAAAATAACTTCCTTCTTCTCTGTCCGCCACAACTAACATGAAGTAGCAGTCCACCATGCCAACTTTTCTTGCTTCTTCCCTCTCCACCACAACCCACATAAAGCGGTAGTCCACCAAGGGAGGATCAGCCCTCAACTTATCCTTGCAAGAAATCTGTCTTGTCAAATGGGTATTGCTTTAAATTTCTTGATTTTCTTGTTTTTAAAAAACCCAGTTCAAAATTTTTTATTTTTATCAAAACAAAAACAAGCATGCAAGGTATTTCTTTACAGATTTCATCATCATATTCACTCTTGAAGACCAAATTTCAATTTTGTTTTTTTTTACAGAGGTTCGAACTGTTGGATTTGGAAAGATCAAGTTTTTTTTTTTTTTTATAAATTTTCTGAAGCAAAATCTGTTGGGTTTGCTTTGGTGGCTGTTGGCCAAAGAAGAGATGGAGCTATTGAAAATCTGTTGAATTGTGGGTCTATTATATTTACGAAGGTTTTAGGTTGTTTTCCCAGGGATCTCCGCAAGGAAGAAGAGGAGACGAGTTGTGGAAATTTTCTTTCGGACTAGAGAGGATAGGAAGATATTTTCTCCCAAAACGACGTTATTTGTCTTTGATCCAAAAATTATTTTTAGTTGACTGAAATATTTAAACACCAAAAAAATGCTGAAAACAACTTTTGAAAATAATTTTTGGTTAAAACAAACAGAGCCTAAGAATTTAAAATTTTACAAACAGATTACTGAAATTAAAAGTTTAATATTTTATCAAGTTATATTATTATCGCTTTATTTCTAATCACTTTCAAGTTATACATTACTTATGGTATCTTTCTAATCAATCTTATGTTATTGGTTCAACACATTGTCAAAAGAATCAATACACACCGACGGCCTAATGCTTAGAACATTGGTAACTTAGAATTAACAATTACTTTTTTTTGTCTTATGTTTCAAAAGTATTTTCACTTTATAAATTTATATTTAATATATTATCGATATATAAATTTTATATATTATTAGTGAATTTGATTATAATACATTATTAATGATCAAATATAATTTTTTATAAATTTTTAAAATAAATATATAAAAATTTAAATAAATGATCGACATTTGATTTACTAACAATATATATTATAAATTTATACATTGACATTGTAAACTCCTCACCATCTTCCACAAAAAGCTACCCTTGCAGCCATTGATCATGCTCATTTATGCTATATTGCTTCCAACAGATTGGAATTATGCTTTTTCTTTGTTATTTCCATCAGGTTTATAGCATATTGAAAGCTCAAGTAATTCCAATCTTGAAGGAAGAAAAGGACCAAATTAAATATTCCCATTAGTCTACTCATCCATTGGTTCTCCAAATCTCTCCATCTTTAATATTTGAATTCCCAATAATTTATTGGAAGAAGTACTATTCCTCATCTATTTCATTTCTTATACACTTCATCACTTGTTCATGTTCTGCTTCCTTTTCTTTTCCCTCCTGTGAATTCCTCTTTTCCTAGTGGCTTGGTGGAGCCTTCTACTTCTTATCCTCTTCTTTTTTTTCTTCTCTTTAGTCCCCCCTTCAAGCTGAAATAAATTATTTACTTTACATGTCAAATTTGTGCTTTTCATGTCAATTACATTGCTACTTTTTGTTTGTTGCTTATGCAATGAAAATGCCATAAAAAAAAAGAAAGAAAATGGTAATACTTAGGTTCCAAGAAAGAAATTCTTCAAATTTATCAACCTCCATTTAAGTCACAACACCATGAAAACCAAATGACTTTAATTTAAATAAAATTTGCCAACTTTAGCTATCACCATTCTCATATAAAAACCCACTCTCCTCTCTCAAAACCAGCAACAGGTAGCTTACATCATCAATTTCTTCATAAAAGTTTAAGAGCTGCACACTTTTCTTCTACATAAGCAAAGGAAAGGACTCTTTGTCAAACAAAATTTAACCATTTTCACATGCCAAGTCCATCTCTTTACTTATTATGTCATTTCCATTACAAGCAAAGGGTTTTTTTTTTTGGTTTCAAGAATTCATCCATCTCTTGCAAACATTTTCTCCACTCGGCTTCAAAAAAGTGATCAAGGTGGATCCCCACCAGGCATGGGCCAGCTAGAATGCCCCACACGTTGCAATCAGGGTTTCATTGAATTGTGAGAAAGTAGGGTGGTGGTGCTGACTGCTTCACTGGTAATTGCCACATCTTTGTCAAATGACCCAATTATTATAAAAGAAAGATACCTGCTGGAAGAGGATGAATGACAAAATATACCCTGGTCGGTGTTATCTCCAAAAAGAAAGAGCCTCAGCTTTGACAAAAGCTTCCATCCCTTGCCTCCTTCCCCTTCTTTTATGCTACTCAGCTCATCATCAAATCTAGGGATTGTTTAAAATATTGCTAAAGGACAGCCAAAAGCAAAAGCTAAACAAAATTATTCAAAAAAAAAAAAAGCCAAAGAATCTTCACTGCCATAATACATACAGAAAAGAAAAAGTATCAGTTAAAATAAGCAAAAAAAATGTCTGTATTTCCTCCTTGTAGGTTAAGTTAAGCACCTTTAAATCTCCTTATTTTCCCACCATTCACCTCCTACTACCCTTTCTTTCACATTGTATGAAATATTTCTATAAACCCAGAAAATCCTATTGTTTTTTTTCATGCAAACATATAATGTGACATTGCAAAATTGAAGAAAAAAATATTTAAAATACCCTTCTGAACAAGTTTTTTTATTGTTTCTTTGTTTTTCAATGGCAACAACAACTCAGAAACTGATCGTAGAAGTGATTGATGCACGTAATCTGTTACCGAAAGACGGTCACGGGACGTCGAGTCCTTATGTTGTGATCGACTACTATGGACAAAGGAAGCGGACAAGGGCAGTTATGAGGGATATAAACCCTACATGGAACGAGGTTCTTCAGTTCAACGTGGAAAAATCCTCTGATGTTTTCAGTGACATGCTTGAACTCGATGTTTACCATGATAAGAATCATGGGCCAACCAGTAGGAACAATTTTTTGGGAAGAATAAAGTTGAGTTCTGGACAGTTTGTTAAGAAAGGTGAAGAAGCTTTGATTTATTATCCTTTGCAGAAGAAATATTGGTTTAGTTGGATTCGAGGTGAGATAGGCTTGAAGATTTATTATGTTGATGAGGTTGCGCCACCTCCGGCTGTGGCTGCGCCTGCTGTGGAGGAGGCGAAAGCGGAGGAGGAGAAGGCGGAACCGCCGCCTTCGGATAAGGCAGCGGCCCCGGTTTCTTCTGACCAACAACCAGCGCCTGCTGAGGTGAAGCCTAATGAGACACCGGCAAGTGCAGTGGAGGGAGAGCAAGCGGCGGAGATGGCGCCGAGTGAGCCGCCTGCGGGTAGTGAGACTGAGAAAGCTAATGAAGCTGAGCCAGCGGGAGAAGAGAATGGTGCAGCTAAAGGTGAAATGCCAGCAGAAGGAGCTGATCAAGTGGAGCCAGAAGCAGATTCACAATCTGTACAACCTAATGATCATGATAATGACATTGTGCTTGAGCCTACATCAGCAAATTGGGCCCCACCGGCGCCACCACCGGATATCATTGCATCAACAACATCGGGATCTATTCCGGAAATCAAAGTTGCCCGAACCACCTCTGCTCCGCCGCCACTCTCACGGCCGGCAATCCCCACCAATTATGTTTCCTCCGTGGACCCACCTGATCACACCCCAATCGAACGATCCTCATTTGATCTTGTTGAAAAAATGCATTATGTTTTCGTCAAAGTGGTGAAAGCCGGCTCCCTTCCCACCAATGGCAACCCAGTGGTCAAAATCGCCATCTCCAGTTCCCACGTCACATCAGAACCCGCTCGAAGAGCCAAGTACTTTGAGTGGGACCTGACGTTTGCATTCGCCCGCGACACACCGGAAACCTCCTCATTTCTGGAAGTTTCCGTTTGGGCGGATGCGGGTGGAGCCAATTTCTTAGGTGGAGTTTGCTTCGACGCGACGGAGATACCTTTACGAGATCCACCAGACAGCCCATTGGCACCGCAATGGTATAGGTTGGAAGGAGGTGGAGCCCACAGAGGTGATCTAATGCTTGCCACGTGGATCGGGACCCAAGCTGACGAGGCATTCCCTGATTCGTGGAAATCGGATACCGCCGGTAGCCGTGTCAATTCACGCGCCAAAATTTATCTCTCCCCTAAGCTTTGGTACCTTCGAGCTTCCGTCCTAGAAGCGCAAGATATTTTGCCGTTAACGGCGTTAAAAGAAGGCTCGTTTCAAATTAAAGCTCAATTGGGATTTCAAGTGCAGAAAACTAAAGTTTCCGTTTCTCGTAACGGCAACCCGTCATGGAATGAAGATCTCATGTTCGTTGCCGCCGAGCAATTTGGGGATCATTTAATATTCTATCTCGAGAATCGACAACCAAAAGGACCGGTGACATTGGGGGTAGTCGGAATACAGCTTACCGCCATTGAACGTCGCGTGGATGATCGGAAAGTGATATCTCGATGGTTCAATCTACAGGATCCGAAAAACGATAAAAAAGGTTACAAAGGTAGACTACATTTGAGCCTATGTTTCGACGGTGGATATCACGTGATGGATGAGGAGGCGCACGTTTGCAGCGACTATCGACCGACAGCAAGACAGTTGTGGAAGCCGCCGGTTGGGACACTTGAGCTTGGAATCATTGGCTGCAAGAATTTGCTGCCGATGAAAACGGTGAACAGTAAAGGGTCCACGGATGCATACACGGTGGCAAAATATGGGTCGAAGTGGGTCCGAACTCGTACAGTGTCGGATTGTTTGGATCCCAAATGGAATGAGCAGTACACGTGGAAGGTGTATGATCCATGTACCGTGTTGACAATTGGCGTGTTTGATAGTCGGGGAGCATTCGATATCAACGGTGAAAAAGAGGCCACGCGTCCAGATTTTCGTATGGGGAAAGTACGGATACGCATATCTACACTGGAGACAGGTAAAGTGTATAGGAATACGTATCCTTTGCTGATGCTGGGTAATAGTGGGGTGCAAAATATGGGTGAGCTAGAGGTAGCTGTAAGGTTTGTTCGTGCAGTTCCAACATTAGATTTCTTACACGTGTACTCCCAGCCTTTATTACCGTTGATGCATCATATAAAGCCTTTAGGAGTGGCCCAACAAGGGATGCTAAGAGGCACAGCTGTGAAATTATTGGCTGCGCACTTGTCACGATCGGAGCCGCCACTTGGGAGTGACGTGGTGTGTTACATGCTCGATGCGGACTCACACACGTTCAGCATGAGGAAAGTACGTGCGAATTGGTCAAGGATAGTCAACGTGCTATCGAGTTTGATTGATGTCGTACGGTGGATAGAGAATACACGTGCATGGAAGAATCCAACGGCTACAATACTTGTGCATGCATTGCTAGCGATGCTAGTGTGGTTCCCTGATTTGATCATCCCCACATTAGCATTCTATGTGTTTGCGATTGGAAGTTGGAACTATAGGTTTAGATCGAGGCACAAATTGCCCCACTTTTGTCCCAAGATCTCATTGGCTGGCACCGTTGATCGTGATGAACTTGATGAAGAATTTGAAACAATGCCAACCAACCGATCACCGGACATCGTACGTATGAGGTACGATAAGCTAAGGGCAATAGGAGCACGTGTGCAGAACATATTGGGTGATTTTGCCACGCAAGGTGAACGTGTACAAGCTTTGGTGACATGGCAAGACCCGCGTGCCACGGGGATTTTTGTAGGGTTATGTTTCGTCGTGGCATTCCTGTTGTACTTGGTACCACTAAAGATGGTTGCAATGGCATTTGGATTCTACTATTTCCGGCATCCACTGTTCCGGGACCGAATGCCTTCGCCGGCATTGAACTTCTTCCGAAGGCTTCCAGCTTTGTCCGACAGAATCATGTAGGTCAATAGGGAAGGGCCAGTTTTTTCTCTACAACTAGTTAAGTTACAGCACCCGATCTTTTTGTTAGTTTTATATGTAACTTATGTAGCTTTTTCTGCTAAGCAAAAATGGGGTTATGAATAACTAATAAATAACTTTTTTTTTTGCTAAATAACTATTAAATAATTATAATTTCTTTCTTGTTAATTCTTAAAGGATATCAAGATAAAAAGATTGGATAGCTTGCAAATCTACATAACATCAGTGAAATGATTTCTCTTGGGCCAAAGATGAAAGCCTGGTCTGCTCAATGGAATATAGCCAGTGTTCCAAGAGGCCAGACTGGTAGCATTTATTATAAGTCTAAATATTGGCACATTTATTATAGATCTAAATATAAAATTAACTTTGGTGTCACATTTAATCTAAATCATACTATTCGACTCGAGTATTATTAAAATCGATATTGATAATTTGACATTAATTAAACTAAGTTCAGAATAAATAACTTTGCTAGCCACTCCAAAGGTGTAAATACATCATACTGCACCTACTAATTCAATGAATTCCACGTTTTTGGGAGTCATTGTGGGGTAAAATCATTCAAAGTCTGGTAAATGTAAAAGTTGCTGATACATTGGAATTCAACATCGAGTTTCGCTAAGCAAAAACTGCTTTGGAAGGCAAGTATTTGTTGTTATTCAAATCAAACCAAGTTGGTCCAGCTACGCACATCTTACTTGGAGAAGGAAAAAGAAAGGAAGCATTGTCTGAAAAACTCTCTATGTAGTTTTGTTTTTTCGACCATATTGCTATATTAATGCCTGTCTTAATTACACTACAGGCATATATATATCTTATAAGCCTGAATATCAACATTTATGTTAAAATTGGATGCCAAACATTGGTAATTTAGCACATCAGTTGTTGTTCTGAAGCATTGTTGCTCTTTCTTTGTTGTTTTGGACTCTTTAGTTTCTTCTGGCCTCTTATCTTTCAGCTTTTGTTGTCTTACTTCCTTTGTGACAGCTGTACTTGTAACAGGGTTTCATTCTTTCCATCAGATGTATGAAATTCTACAATCAATCCAAAAGAAAAAGAAATGCCAAGCCATAGTTCAATGTCGTCAAACTTCAAAGAGTTCAAATGGCCTTGTTCTATATTGCTTGTCTGTATGCTTAAATGCTGATAAAGTGAGATGGGGGCAATGTCTTTTTTTCTTGCGTAATGCCATTAATTAACACATCTCAATAAAGAATGGAAAATCAGCTGGCAAATCTACATATTTACCTTGTCATTGTTCTTATAAACATCAGCAGACTACACCAACATCCGGTCCAGTCAGCAGACTAGATCAACCAGTCCAGTCTGGTCTGATCCGCTGAGACTGGACTGGCAGTTGGTGAGATGGTGATTTTTAATACACTTTACACCTTGCTTGAAGCTACTTTAAATAATCCTGGCAACTTCATTTACTTCCAACTTGCCAGGATTGGATTGGCACTTTGAAATTTGAGTTAGTCTAGGTAAAAACTTCTTTGAAGAGAAATTTTATTGTTCCTATTTCCCGCAAACCAGCTTGTTCCAGCTACATTTATTTATTCACATTTTGGTAACAAAAGAAGCAAAAACTGAATAGTCAGAAAACTCAGCCTGATATTCTGTTTTAAACCAGATTGCCAAATACATTAATGCCTGTCTTAATTTCAAATACATCTCATAAGCCCGGAAGTCCATTATTATGTCAAATTTGGAGGGTAAATATGGAGAAATTGTATTTTGGAGTTTTGATTTTATTCTGGCCTTTCTTGTGTCTTAGCCCCTTGGAACAGCTAATCATAATTGAACAATAAGTCAATTACCACCCTGTTTAATTCCATTGATTAAACTAAAACTTGAGTTAATAATTGAGCTCAAAATCTTGTCCCAGCTTGCCCAATTTGTTTACAAAAAGCCCCACTTTTGGCTCCCTTGACAGCTAAATACTTGGCTTTTGACTCTTACGACACATTTAACTTGTTCATCAATCATCCCTTCCAAGCAAAAACTTGGGACAGCCATCTATGATTCTTTGAAGGCAAAAACAGCATTATCTTTGCCAAACCATTGTAGAATTATTTTGTCCAAACTGAGACAATTTGAACAAGAAAACGTATCAGATTAAGATATTTTTGTTTGATGGAAGTCTGTAAATATGTCAAATAGACTAGACAACCTTGTAGATAGATCTGCTCATGGATAAGTTGTTCGTCCAAACCTGAAAGCTAGTCCGAAATTTTAAAAAGTTTGGACATGAAGAGAAGTCCATTAAAAAGACCTACACAAGTAAATGAAACCCGATCAAAAAATAAGGTCGAGCTTGGATTTCATCGTTTAAGGCTCAAGCCCAGCCTGAAAATTAAAAAACATATTTTTATTATAATGAGATAAGATCCATTTGTTTTTATGTTTTTATAATGAACAAGGCTCATTTATTTTAATAATTATAATATGATGAAACTCAATTTTTTCTTTATGCCAAATATCAAAGCAATAATCTAATTTTAAATTACATTCAACAAAATTAAATTGAACACAAATCCAAATAACACATAAATTTAATTTAAATTAATTAAATTAATAATTTACAAAAAAAAATTTATTTTTCTCAATTTTAAATACTAATGCTTTGGATAGCTTAAAGCTTTATTATTACAAGTAAAAACGGGTTTTAATAGAAAATGAGACTCAAAAAATCAAACCAAGACAGGACTTAAAATATTAAAATATCATGCTAAATTTGACCCGAATATGACCTAACCTGACCTATAAGCATCTATACTTATAATTACGGTTAATCTCTCAGGTTGAGATTTCTTTTATATCTATAATTAAAAAAAAAAAATTGTAAAAGCTGTTAGATATATTAAATTCAAACCTATTTCTTAATATTGATGTCAAAGTTCAGTTGTGTATGAAGCATGCAAGCAAGATAATTGTTGTACAGAAAGTTCTAATTTGTAGTAAAACATAGTAAAATTAAACTCTCTTTTTTTTTTTTTTATGATAAGAATGTTTTTATTGGCTTTGATAAATTGAAAAGAAAGTAGCAAAAATGAAAACTTTTTAGGAAAATGGAGATGGGGTTTTGCATTCATGGATAGTTTAATTAAACTCTTTTTTTTCTTAATGATAAGAATGTTTTTATTGGCTTTGATAAATTGAGATGGGGTTTTGCATTCATCGATAGTTTATTAATTAGCAATTTCTTGTTTCTATGAATTTGTAACACAATTAATACTTATAAAAGTCACCTTGAATGATTTGCACTCAACGGCTCAAGTATTCATGTATATGTTGTGCAAAGAATATAGTTATAAAAGAAATAATCTCTTAGTACTTTAATTTCCTAAAACATTTTCCAAAGGGAAAATCTAATTAAAATGTACCTCATAATTAAGACAATTGAATCTCAGCCAATTTATAATTAATGTACAATAATTTGGTCTTAAAAACATAAGTAATGTACAAAACTCTTAATAACTTTTCTTTCAAAAAATTAACACAAATTAAAGTAAGCAAAGTTTAATAGACTCAACACCATTTGTGTGATTGCTTAACTCTTCTAAGTTTTATTTCATTAATCCTTATTCTCTCTTCTCGGCATAAACACTGAAGTTCTTAGATCATGTTTGATATATTGGATGATAAATAGGATAGAATAATAATTATTTAATATTATATTTCGTTTGTATCTAAAGAAAAGAATAAGATTATAAGGAGAATTAATCATCATCTTAGTATAAAATAATTTAATTCTCTCAAAGTGAATATGAATATTTTTAATCTATGAAACATGTTTTATTATATCTTTAAAAATTACATCAATAATTTAAATTGTATAAATTTTGAGAGAAAATAATTTTGACCAATAAATAAATTATCTTATCATAATTCTTGCATGCATCAAATATATAATAAGATGACATTATTTAATTTAATCATATTCATAATATCATCTTATCTTATTTTATATAATTTTATGTACCATGCACATTCTTAATGACCATGATAAACCTCTAAAAAAAATTGTTTTCGTCTCAAATTAGAAACAAAGAATCACTTTTTTTTATACGTTTATAAGCAATTTTGAAAGTGAGTGATGACCTAAAATCTCCATGCATAAGATATAGAATATGATGTATTTTATGTTTGGTATGCGTTTAAGATAACGATTAGATTATTAATAGGATGAATCACTTTACGCTGGTGGAATCATTCAATCCTCTTAAAAATGAAAGATTATTTTTAATATATGATAATTATTTAGTATTTTGGAGCATTAATTTCACCTATTAATTCTTTTTTAGAGTATATCACTTATAATAATTGCACTGTAATTAATCAATTAAAATTTAAAATTGTGCTGAGTCATCAAAATTTTAATATGTAATCCATACTTATAAGTGATGAATTTTACATAATTTTTTATAATCATTAAATAATTATAGAATTGTAATAAAAAATTTTTTGGTCAAATACTCTCATTCTTTTAGTGACAATCCTATAATTTTTCAATCCCAATCAAGATGTAGAAGTATGGAGAAAACTTAAGTGAAGTTGTTAAAGCGAAATTTGTAAAGTTATTTTTTAAAATGATTTAAGAAGAACTTTAATAAAAAAATCTAAACTGATAGATTGATAAAGTTTAATATGATATTAATATTATGTAAAAAAATAAAAATATTATTTATAATTCAAATTTAATAGTAAAAATTATATTAATATTTTTACTAAAATATCTATCTAAAAATATATATAAACTTTTTTATCAAAAATTTTTAAATTTTACACACTGATCTATGTAATTCGATTTTTTAATTTATTGATTAAAATTTTGTCAATATTTTTACTAAAAATATTTATTTAAAAATATACATAAATTTATTAAAAAATTTTTAAATTGTACACACTTAATTTATATAATGAGACATTTCAATATACCAATTTTGATTTTCAATTTTAATTTTATTTAATCATTTTTAATTGAAAACTTCACAAATTTTACCTAAAAAATCTCATATAAAATTTTCTTGTAAGGAATAAAATGTGAAGTCCATGTAATATTTTAATAGATCTTACATAAGTTTAGATTTTAATTGATTAATTATAATACAATTATTATAAATAATACACTCTCCTTCTAATTTTACATAAAAAGATTTTACTTACAAGTGTCATCATCTCGATCGCTAGCCTGATTTTTTTTTTTTAATTTTCCCTTTTCTTGCCTCCCACAGCCGGCCTAGGAGCGGTAAGGCTGGATCTCAACTCGGCAATAAACACCTCTAATCGTGTTGTCCATTTGATTTTAATTACAATTAATTAATCCATTAAAAAAATAATCACGAAATTAATTGTTTATACTCAACATATATGTTTGGCTAAATGGTCACTTTCATAGTTACGAAAGTCCAAAAAATAAAAATTTGATTTTAAAAAATAATAATATGCAGAGCATAGCAGAATGAAAAAACTGAAGAAAAATATAAAATATGCAACAGTAAGATATATTTTAGTACAGATTTTAAGAAATCGATCTCACACGCAAATACATATGGGCATACCAATAATTTTTTAGATTATTTGATTGGTTTTATATAGATTTAATAATTTAAAACACGATACAATAATAAAATATAAAAATAATACGAACAATGAATTTAAAGATAATACGATTTAAAATTTTAAAAAAATTAAAATTTTTTTTGAATAAAATAAAAAAATTATATTTTATATTTTGTATTGGTATGAACTGTAACATGTAATTTTCGTATAAAAATAACACGAACATAATATTTTACACAACATGATAATATAAATTACTAAATCTAATTTTATATGCATCATATTGGTCACTAATTTGTGTCAACTTTATAATTTATTTTGGAACTGAAAGACAATTGGGGAGGCCATCATGAAATTTTATTTTCCTTTTAAAGAAATTTTAATTCAAATGAGCAAATCCTTAAGGATTCAATCTTCAATTCCAAAACTATTGCATTAACCATTGTGAGGAGTATTTTTATATTTGAAAAAATTAGATATTGAATTTTAATTAATAAAATTAAAAGTATAACACTATGTCAGCAAATTAAGACATTAATTTTATATTATATTCATGTAAGTTGACTATAGTTATTATTGGCTTTAGTTAATGTAACAATTGGTAACAAGTCTCTTATTTTTGTTACTTTATATCTGCTCAATTTTTTTAAGGAATAAATAAATAAATTTTAGTGCTTGAAAAATTTCTTACTTAAAAATTATGATTGTTAAATTCATCAAAAGAATAGGGAAAACAAACTTTAGAATAAAAAGAAAATATTAAAAAATTATCATGAAGAAAGAGATTTTGTTGAAAGGTTTAATCATTTTGCTGTATCCCATAAAAAATTGATGAGACCAAAACATACATTATTATCAAGGTGATGGTTTACCAGTCACATCTCCAATTTGTTCTCCTTTCAATTCAATTCTTCTTTTTTAGTCATTTTTTCTGTTCTAATACAAACTCAAAAATGGAATAGAAAAAAAAATATGAAAAAAGTTGAAAGAAATCTTTTATGAATACCACCTTGTCCTTGCTTTCATTTCCAACTGCTACTTCACATTTTAACCGTCTCTTTGTCTGTCTGTGTCTCTCGGTAAGGAACAGTAGCCATTGGAATTCTGGGTTTTTCTCTGTATGTTGCAAACTCTCTTCCATTTCTTGTTTCTTCCTGCTCAATGTTTGGGTTTGTTTTTTAATGTTCTGCCTTTTAGCTGAGAAAATATTGAAGAAGCAAACCAGCCACTGGAATGTTTTCTTTCCTTCTGAACTGGAAAAGAATGGAAATGTATCAGTCAACTTCACGTGATTAGTTGTTTACATTCTGTCATATTAATGTTTCTCAATTTATATATGCCATAGCAGCAAAAACCAAGAAAAATCATATTCTTTTAAACTCTTTTTCCTTGGAAATCAAACATGTAGTTTCAATTCTAATCACATTAAAAAAAAAAAAAAAGAGAGAGAGAGAGAGAGCCTAGCTCATATCTTTTCTTCCTTTTTTTTGAGATTTTTTTGGAGCTTCAAATACTTATAACTGAGTGCTTTTGTCAATTCCATATGTAGTTTCCATTGCATGTTATTTCTGAGCTGTTTCATAAATGGGTGCTCTGCAATTCTTAGTGCCAGTGTTGCATATTGGGTAGGTACTCATTCTTTTGTTTTTTTTTTTCTTTTTCTAAGCATCTATGGTATTTGAATGTGAACCATCATGGAATGATGCTTATACTTTTATTCAACTTTCTGTTTCCAATTATTCATCTTTTTCTTCTAATGCTAATCTATTCAAATCTTTATTTTGGAGTAATATACTCTTCCTCTTTATTATATATTGTTCACCTATCTGTTCCTGCTCCTATTTGCTTAGTTGCCTCATGCTTCTCAGAGTTATAGTTGAAGGTCAAACTTTTCCTGCATCTTTATTGCTTAGAATTGATGTTACAACAACTTTTATTACCTCATTTTGGAAGAAATGAGATCTAACTATGCACTATGTTCTTCTCTAATCTGAAGGCAATTGGAAGAAAAGCAGAATGGCAAGAGCAAGAATTCACATCGTATTGATGGGACTTCTGCTTTGGTGTTGCTTGACAGCCTCAGCAAAATCAGAATATATGAAATATAAAGATCCAAAACAGCCACTGCCTGTTCGAATTCAGGACCTATTGGACAGAATGACATTAGAAGAAAAAATAGGACAAATGGTCCAAATTGAGCGCAGTGTTGCTTCAGCTAACGTGATGAAGAAATATTTCATTGGTGAGCATCATCCATCACTCTTCTTTTGTAACCCTTTAGAGAAAAGACAATAATTATACCACAAATAGCAATTTTGAAAAAGGATTTTGCTTTGGCAGGAAGTATATTGAGTGGAGGAGGGAGTGTCCCAGCTCCACAAGCTTCTGCAAAGACTTGGATCGACATGGTCAATGACTTTCAAAAAGGTTGTTTATCTACCCGATTAGGAATTCCAATGATTTATGGAATTGATGCTGTTCATGGCCACAACGCTGTTTACAAGGCAACAATATTTCCTCACAACATTGGACTAGGTGCTACCAGGCATGTAGATGCACTTTGCTAATATTTTCCATTCTCACCTGCCATTCTTCAGTCAATCACACAGTACTAGTGTAATAATATATTTTTTAAAAAGTTTGGTTAAAGATTTTATCAGTTTTCTTTTAGCTGTTATACTTATGCGATTGAAGTTTAAGAATCTCTTAATAATTTTTTTTATACAAAAGAGGCCGTATAGATAGGGAAGGGGTTGCTAGTGCTGGTACACATGTTGGATGTCACCTTTTAAGGATAACTGCATGAATCAATTGAGTTAAGCTCTAGATTTAATCTATTAATAGTTTTGCTTTAGTTGGTTCCTTGATGTGATTATACACTGCTATTTCTGACATCCTTGGTGAAACATTTTTCTTATAAGCCAGGGACCCTGAACTAGTTAAGAAAATTGGGGCTGCAACAGCACTTGAAGTCAGAGCAACTGGAATCCCATATGTTTTTGCACCTTGTATTGCGGTAGCTTTCATTTTACCATTTCCTGTTTTTTTTCTTCTTCCCTTTTTCATTTTTGGGGATGTATGACTTCTTGTAATGGTATACTTAAGCAAAGTGAAGTGGTAATCAGGTTTGCAGAGATCCAAGATGGGGTAGATGTTATGAAAGTTACAGCGAAGATCCCCAGATTGTTCAAGCAATGACAGAGATTGTACCAGGATTACAAGGGGACATCCCAGCTAACTCTCCTAAGGGCGTTCCATTTGTAGCTGGAAAGTATGCAATTTTACAAACTACAAGTATAACTGAAATTCAGATTGAGACAAACTTTTCTTAGTAAGCTATAACACAAATTCATGCGTATAACTTCTTTTTGCTCCATCGAATGTCACGCAAAAGCACAAATGTCAAACTTTCGCATTAGAGTATGACAAAGGATTTGATGGTCCTATTCCATGTTGCTTGTTGATGTTGAATAAGACTTTGGTGAAAGTGTGTTGTCTAAGTGATGCCTATTTCTCTACAATATTCATATATAAAACTACAGTATTGAACTTGAATTTGTTATCCTATTTGTAGGAAAAAAAAAAAAGACCATTTTCCAACTTTCTAATTGCAGGATTTGAAACTAAATCCTGTCTTTTTCCTCCTCTTTTGTTGTTCTAGGAAAACTGTTGCAGCTTGTGCTAAGCACTATGTCGGTGACGGTGGAACAACTAATGGCATAGATGAGAACAACACAGTGATAGATTGGCATGGTTTGCTTAGCATTCATATGCCAGGCTACTATACTTCAATTATCAAAGGTGTTTCAACCATCATGGTCTCCTATTCAAGCTGGAATGGGATTAAAATGCATGCTAATCGTGATTTAGTAACCGGTTTTCTCAAGAACACACTTCGTTTCAGGGTATAACTCTTGCTCAAGGGATTGAAATCAAGTTTCCAAGTCATTAGCATACCATACAAAAAACCTGTGAACATAATACAGATTTTGCACATTGTCTCAGGGCTTTGTCATTTCGGATTGGGAAGGTCTTGACAGGATCACATCTCCACCTCATGCTAACTATTCGTATTCAATTCAAGCTGCAATCCATGCTGGCATTGACATGGTTTAAAATGTTGAATTTATGCTTAAACTTATGTTCATCTGTTTTTTAAGTGTTTGACTTCTAATAATGCTTACTAATTTCAGGTCATGGTTCCATACAATTATACTGAATTCATAGACGGGCTAACCTTCCAGGTGAAAAACAATATCATCCCCATGAGCCGCATTGACGATGCAGTGACGAGAATTTTGCGAGTTAAGTTTGTAATGGGTCTATTTGAGAACCCACTAGCAGATTACAGCTTGGTCGACCAACTTGGAAGTCAGGTTAGTTCATTATTAGCTAGGTTGCTCTTCAAACATTAAGATGATATTAATGTCCTAACTTTCCCAACCGATCGATTTAACAGAAGCATAGAGAGTTGGCTAGAGAAGCAGTGAGAAGATCACTCGTTTTGCTGAAGAATGGACAATCTGTCGATCATCCAGTGCTTCCCCTACCTAAGAAGACATCAAAAATACTAGTTGCTGGTAGTCATGCACACAATTTGGGGTATCAATGTGGTGGATGGACAATTGAGTGGCAAGGGCTGAGCGGCAACAACCTTACAAGTGGTAAACAAACAATTTACCCCTTATCTTTTTACTAGTACTTTTAGTATCCCCATTTTTGTTTATGAATGAGGTCGCTGTCAGGGAAAGGGTTGTAAATTTTAGAATTTGAACTCCAGTCCCGCTGGATGTCATAATGATTGCATGAACTAACTGAGTTAAGCTTCGGGCTTTTTTAGTATCCTCATTTGCAAGGAAGAAAAGTTGCAAATTGAAGATAACATCCATATGACGTAATGATAATGAATTCGTTCGGTATTCTGCAATTTACTTCAAGTTTTTGTTTGAAGTTCATAAAATCTTAAGCATTAACCATTACAAGACTCTTCTTATGAACAGGCACAACAATCCTAACTGCCATCAAGAACACAGTTGATTCAAGCACTGAAGTCATGTACAAGGAGAATCCTGACACTGAATTCGTCAAGTCCAACAATTTCTCCTACGCCATTGTTGTAGTAGGGGAGCATCCATATGCAGAAACAGATGGTGACAGTATGAATTTGACAATTCCAGACCCTGGTCCAAGCGCAATCACAAATGTCTGTGGATCTGTGAAATGTATTGTTATCATAATATCCGGTCGCCCTGTCGTTATCCAACCTTACGTTGACTCCATCGATGCTCTTGTTGCCGCTTGGTTACCAGGAACTGAGGGTCAAGGCGTTGCAGATGTTCTGTTTGGTGACTACTGTTTTACAGGCAAGCTTCCTCGTACTTGGTTCAAGACTGTTGATCAACTGCCGATAAATGTTGGGGATCCACATTATGATCCTCTCTTCCCATTTGGGTTTGGCCTTACTACTGAACCTACTAAAAGCTAAGAGGAGAGCACCCCTAAGGCTTTCTAATTGTTTTAAACTCATTTTCATCATCATTTACATTTGTCAGAACTAGCTTTAGCAGTTCTTGATATGCAGTAAAATATTTATACAAAAAAGTAACTAAAATCCCATTATTATTAATTAAATACAATGGTTAATATTTGATATACGCATCAGTAATTTCATAACATAGAGAAAAAGAAATGGAGAAACAACCATCATTTACATCTTACTTTGAGACCTTTTTTTTTCCCTTTATATATGGTTAATTACAAAATTATATTGTTAAAATTTTCATAATAAAAGAATATGCATTAAGTGTTCAACCAAGAAAAAGATCAAGCACTTTATTCTCCAAAGAAAAAAAAATCGAGTACTTGAAAAGTTGCTTACTCAAATTACCATAACAAAATAATTAATTAAAATCCCACATTAAGATTCTTAATTTATAAAAAAAGAAAGGAATTATTCACTCCATAAATCCCATATTAAGATTAGATTTGAACAAACATATAAATTAAAAGTTAAAAGTCGGTCGTGTCTAACCCTATGGACACCTCTACATGCACTCCTTTTTTATTTGAGGTATTATCTTTCTTTTATTCCTTTTATTGTGGGATTGTTTCCTAGACTCAATTTATTTCTTGTTTTTTCATGAATAAGAGATTTTTTTTTTTTAATTTCCTTCTAATTAGAGTAAATGTATGCTCCAAGATTGCCTCATTGTGAATCCTCCCATCAAACATATAATTAGGATTTTTTTGAGTTAATATTTGATACATTATAATTATAATTTTTTAATTTTACAAATAGGGTTATGAAATTAACACATGTTTTTTAATTAATTTTTTAAATATATATATTAAAAATACTTGTCACTTTATTAATCTACTTGTGAAGTTTAATTTCTCTATTAACACTGGATGAAATAATTTCACTTTTCAAAAAGTTAAATTTATTCAACTTGATCCTTTTCCCCCCCCCTAAAATTCAAAGTTTGCATATTAGGCAATCAAGTTTTAATACAGCCTTATTTGGTAAGACAGCAGTAAATTTGAAAAGAATTTATAGTAAAAGTGGCCCTTACCAATCCAAAAATAATAAGACAACTAGCATTACTTTTCCATATTTCTCACTAATAAATCATGTAACAAATACAGAATCATCAAGTCATAAACTGATATATGACCTCATCAATTTAATTGGTTTATGAACTGATTTAGAATATTGTTTTTTGATTTTATCCTATTTTATGAAGAGTAAATATGATAGAATCTAAAAATTAAAAAAATTCTAATAGGTAGTAATTAAATTAAATCATGCTGAGGTGGAAAGTGATTGCTTAACTGCCACATCGATTTTTATTTCTTGTTCTTACCCATGTTTTAATGCAAACTCATAATTTAAGGAAAATAATCTCTATAAATACCACACCCTTTCCTGCTTTCTTTTCCAATTCCAAACCGCCCTTTCACATTTTAAATCATTCTGGATTTCTGGGTTTTTTCTGTATGTTCTAATTCTAAGCTTCCTTTTTTTCTTTCTTTCTTGCTTCCTTCGATAAAAAAAAAAATGTTTTTCTTTCATATGTATGTGCCATAGCAGCAAAACCAAACAGATAGCTGCAACATTCATGTTGACATGACAGAACAAGCCTTTTTTCATCCTTTCTCTTCCCTTAATATATGGATTGTCTTAGAGCTTTTAATTATTTGTTATTTTGAGTTTTCTGTCAACTGGATGAATATGATTCTTGTTTGCATATTTGGTTGTTTTTTTTGGAATTTGCTTTGTTTGATAGTGCGTGGTAGATTTGATTCTTTTCTTTTGGTTTGGTCTTTAGAAATGTTCTTTTTTTTTTTTTGTTTAATAAGTAAAATTATGGAGTATAGTTGTGAAAGGACATGAGATATGGATAATTGGAAGCATACATTTTTTTTTCTTTTCACACTTTGATTCACTAAATCTATTTATGATTTGCTATTTATCATTTAATCTGATTTTATCTTTTGAACAAATAATTAAAAAAAATACTAGTAAAAATATCTGCCATGGACCAATGTGAATTGGCATGGTTGATTTCTGAATGGTACTGATTTTCTTTGTGGTTTGAGTATCTAAATGCAGTTAATTCCATTTGATGAAATGAATGATCAAACTTGATATCATATTATTAATTGTATTATCCTCTCGTATGCATTCATTTCCACGTTTGACAAACTATGAATCTATTGTCAATTTGTCATAATTGCAGTTGAAAGGTTGAGGTTTTTCAGACAGTATATCCTGAAACTTGGGATTCTAGGTGAGCATTGCATCTCTTGTTTCATCTTGAAGGAAATTATTGAAAGAGTAGAATGGCAAGAGCAAGACTTCCCATTCTCTTCATGGGAATTCTGCTGCTTTGGAGCTGCTTGGCAGCCTCAGCAAAGGCACATAAATATATGAAATACAAAGATCCGAAACTGCCATTGAATAATCGAATCAAGGACCTGATGAGAAGGATGACATTAGCGGAAAAAATTGGACAAATGATCCAGATTGAGCGGAATGTTACTTCAGCTGAGGTGATGAGAAAGTATTTCATTGGTAAGCATCATCATCCATGATCAATTTGTTTTTATGAGAATACATGTATGAGTATATGAGACTAATTGAATCTAAATTAACATAAAGGTTATTGAAACAAAACCTCATTTTCTCCATCAAGTTTCTTTTATAATGCAATAATTTCCCTGTTTTTTCTTCTATTTGGAAAGAAGAAAAGAAAAGAATTGTAGCAAATTTAATAGATTTTATGTGAGTTATAGACTAAAGTCGCAAAGAATTCTTCTAATTTGGCAGGTAGTGTATTGAGTGGAGGAGGGAGTACCCCAGGTCCACAAGCTTCAGCAAAGGCTTGGATCAACATGATCAATGAATTCCAAAAGGGTTCATTATCTACCAGATTAGGAATTCCAATGATTTATGGGATTGATGCTGTTCATGGCCACAACAATGTCTACAAGGCAACCATTTTTCCTCACAACATTGGTCTAGGTGCTACCAGGCAAGTCCAGATACTTGAGCTAGTTTTTTTCATTCTTACTAGCCATTCTCTCCTCAGTCCATGACCTTAAAATTAAGAAACCTGAAGAAGTTTCAGAATCTATTGTAATTTGATTTTATGCATCTATTTATGGAAACATTCTTGTTTTTGACTAAAACCAGGGACCCTGAACTTGTTAAGAAGATTGGAGCTGCAACAGCACGTGAAGTCAGAGCCACAGGCATTCAATATGTTTTTGCACCTTGTATAGCGGTACCTTTCATTTACTTTTACCTCCCATTTTCCTGAGATCTCCAAGTTGAAATCTCAAGTTTTAATCGTTGGGTGTTTACCTAATAGAAATTTTTAAGCAAATCCCAGTATATATTTGGGCAGGTTTGTAGAGATCCAAGATGGGGTCGATGTTATGAAAGTTACAGTGAAGATCCAAAGATTGTTGAAGCAATGACTGAGATTATACTAGGTTTACAGGGAGACAACTCCTTTGAATCTCGCAAGGGTGTTCCATTTGTGGCTGGAAAGTAAGCAAGTTTCCAAAGTAGGACTACAATTGTTCAATTGCTATCAATTTGCAGCTCCTGTCTGAACATAAGTATATAAAAAGCTAATTCCTTTTGTCTTTTCTCACTCTTTTGCTATCCAGGAAAAATGTTGCAGCTTGTGCCAAGCACTTTGTAGGTGATGGTGGAACAATCAATGGAATCAATGAGAACAACACAGTGATAGACAGGCATGGCTTGCTTAGCATTCATATGCCTGGCTACTACACTTCAATTATCAATGGTGTTTCAACAGTCATGGTTTCGTATTCAAGCTGGGATGGAGTTAAAATGCATGCTAATCATGATATGATCACCAACTTTCTCAAGAAAACACTTCGTTTTAGGGTACAACTATTTCCTGTAGTATTTCCAATCTGGTTTCTGTCCCTAGTTTACCATACAGAAGAATTTGAAGCAATTTTTCATACATGTTCGACATTGTTTCAGGGCTTCGTCATCTCGGATTTTCAGGGTATTGACAGGATCACTTCTCCACCCCATGCTAACTATACATATTCTATTCAAGCTTCGATCAATGCTGGCCTTGACATGGTTAGTTTGTTAACTGCTGAATTCTATACATTTACTCATTTTATCTTTTAAATTCTAATGCTCACTGTTCCTTATCTTTCAGGTTATGGTTCCATATAACTATACAGAATTCATTGATGGATTAACCTACCTGGTGAAGCATAATATCATCCCCATGAGCCGCATTGATGACGCAGTGAAGAGAATCTTGCGAGTTAAGTTTGTGATGGGTCTATTTGAGAACCCACTAGCAGATGAATGCTTAGTTGACCATCTAGGAAGTCAGGTTAGACAACTAGCTAGTTTGCTTTACAATACAAAGATGATTATATATAGTATCCTGATTTTGTCCTATCAATTCGACAGGCGCACCGGGAATTGGCTCGGGAAGCAGTGAGAAAATCACTTGTGCTGCTAAAGAATGGAGAATCTGCTGATTCTCCATTGCTTCCCTTACCTAAGAAGACATCAAATATACTAATAGCTGGTAGCCACGCTGATAATCTGGGTTACCAATGTGGTGGATGGACAATTGAGTGGCAGGGACTAAGTGGCAACAACCTCACATATGGTAATAAACAAGTCCGCCTATTTACATTTTTTGGTCTTGTTTTTGATTTGATGAAGAATCCTTAAGAACCTATGCATTAACCTTTGCAAGATCCTTTTCATTAACAGGTACCACAATACTCACTGCTATCAAGAACACAGTTGATCCAAATACTAAAGTTGTATACAATGAGAATCCTGATGCTGAATTTGTCAAGTCCAACAATTTCTCTTACGCCATTGTTGTAGTAGGCGAGCATCCATATGCAGAGACAGAAGGGGACAGTTTGAATTTGACAATTCCAGAGCCTGGGCCAAGCACAATCACAAACGTTTGTGGGACTGTGAAATGTGTTGTTATCATAGTATCCGGTCGTCCTGTTGTGATCCAACCTTATGTTGCCTCCATGGATGCTCTTGTGGCTGCTTGGCTTCCGGGAAGTGAGGGTCAAGGTGTTGCCGATGTACTATTTGGTGATTATGGGTTCACTGGCAAGCTTCCATTCACTTGGTTCAAGACTGCTGATCAGCTGCCGATGAATGTTGGAGATCCACATTATGATCCCCTCTTCCCATTTGGGTTCGGCCTGACCACTAAACCTACCAAAGCATGCTAGGCAATCATTTCTAGAGGATATCTACTTTCAGTTAGTTTGAAGCCATTGTCAATTACATTTATCAACTGATCAAGAACATTACGTTTGTCTACAGTAATTTTTACAAACTTCATAAAAGAATAAAAGATAGTTGTTACAAAGAATCCTTATCATATGTGCATATTCAAGGCCCTGTGTACAGTTTTCAATCTCAGGAATCTGAACAGCGGTTTTTGACATACTGCAACCTTAACCCTCAAATCTGCAAGTTTAAGATTTTTTGAAACCCTTTCAATGGATTTTGTGAGTGGCCAGATAACATGTTCCAGTCAGTTTTAAAAGATCTGCTTCAATGTATGCATCAGGAAACCAGCCAACTAGTATCTGCTAGCCTAAGAGATTCGAATAATGCTATTATTGATAAACTCAAGACAGTTAGATATTAAAAATATAAATCTCATCAGCTTTTCTGATGAGGATAAATCGAAATGATCATCTTCATAAAAACATGCTAACTGGAACTTTTTATTATTATCATATTCAAGTAAATCTAAAATTCTACCAATTCTATAATGTAAATTGGTAGCTATCTTTTTCACATCAAAATGATGGATATAAGAACTTTTTTTGCCGGAGGGAGGGGGGATCTATGAGCCCATTAGTATTTATTATTATAAAGAAAAATTGGAAATGACAAAATCTACCATATAGTACTAAGCCATAGCCAGTCCATATCTGTACTTACACAGCAACTCCAGTGGTCTTGTCCTCAGCTTCTTTAATCTGCCTCATGATGTCTGCCTTTTTCTCAAGTAGGGCATCTATTTTGATATTAATTTTCTCTAATTTCTGGTTTAGCTTGCTAAGATCTTTGCTTTTGTCCTTCCCCTCAAGTTTTCTTTTCTTCTTACATTTTTTGTTTTTTTCCATTTCTATCTCTTTGCCTTCTTTTGCTTTACCCATCTGCTTCTCTTCCTGTCTTTCACCTTCCGATTCTTTCTCAATATGTTCTGTTTCAATTTCCCTGGAGGTTATATCAGTCTGAGACTTCATGTCATTTGCTCCATCTTCATGTTTCTTCTTCTCCTTCTCATCCATTTCTCTCTTCTGGCTTTTCTCTTCTTTCTCCTCTTTGTCTCTCTTCTTCTCCTTCTCTTCTTTCTCCTCCTTCTTCCTCTTATAATCTAACTCTTCATGTACTTCTCCCTCCTCAACTTCATCCTTGTGCTTCTTCTCTTTCTTCTTCTTCTCCTTCTCATCCTTATCTTTCTTTTTGTCCTTCTCATCCTTGTCTTTCTTTTTCTTCTCTTCACCTTCTTCATTTTCATCCTCGAGCTTTTTTTCTTTCTTCTTGTCCTTCTCCTCTTTGTCTTTCTTCTTCTCTTTTTTTTCTCCTTCTTCATCGTCTTCTACCTCGTTCTCTTTATCCTTCTTCTCCTTCACCTCTTTGTCTTTCTTCTCTTTCTTTTTCTCTTCTTTTTCTCCATCTTCATCTTCTTCAACATCGTTCTCTTTATCCTTCTTCTTTTCCTTTGCCTCGTTGTCTTTCTTCTTCTCTTTTCCCTTGTATTTTTCCTTTTTTTTCTCTTCATTCTCATCATCTTCTTCATCCTTATGCAGCTTCTTCTTCTCCTGATCTTTCTTATCCTTTTTCTCTTTCTTTTTCTCCTCTTTATTCTTCGTCTCTCCAGCTTCACGGACCTCAAGTTTTTCCCCTACATCATTCTTACAATCTTTGTCCTCCTTATGTTTCTCCTTTGTTTTGTCCTTGCCTTCTTCTTTCTTCTGCTTTTCATCATCTTCCGTCTTCTTTTCTTTCTCCTTCTCTTTATGTTTCTCCTTGTCCTCCTTAAGCTTTGGCTTTTCCTTCTCTATTGATTTCATCTTCAATTCAAGTTCCACCTCAATCTTCTCTTCCTTCTCGTGGTTTGGCTCCATATCCTTTGTCTCGACTTTGAAATGTAGTTCTTCCTTCTTCACCCTTTCTTCTCCACTTACAATGGATTCAGATGTATCTTGCATCAGTGGACCCTCTGCCATATAAATAAGCAAGGACAACATACAACCAAAATTAATATCCAACCAACAAAGTGGATGGACTATAATCAATAAAATAAGAATTCATTAAAAATCACAGCATCATGGTTGGTATAATACAACTGCTGGCATTACACCTAAAAGCAATTTGAACAGAAATTCTGCGATAGTAGAAGCATGATCTTTCAAATTTCAACAGCAAGGAGGATCTGGCTTTTAGTCAAGGATGCACTTGTGTCATTCAAAAGTCTGGCTTCTTAATGATGGCAGTGGGAAGAAACAAAAAGAGGAAAAAAATAAAAATTCTAGAAAAATCATACTAATTTGATTCAATTGAATAAGAGAAACCACATTTCAAGCAATACGACAAGAGCAAAAACAGTGGTATGGTAAAATGACATAAGTTGTTTCATACCCTAAGCATTTTCATTCTCACTTTCCCTAATTCACTTCCAACAATAAGGGGCAAATAGTTAACATAGAAAGGTGATGTTTCGAATGTGGATAAGAAAAGGATTTTATATCAGAAACATTTGCAAAATCCTGTGTGGCCTTGCACAACGAATAACACTATTGCTATCAGATGCAGCCACCCCGCCTGCCACTCCAATCATCATTACAACCCCAACAACCAAGAGAACAAACCATTACAACCCAATGCCACCACACTTAAGACCAACTGAACCCCAATAGACTCCAACCTGCCTTCACTCATTTCTCTCTCCCCATTGCAACCACCACTAATTTTGGCCTCTCCACAGCTCCACCAACTAACCGCAATTCAAAATAATTACCCAAGCTAATTAGTGTTGTTGCCATTGTCACTCCATTATCATTACCACTGTTTTCTTTTCTATGTTCAAAACAATCAGACATTGATATTCACCCGCATGATACCAAACATGCCAGATTTCATTTAATGTATTCATCAACATGAAGATGGTCTTAAAGAAAAACAAGTATTTATCATCTATTCAACATGTAAGAAAATTCAAATTATCTAAAATAAGATAAATAAAATCTCTATTTATCATCTATTCAACATGTAAATTCAAATTATCTAAAATAAGATAAACAGTTCCATGGTGGATACTTTTGCCTCCCAAGAAACTCCCAATTTTCGTATTTCCAATGATACAACTTGAATATTGTGAGAAGAACGAAACCAAGAAATTGCTTCTACGCCATTACAAAGGAAGTTTATGATGATGATTTAAAAAGAAATGATATATGCTTCCTAAAAGGACCCAAAAGAAGATATGAATTGGATCATTCTCCTGAAACCTAAGCTATTATTATGCGATCAACCAAAAAATCTTCCCTTTTTTTTTTCTCTCTTGGAGGTTTTTCTCGAGATCATATAAAAAACCCAGATTCAATTTCCACAGAAAACATTAAAAAACAGATCAAAACACCAAACAATCAATAAAATTAAGCCTTTACATTAACAAGCAATAAAAAAAAAAATGAAATGGGTACATAAAAAAAATTCTAGAAGCATCCAAAAGAAATATAGACACGTATGTACCTTGAATTTGCAAAGACAGATGCAAAGTTCTGTTTTTTAGGCTTTTTTGTCTTTGTTTTAAGACAGAACTGGTGTGAGAAAGCTTTGGAGCTAAGTAGTTTGACTCGATTTCGCAGGATGTCTAGTGATGTCTGGAAAAATGGTAAGGTTCACTTACTTTATATAGCAAAAGTTGGGTATTGATTGAATCACCGGCAATCCTCCAAGGCAAGTGACACGCAATGGACATTGATTGTGACTTTGAAGGTTTAAATGTAAACTGCCACACGTGTGAAGCCTCTCTGCCTTTCTCATCTCTATCCGCAGGGGTAGAATATATATTTTTTATACATAAACATTTTTGAAGATTTTATTTTTATAATATTTATTTTTAATATTAAAAAATTATATCCAAGCATTTGTTTCAGAAATTGATAAATGAATTTTTTTTTTATCTCAAATAGAAATTGATTAAGTATCGGCCTCATGACAGAAACACCCTTGTCCAGCTGTATCCATGTCTTTCCAACCTGGCTCGTCCAGAAGCCAAGCTCCCAATGGCAAATGAGTCAAATCACAAAATTTCAGACATGGAAAGCCAAGGTTTTCCGGTTTCCGCCTAAAGAACCCAAACAAAAAGACGGAAGAGAATCTACATGCTCATCTACAGCCGTATCTAATCACTCTCCTTAAACTTATCAATAATCACAATTAATCATCCATAAATCCCGGAGCCCACAAATTTCAACGTCCATGATTAAATAATTCCCTACAACACATCACACTTTAAAACCCGTCTCCACGTTCAGAGGTTGTTTCGGCTTCGCTTTCCCAACACCGAAACCGATATCTCTCAATAATTTCTCCATTTTCTCTCTCTCTCTTTTTTTTTCTCTAAGAATTCAGTAAAGAAAAGGTGAAAAACCTGTAACCTAAAAAAGACCTGGTTTCAAAACCAGGCCTTAATAGTAGTAATAATAATTAATTACATTTTATGTTAGATCTTTTTATAATTTCCATTTAGTTTTCTCAATTTTTGGTTTCTTCTCTTTGAAGTTTCGTTGAGCCTCATTCATCTTTCCACAATGAACGACCTTCTAACGGTAATATTTTTGTGCTTTCTTCTCTTTTCTTTTCTTTTTTGTTTTATTTTCGAATTTTTGTTGTTTATTTATTTAGTTTCTTTTGTTTGTTTGTTTGGTTGTCTGTGTTGGTTTTTGTTTGGATCTAAGGTTTTTTATTACGATAGCTGCATTTTGTAGATTTTGTTTGGATCGTGATTAAAATGAGGAAAAAAATAATATTTGGGAATTTTAATTTGTTATTTTCTGTTTGGATGCTGTGAAAATGGAGGAAAATTAAGTGAATTGAGAAATTTGGATACTGAATCTCATTGTTTAGGACACTAAGCTGAAGGAAATCGTTTAATTAAGCAGGAATCTGTTTAATTTGGAAATTTCTTTTAAAAGAACTAATTAATTAATTAGTTGTTGGATTTGAAGACTAGATCACTAGAACTTATAGCTTAAGATTGTAAAAAAAATGTCTTTTACATTCAAAAAAATTGAAAGAAAAAACTAAACGCGAACTTGTTGTATTATATAATTTTACCTTGGTGTCAATAGAAATTTGCTTTTAGTTTTAATTAGAATATTTTTCAGATGGCTATCTTTGTAAATTTTTGGTTTGTTTAGAATGACCAGATGATCTTATCCCTCTTGAATTATGCATTGTAATTTTACATAGCTTTGTTGAATCTAGTTGTGCATACTTGTTTTGTATTTGTTGCAGGAGTCATTTGAGATCCCTCGAGGTCAAGGATCCCGAGGTGGAGATATCGAGTTAGGAGCTCAAATGAATTCTGGAGAACTGGGCCTTCAAAATTTCTTTAAAAAGGTGCTCTAGACTTCTTGATGCAGTAATTGTCATTTGTAAGCTAAGCAGAAGTATATTCAATTTGGAATTGCAACTTTTATTTCTCCCTTTGTGTTTCATCTCTTAATATTTATTTTGTAGACGGACTTAAATTCTTCCTTGTGGTATAATCTAGCTTGAATCACTGCTCTCATACTATGTTTTGTCTTTGCCAGGTTCAAGAGATAGATAAACAATATGAGAAGCTGGATAAGCTACTCAAAAAGCTTCAGGTTTCTGATTTAATATCTTTTCCTATTCCATGTATAATATCAAAGCTTCAGGAATCCTCAAAGTATCATTCTCGAGTGTTTTGCTGACTACTCTGAATTTTATAAAATGTTCAAAATAATTCTTCTCAAAACTGACTGAAACCTTGAGGATTCCTCACTTTTTTTAATCCTACTTATGGAAGCACAAGACTAATATAGAAGAAGAGTTAAATTTTTGTTTGGATCTTTCCTGAGCTTTGGTAAGGTTACACTATGTTTGGTAGGAAGGAAAGAAAATGAAATGAAGGGAAAAAAGTGAGGAATGGAAAAGAGGAGGAGAAGGAAAATTATTTTTCCTTCATTGTGTTTGGTTTGAAGCATGGAAATAGAGGGAAAGAAAGAGGTTAAGGGTAAAGTTGTAAATAAAATTATTAATTTAAGTAGAATGTGTTTCCTCCCACATTTGGAAGGATTGAATTTGGGGGAAAGGGAAAGGTGCAAATCCATTCATTTTCCTTCCCTCCTATTTCCTTCCTACCCAATGAAGGAAAGGGTGGAAAGAAAATAACTTCTCATTTCTCTTTCCCCCCTACCAAACACAGTGTTAGTCTTTTGCCCCTTTACTGATTTTTGAGTTTGTCCTGCCTTAGTATTGTTTCTATCTTTTCCTAAAGGACTGCTATGTGAAAGCATTAGGATCCTACTCTCTCTCTAGCCATAAGACCTAAAACATGAGTTTATGAAGGAACATATTCTAGGTTGTTGAATTCCAGTGTAATTTTGTTAAGTATTTCCATTTCTTGTTTCATGAATCCATGCCCAAGATAATTGTACATTGGTTACTACTTAAGAGTTGAAACTTGCCTAACATAGTTGCGGGGATGATTTGTCAATGACGAATCTTGTAGCAACAGTACTGAATATTGACTAAGATGTTCTTCTGATGTCATTTTCTTCCAAATCTTTAATACAGGATGCACATGAGGAATCAAAGGCTGTGACTAAGGCTCCTGCCATGAAATGTAAGCAATAGTCTGTTCTATTTTTTTCTTACATTCATAATTTCACTAAAAGCTGCAGGAAAAAAAAATTTTGAGGCCTGTGCTTGTATCTTTTTCTTTTATCACTTTGCTATTGAGAATATATAAAACCCTATTCTCATGTATTTGAATTTTGGTTGCATTGTTTTGAACTTGATGCTCATGACGGATGCTATTATCATCTGTAGCTATCAAGCAGAGAATGGAGAAAGATGTCGACGAAGTTGGAAAAGTTTCTCGTTTTATAAAGGGGAAAATTGAGGAATTGGACACAGATGTAATGCTACTTGCTGCTTTTATTTTGGTTATTTGCAGCCCATATATTCCTCATTTCATTTCATTTTCTTGATGTTTGGCAGAATTTAGCCAATAGGCAGAAGCCTGGATGCGGAAAAGGAACAGGTGTAGACCGGTCAAGGACAGCAACAACTCTGTAATATACCTTTCTTTTTTTTTTTTTTATTCCCTTTTCATATAATGATCGAAGCTGTTATGGTTACTAGTAATGTGGACCTAAAATATGTTTAGCAAAAGTCAGTTTATTGTATTTTTGCTGCCGTGATTAGTTTGACAAAATCTGACACAGGTTTTTAAGGATCCATGGATGCTACCATTTTAGTTGATACTTCAAAAGAAATGATTGGTTCTACTTTATTTCTTGCAATGTGGATGACTGGTGGTAGTATAAAAAGTTATTTCCGTGTTATTTTGTTAAATTAACTAGAAATATGAAACAAATAAACAGCAACAACAACAAACTAAGCCTTATATCTTATAGCTCTGGGGTTGGCTGTATGAAAAGCCAAAAAAGGGGAATTATGTTAGGTCGTAGTTTTGAATCTTTTTGCGCCACTCATTTCTCTCAACAACTTTTTCATCTACTTCATTAACCATCATATCAAAAATAAAAAACTAAATTTTATTTGTATTCCTTGCTGAAGTTATAATGCCAAAGCTTTGTATAATATTAGAACATGTGTTGTTAGCATCTTATATCTAAAAGCATTTTTAAATCTTTGCTTGTAAGGTGCTTATGGAGTGAATGCAGGCTTCAAGCTATAGAAGCTCGTTTTGTATGGCTTGGAATGATCTTAAAATAATATAGCCAATTTTGTTTCCACCTCTATCAAATGCAGTTTCAAGCTTTTGGGCATGATGGGATTTTATCATATTTTGTAACTGTTCTTATAACGGCTACCTTTATGTTGCAGTGCCGTGAAAAAGAAGTTGAAAGACAAAATGGCTGAATTTCAGGTAGGTGAGATATAGATATTTTAAGATGTTATTTATTTGCTCAGCCGGTACTATTCTGTTTTCTTAACCTTACTTTGTTCTTTGTATTTACTATTGCAGACTCTGAGGGAAACCATCCATCAAGAGTATCGGGAGGTTGTTGAGCGACGTGTTTTCACAGGTTAAGATGCTCACCTGATACTTATTAATTGCTATAACATTGCATGATATGGAGCTAACATTTAGCTTCACTGATTATTATGATTTCCAGTGACGGGCACAAGACCAGATGAAGAGGTATGATTTGCATCACTCTTGATATTATGAATAATTCTCTATCCTATTTATCCCATATCTGATTGTTCAACAATGTACAGACTATTGAAAAATTAATCGATACCGGAGATAGTGAACAAATATTCCAGAAAGCAATTCAGGAGCAGGGACGAGGCCGGGTTTGTCTTAATTTTCCTTATTTCTTCCTTGATACTTTGTCTTTCTGACTTCAGCTGTTTCAGGAAGCTAATATTTGTCCTTCGTCCCTAAAAAACTTATTTGTTTTGTAGAATTAATTGGATGTAGAATTAATTGGAAGGGTATCGTATAAACTATTCTAGAGTTTCAAAACTAGAGTTTCATTTGATAGCTTGAGAACTGATTTTCAGTTTTCTCTTCTATCCCATCTCAAGCTGCAGTGACACTTACCTTGTTGGACTTTATTAGGACTGATTTGGTGGAATATAAGTGATTAGAAATTGGTTAAGAATTAATGTTTGGTATATTTGCAGATAATGGACACTGTGTCCGAAATTCATGAGCGCCATGAAGCGGTAAGAGATTTGGAGAGAAAGCTTCTTGATTTACAACAGGTACTTGATCAGTTTGTTGCCTTGAGGTGCACCGATTTGTTCAAAATAATCAAAATTTAGATTCATGGTTATGCCTGTACTTCCAAAAAAATCTCAAAAGTTTATTCCTAAGCATCATTGCCTTTGTATGTTGTAGTGAAAAGCATATATACTGCCTGTACGGACTTCAATTAGTGCCCATTGTGTTCGATATATGTGTCCTATGTGTGTATGCGAGTTTATTATGAAATGGTGACATTTAATTATCTGATCTTTGAATGCTTTCTGAGCAATTGCCTGTCAGAAATGTTTTGAACAAAGAATCATTTCATTAAATATGCATTTGTGCAATATGAGCAGATGCATGAAAATACAAATCACCGTAGGAATGAAGTTGCATCGAAGTTGATATGGAGAGGCCATATTTTTGAAATACATAATTAATAATGTTTCCTTATGCAGATATTTTTGGATATGGCGGTGCTGGTTGATGCACAAGGAGACATGCTGGACAACATAGAATCTCAGGCAATTGAAATCTTTTATAGACTTTAGGGACCCCTAAACCATGCAATTAAACTGATTTTACTCGTCATTTCAAATTTTCAGGTCTCGAGTGCAGTAGATCACGTGCAGTCGGGGAATACCGCCCTGCAAAAGGCAAAGAAGCTACAGAAGAACTCCAGGAAGTGGATGTGCATTGCTATCATCATCCTTCTTCTAATTGTTGTAATCATCGTCGTTGCAGTGATCAAGCCCTGGAGCAGCAACAAAGGTGCCTTAGTTTGTGTCATTAATTTGTTATGTACAAAATATGTACGAACTCGGTGAATGATCTTTCTCTCGGCTGTTTTTGTTAATAATTTGAGGTCAAACCCCCCTTTTTCTTGTGGCTTCGTTGGTTGAACACTGTTATGATTGAAATTCCAAAAATTTTACAATATTCTTTTGATAGAAAATTATGATATCATGGTCTTGGTTGATTTTTGTAAAGATGCGGTTTCAATATTCATTGCCTTAATGAAAATAAACATTGAATTGACAGACAACGAACCGTAGTAAAGTGTTGTTTGACTCTTATGATCAAAATTGAAATCTTAACGTTTCAAATAAAAAGAAAAAACATTAAATTATGCGTGATCATTTTGGATGATTTTGTGTTAATTTTAAGTGGGATTTTTTTCATAAAAACTTAAAATAGTAGAAATCTAACTGCCAAGATTCATAAGCTTACTTTGGCAGGGTAAAATGACTGACCAAAATGGTTAAAAATAATCATCCTCTTTAACAATATTTCCCTCTAATCACCAAACAAAAAATATTACTAAAATAAAAAAAGTTACAAAATCCAACTGATAACATGGTAAACAAAACTATCTCATTGACATCCTTTCTCTATGCAAATTTACACTCTTTTAACGGGAAAAAAAAAAAAAAAGGCAGTTGAAGAGGCACAACAAGAAATATTGCACCACCTCAAAGATTACAGCCCTGAGTTTTAGCTTCTCTCCCAAAGCTTTAGCTTCTATGAAGGAGATAGGAGGCTGTAATTCATCACTGGATCAAATCTTTCCACTGTTCTCATGTTAGAAAACTTGATGTATAAGGCATATAAAAAACTCTTTGGTCTCTGTGACTGGAGAATTGCTTGAATGAATCTACTCAAAATGACAAAAAAATTTTGACTTACTATTTATCTCAAAAGATTAGACTGGAACTGTGAAATAAAAGAATGGCTTTGGATGTTACCCGTGTCCCAAGAATTTTCATTCCAGAAGAATTCACTGAAAACTGAATTCCACCAGCTGACGATATAGGGAGGAAACTGTATCATCTGTAAATCCAGTCAGTCATTAGGGTCCCATTCTTCGTCATGATCAATCAGCGAAGTTAAGCTACTTATGACATCGGCACCATCATCCGCATCATTGGGTTCTAGCTGTTCAACCACATCATTATCATCTTCTGCTGATTCGGTGTCATCATTTCTAACCCCTTCAGCCCCAGCTGACTGCATCCATTTGGGGCACTCCTGTTCACCTCCGTATAAAATTCTGCCATCTTTACCCTTGATTGGTTTTGTGATTTCAACAGAAGACGTTCTACAAGAACATTCGGGAAGCGGATGTGATAGAAAAGAGGTTGGCTTTGACAACAGCGATTGCCTGATAAGGCCATCTGCACTCAAACTTCTGTTGAGATGTTCCTTAGCTGATAGTGTCCAATTATGCTTGGGATGGTACATATCATCGCAGGTAATGTTGAAAAGTGCAGCAATAGTTTTCCTGTGTGATGAAATAAAATGGATGGTATCAGACATAAATATAAGGATTACAGAGACAGCAAAGTTTATTGCTTTATTTAAAGGATAGATAACTAAAAACTGATATATCCCTCCCAAAAAACTGAATATTACAACTATGATCTATATAATTCTATAGCGAAAAGTTGAATAGCACTTTAAAAATACATAAAAAGCAGCATTATCACATTCCTACAGGAAAATAGTGTTGAAATTGTTGTTCAATTTATTATCAGAAGCTTTACATTTCTCAATAGACATTTCAGGGGTTAAGTACTAAGAAAATTGGTATAGAGGTGGCATTTGGATTATTCAAAACGCAAGCAGTGTAATTAAGATATAACTTAGGAGGGATTTTTCATTCTTTTTATTACCACAGAAAAGTACAAGTTCTATTTAAATGGTAAATTGAAATACTGCTTTAATCAAATTCAAAAATTCATGAATTTAGCTTTCTAAATGTCAAACCTGTCTGGTCGATACGTTCTAGAAGAAGCCCTCTCATACAACCTTTGTCCTATAACCAAGCCTGAGAAATCCGGCCATCTACTACCATCATTGTTAAAACCAGGAAAGAATGCATCTGCTTCCACAGAGATGATATAATCAAGGGCATCCCAAAGTAACCTGTGAGCTTGCATCCTAAGATCCATGGGTGAAGGGTCTGGTTCTTTGTCATTCTCAGTAATCCAACCATACCAGCCTTCTTTTTCATGTTGGTATATGGGCCTATCAGGAGGTGGAGGAAGGGGCCGGGGTCGTAGACCAGCCCTATTCCACTCTTCTTTAAGTTGTTCCTCACTTTTTGGACGAGGAAGTTGAAACATATCCGGAGGAAGAGGTGTTTCAGGACCAACCAAGTCTGACAACTCAGTCTTGCTGCACAGCGAAGTGCGATCCACTAGATTTGCAAACATAGCACGTAGAGGGATCAGTAGACGTTGACCACCAAAAATTTGAGAACCTGCCAGGTATATAATTGTTTTAGAAGGATAGCCCATTGCACGAAGAAGAAGTCCAACCTGCAAAAATTCGGGAATAACCAAATATAAGGGAAGCACAACAAGCCAAAATTGTAGTCATTAAGCATCTTATGTCTTCTTGGAGGACTACATTAAGCCATCATTAGGCTATATTTTTAAAAGTGCTACATTGGATTTCCCATTTACATTAAGGTAATATGTGTTGTAACCATAAATACTCCAGTTTGGTAATGTTACAGCTGCATTGGATCATTGGAATCAACTCAGATTTTCTGTTTCTAAGTGATTCTTTATTTCTGCCTGTTTCCCATCTCTTTCAGTCCTCCTTTTCTCTCCATTCCATTCATCCTCCATTCCTGCATTACTTTTATCATGACTGAATATGTATGTGATTCCAAGGCTGTTGCAACATATGCTAATAAAGCATAAATTTACAAGCAATTCGCATATCTCTTTTTCAAAGCCATTTCCCTCATTTTCAACATTGCTAGCTTAAATTGACTAATTATTAGAGATAGGAAAATTATAAAGACTAAACTATTTTTATGAAAAAAAAAAAAAAAAACCTCAACAATTAGGACATATAAACTTTGATATATAAATTTCAATCAGCAGAACTGGCAACAAGGAAGGAAACAAGGATATTGTTGGGACCATCAAGGAATTGTCCACAAATAAACACATAGAAGGTACAGCAAAACTTTCAGAAACATTACCACGCCCCTGGTCTCCAACAGTGAATTCTATTCGTAACATACCTCTTCAGGCATGAGAGGACATGAGCCATTTTCTTTGTGCAAGTGTGAGTCAACGCTTAGTTTGTCATTAATGATCCCTTGCTTGATCATCTGATCCCTTCGGTATTGTATAAGTTCTGTATGAACATCCTACAAGAAGCACCAAATTCCAAGATGAAGTAATGAAAATTACAAAGAACTGGAAAAACATGTCAATTGAATTCCTTTTTTATTTTTTGTTAAATTTGAAAAATACTTCCAAAAATGAAAGAATGTCAAATGTTTAATTTGTTATAGACTTTAGGAAAAATAAATGATAAGGGGGGATAAAGAAAAGATGCAACTTAGGCTAGACAAGGATGCAGGAAAGAAAAGACATAAACAGCTGACCTGGAAAAGTTCAGCACAACCATGATATGCCAAGGTGTCCCTAACTAAACCAGGATGATATGCTAGGAAAGGTTGTCCTGATGCTCGTAGCCTGAAGGAAGATTAGAAAGCTCAGATTCATCAGAAGTAGGCATATGATACTTGTGTAAGTATAGTTACAGATGCATTAACAAACATAAGATAAGTAGCACAAGGAATTAGATAAATCTTGATTGAGCAATGGATTACTTTCATATTTTTATACTCATACTCCTGTGTCTTAAGACTAGCAGAAAGGCAAATGGAAATTATACCTTTCCACTATCTGGCGGCCAAGGATTTGAATTTCAGGACGAAACTGGAGTGCATGAAAGGCAACCCTGCATCTAAGCCTCTGAAACTCGGACATACTAGGTGGAAGAATCGACTGAAAGATGTATGGTTACTACTTTAATATTAATCTTATAGTTTGTCATTAATTCAGAAAGCATGCAAACCACAAGAAACAGTAAATATTTTTTGATAAATGAATATGTAACACAAAACATCATGCATGCCTGACCTCTCAGCCACAAATGGAACTATAACCCCTAGACAACAACAAATACACCATGAGTGCTAACCAATAACTTGACTACAAGAATAAATTAGACCAGAGAGCTAGAAAGTCAATTTAACCGAGAAGCAATGAAATTCCCACCAAGCTGAGAAGACAGTAGCTTGGAATGATGAGAAAAACCCTGATGAAAGTGGTCAAACGAATCCAACACTGACTCAAACAATAGACATAAACAGATACAATAGATTCACCTGTGAGGTGTGGGATATTTTCCCTTTCCTAACTTGGAAAAACCATGAAGCATGGTTTACTTTCTTATAAATTGAAGAATTTTTTCATACTAAGGACAGATGCAATGACTAGTAAGACTCTTAAGCACGGAAATCACACAAAGAAACATAAAATTGACTCTGACTGTCTGTTAAAACTATTTTGCAACAGAAAACTAAGGTCTGGCATGGACAGCCAGCTCCTAACCAAAATAAACTTCAAATGTTTCTCAAGAAAAGGAAAATTAATCTTTCTTGCTCCTAGAAAACATCATCCCAGGTAACATAATTTTTTTTTTTTTTTACAGAGATAAGTCTTAGGAGCCTTCATAAAAATAATGATTCATCAGAGATGTTTTAATGTGAATGCACAGAGAGAGATCAATAACATACACAATATTAGAGATACACATAATCTAACGTATAAAACTTAAAAGGGCCAATTAAGTAAGAACCAAGCCTCTTGAATTTAGAGAGATCATATATATAGAGGAATTATGTATATCTGAACAATACATGCACTTTGGAAAGCAATTTTTGCAGTTAGAGGGAATATATAGAGGAATCTTGGAACAAAGGCCTACACTTTGTCAAACATTTTTTTTCAGTTTTGATAAATATATTATGTACAATTATAAGACTTTGAACTACCTGCAGGCACCCTCCATCTGTAATAATCAACCCAACAACCTTGAATTTCCTTAAGCTAGGCCAAATTTCTTTGACATAAAAATTTGGAGAAGCAGAATTTTTGGGCTTGAAAGTAGGGAACTCATCCCTTCTTCTTGCAGCCTTCAAATACTCAGGCAGGCTTTTCACAATATTCACATCATTTTTAAGTGATGCAATGAACTGCTCCTCATCATAAAGATAGGAAAAACTCTTGAATTTAGAACTGTATAACAATTAAGGGTAAGAATATATCATATAGAGCCTGAAAATGAATTTATATCAAATAAAGTAAACAACTATACTTGATGCCTTTTGAACGTGTACTTTCTTGTATCTCTGGAATTACAAGAGTAGCATTTAGAAGCCTGGATATGGTGACAAGATCACAGATCTAGAAATTTGACAAAAATGTTATGAACAGCCAACAAGGAACAGTACAAAAGATTACTTTATAGCATCTAATAGTTCATACCGAAGATCTTATCTTCTCGTATCCACCAAAGATTTTTGCATAGATGAAACCATTATTATTTTCATTCGGAACTGTAAAAAGAGAGCTGATCAATTACTAATTCACAGACTAAAAGAATTATCTGGAGCTAGACAATTATCAAAGCAACAAGGACAAAATCAAACAACAAGTAATACTTTTGTTTAATTGGAAAGTAAACAGAAAGATTGCAGTTCTGATCAAATTTATGTAGTAAAAATCAATAATCACTGACTTTTCCCCTGATAGTTCTTTCAAGATTACACAAATCATTGGGATCTCGACCTCTCTTTTTTCTTATACATAACCTATTAACAGTTATCATAGAAACTGCAAACAAATTGTAAAATCAGCTACTTCTTAAGATTGTTTGCCCCTGTTATGTACCTCTTTTGTCACAAACTTAAACTTAAACAAACAAAGATAAGCCTTATGTGCATCTCTAATCTCCATCATCAAAGCAAAACTTCTTATACACACTCAATATGTAGTGCTATGTTGGTATGAGTGCCACAGAGATTGTCCCATTCCCCAGTCTCAACTCATGAAATAGCAGAGTTCCATGTTTCAAACAAGAACAAAAATGATATCACATACACCTCAACCATCAACAACTGTTAAAAAAGAAAAAGAGTTCAATTGCTGATAACAAGAAAAAATATCAAAAAAATTTTGTGGTTAGTCAACTTCATGTGGACACATTTAGCTATCCTTCACAAACCAAATAATGATATTTAATTCTCAAGTGATTTGGAGATAAAAATCTACCAACTTGAACTAGGGCATTACAAAATATTGATGCTACATCAAAGAGTCATGGTACTGCAACATTTTTGAAATTGCACAAATCATCATCTTTCCAGCTTCTTCTATTGATCACAAACTCTCATTCAGATGCCAATTAAGGGCAACATGATAATTAAGAATGCTCAAAATATGATCCAATTTAATTAAAAAGAATGTGCAATTCTAATTAGACTATTATCATCACCTAGACAACAAGATAAATCTATAATCATTTCATTTTAAAATCATATCAATTGAACAAACTCCTTAATGAAACACATGGGCACATTAAGTTAAATTTGGCAGTATAGAAGCATAAATACATAATTTGGTAGTTTAAGCAAAACCCTTTACCAGGATAGCTGTTTCTTGGGTTTGCATATGGCTGCAAAGACTCCAAGGACCTCACAGCACCCCATAGCCTCTTATTTCTGCCACCCTTCAACATACAAGAACAAAATAAAGATCATCAAACCAACACATCATACATGCAAATAGATGAAGATATAACATTTACAATCCGAACTCCAAAAAAACTTGCCTGTGATCCAATATTAGGAAAATCATGGCTTAAAGCATCTTTTGCGCTATACTGGACTAAATTCATACTAGAAACCTTTGTCATTGAAAGATGAGCCACCAACGACACCAAAGATAAAGTCAACACAAATAATGCAACCCATTTTATCTTAGATTTGAACACCATATTAGCTCATAAAAAAAGTTACTTCTTGGATGTTGAATTTAACACCCAATTCTCCCTACATCCAAAATCCAATATCTATCAAAATTCCAAACAAAGTCACATTAAAACAAATCAAATTAAAATAAAATATAATAAAGAAACAATCTTTTTGTTTTTGTTACCTGGAAAGTGATATAAGCTCCCAGTGAAGAGAACCCAGTTTTAGAAATCCACTTAGGAACATAAAGAACCCAGATTTGAATCAAAGATTTAAACCTTCTTTTTCCTTTTACCTTGATTTGTTTGGCTGACAAACAGGGAATTGGGAAGTGGGTAAAGTTCAAATCTGGATAGGAAGCAAAGGATTTAACACAAAACTTTAAAGACCCACATTACGATATAATAACATAGATTTGTCTCTTTGGAAAGCAAATTTGAGAAAAAAAAAAATAACTTGTGAATTTTCCTGGGAAACTGACAAAAAAAAGGCAAAAGATTGTTAAGTGCTATTTATGGAAGCTTAAATCTGAGACAAGGGTTTGTTTAAAGCTTACGTTTTTTGTATTTGTTTTTTCGTATTTTTGCGTGTTAGCAAAGATTGAACAGAAGAGAAGTGATTCAACTAAACATGGGTATTTTTTACTTGAAAAAGTACCTACCAAATCTAAGCTAAAAGACTTTTTTTTTTTCTTTTTTTTTCTTTTATTCTGATTTTGATTTCATTTTTATTGGGAAAACATTTATTTTGAGGTTAGTGGCTTATCGGGTTATATGGGGAGGATTATCTAATTATAAGATTAAATAAAATATTTGATTATTTTATAATTATAATATTCATAGTACTCAACAAAACTCAAAAGCTAGGAGACTACAAAAAGTTTGATAGTAAATAATTTGTTGTTAAAAAATTAATTAAACTTATATAGTCTTTTCTATTATGTTTAAATTAATCTTTACTAATTTTAATATTAAGTGATAAGGGATATATGGATTATAAAATAAAATAATTTGATAGAGTTTTAATTTTCTTATAGTTATTTAATTTATATAAGATTTTTTTTGTTTACAATGAAACTCAAATAATCAAATTGATTGATTAAATTCTGAAAAATTATCTAATAATTATAAATTATAATTATCTAATAGTTATTTGTTTCAAAAAAAAAAGATTTCCAAAAATAATAAAATAACAAAGTTATTTTTATTGATTTATTCAAACAATAAAAATATTTATTTAAAAATTTAAACATTCAAAAAACCAAAAATACTAAAGATTAATTTGGAAGAAATATATTATAAAGAGATTTATTAAAATTGTGGATCCAATTAAGTCCTAACAAGATTAAGGATGTCAATTGGTAGGATATGAGATGATTAAAATATTTTTCATGTCTATTTTTAGATTTCTATATTATACCCATCTCCATATTTATACTTAATGGATATTTCAAATCTATTACCATATTCATTGCTACGAATATTTAAAATGGACGAATAATCTCCATAACTTTAAAAAAATATAAAACAAAATTTTATTCTTTTAACTTTTTTCTAAATTTTTATATTGTGTTTTTATGTAATTTTTTATAAATATATTAATATATATTTTAAATAGAAATACATTAGTTCTAATTAATATAAAATAATAATTTAAATTATTTAACAAAAAATTTTATTTACTAAATATATATAAAAAATATATATGTAGAATATGGGTACGAGTACAGGACGTGGTGCTATATTATCCCTCGTCATCCTTGAATCAGATAAAAAATTTAAAATCATATACTACCACAAATATAACTTTTATCAATGGAATTTTTCATTGGTAATACTTTTATCAACAAAAAAATTTCGTTGGTACTAAGTTAATAATGCCTTTTCGTCGATAAAGCTAAATTTTCATCGATAAAATCCATAAGTAAAAAATTCATAAGTAAAATCTATCAGTAAAAATTTATCGATAATCTGTCAGTAATAACCAAATTTCATTAGTAAAATCCATTGATAAAATTATAATCTCATCCATAATTGATTAATTTCATTTATAATTATTTAAGAAACTTATAAATTAAATTTAAAACATATGAAATTATTTAAAAAGCTTATTATTTCTATTATTATTAATAAAAATAAAAATTCCATGTATCAAATCCACATAATAACCATTACATAAATCCAAATTATAAAGCTAACATTTAAAACATCTCTAACATCAATAAAATATAATACTAAAAAAATTCATAACATCTATAAAAATATCTATAACATCCACGAAAGTCCTTAAAAAAAGCTCATTGAGCTGTTACATCTCTTGATCCAAAATCGGGCTTGTTATCATCAGGTTTAGAAAATTGTGTTGGCAGAAATTGTCTAGACTCTAACAATTGCATCATCTTATCCATAAAAGACCTAAATTAAATCTTTAACTCATTAATCTATTCTTGTGTCTGAGGCTAAAAAAATGGAGGCTGAAAAGGCACTAATGATGGACCACAAATAAAGTGAGATATTGCTACTGTGGTAGTAAACTGACTTAAGTAAAATAAGTCCTTAGATCTATCAACATATATGAAGCTATATACATAAGTGCATGTAGCTTCAGTCCCTCTAATAGTTTCAGTCTATGCTTGTGGGTTAAAATCTGAATGATTGGAAGAGTTGTCACTATATTTTCTGAGATAATATAGCAACATAGTTTTCCTACAAAATTTTTAAAACAATTATCATTCCAACACAAGTACACTATCATTCCAATGACACAGTTTAATACCATTCATCCTACAATGTTTAAGCTTTCAATAACTACACTATCTACTTCATCAACAATCACAATCCATAACTAGAATCACAAAGTAAAATACATAATAGTTTTCACCTTCACAAAATCATTAGATCTCAATAAGCACAAAATATTATATAGCTCAATACCATTCATCTTGCAATGTTTAGTCTTTTAATTATTACACTATCTATTTCATTAACAATCATAAAACATAACCATAATCATAAAGCAAAATAAGCAATATTTTCATATTTCACAAATGATATCATCACAATATACTATAAAGATAGCTTATCAACAATCACAATACATAACCAAAATCACAAAACAAAATATGTAATAGTTTTCACATTCACAAAGTCATTACATCTCAATAAGCACAAAATAATAAATAGTTCAATACTATTCGTCCTATAATTAACCATTCCTCTTCAACTCTTATATCACTAGCATGAGAAGCATCTACTCTAAAATTAAGATAGATAGCATCCATAACCATTATAGTATATGAATTTTCTAATCTAACTTCATTAATTGGTTCAAAGGTATCCCTATTTATTGATGGTTATCTTACATGTAACTCTCCATGTGAGACCTAACTCATATAACTAATAATAAATCCCTTATAATAAAAGTGCTTACGCACTGTGTCAGCATTTAAAAACCATCCATTCTCATATTAGGTACAAGGATACCTAATCTTTCCATTACTTACAAAGCATGATTAAGAATAAATATATCCAATATATTCTTTTACACCATCACAGAAGTTTTAACTAAGATATCTATTTACATCTAAACGAGAATACATTAAAAAATGATCTTTATCAATTTTTTCAACCCTAATTGTATCATAATAAACATCTAAAAAATTACTTTTAGTATATTAAACTGAAAATTAAGTTATTAAAGTCCTAAAAAACAATTATAGAATTTTAACACATGCACGCACGCAAGTATATTTTGGAGGTATGTACATGAACAAAGGTTCAAAAGTCACACAGTTTGAATTGATAGTCTTTTATAAACAACAATAATAAATTATTTCAACACAAATTCTCTGACACAAGAATATATGCGATAAAATTATTTACAATTAGAGATTTAGATTTTACTTTTTAACATAAATACATAAATTCATCTTTAGATTATATTTCATCCATGATCCACCAGAAACTTTAACTTTAAATTATATTTTATTGAACTTTGGATTATATGATAACAAGTCCCAATTAAAACCATATTTTTTAGTAAAGACGTGACTATAATTAAAGTATTGATTAAGTTGAATTCAAATATTAATCTTATTACTTCATACAATGACATTTAAGATATGGCATTAAGCAAATTTAAAATTCAAATCAAATACTTTTAATATTTTTTTTTATCGCCAAACTATAATTTTTGTTGTAAAAAAAAATAATTAGTTATATATCAAGCACCACATAAACAATAAATTAAGACTACAAATATCATGACAAATTGAATTTTAAAGCTATCAAAAGACAAAAGAGAATGCTAAATTTATATATTTTTTTTCAAAACTGATATGCCAACAAACTATACATTGGCAAAGGAAATGAGTGTCAAACCAACTAAAAGGCCAGTGGTCAAAGACAGGTGCAGACGGTCATGGGCACAATTTTGGGCTCAAGGTTATGGGCTTGAGGTTGTGGGCTCACAAGCCTAAAGGCCAACATGAAAGTGAGGAAAGTGTGGCATAGGCATGGGCTAACAACGAGGAATGGAGAGAGGAGAGAAGAGAGAAAAAAAAGGATGAAATAGAAGAAAAGAGAGGCTCAAGGTCACAAGCTCACAAGCTCAAGGGTTAGTGGTGGCAAGAACAGAGCAGCACAAGCATTGGTTTATAGTAAGGAGCTAAGAGAGAAAGAAAAGAGGAGAAGAGAAAGGGGATAAGAGAAACTAAAGTTAAGGCTTCAATCAAGAAATAAAGGGAAGGGGGATAAGGATTTTTAGATTTAACTTATCTTTACTGACTCCATTGGTAATTCAATTTTTTTTTAAGTTTTAGCAATGGATTATCGATATAATCCGTTACTATTTTTTACTTTTACTGAAAGATTCCATCGCTAAATAAAATTTTTTTTCTCTCAATTAAATTCCAAAAAAAATTTATTTTTTATACTAAAAAATTTTTATCAATGGAAAAAATATGTCAAAAAACTATCAGTAAAGCTTTTACCGATGGATTTTTTTGTTAGTAAAAAAAATACCAAGTCATAATTTTTCCTACAATAACTTCTGTCGTAATGGTTTTGTGTCCGCCCGATAAATTTGAGAACGAAATGAAAAATAACGGAGTCACCACCAATTTTCTTTTGGCTAGGTGCGATTGGTCACCTATTAAAACATATCATTTTAATGAAATCTTAAAATTAATTAAAATTTATTAAAAAGATAATTTTAGGGTCTGCGTAATAGTCTACGTTCGGGAGTCGGTTATACGTGGGGAAGGATTAGCACCCCCACAGTGTCCGTTTAAAATGATACCAATTAACTATGTGTTATCTTTTGATTTTGATAAAAAACAGTCTCATTTTCGGTGTTTGAAAAATAATTTTCTTGATTTTTTTCTTTATTAGAAATTATTTTTTATTTATTGTTTCATTTTTATTTGAGAAAAATAAATTAGAACATTTTTATTGAAATAATTCTTAAAATGTTCTAGTACATTAGTAACATTAGAAGAATTTTTTCTCACCTAGAGATTTATTAGGCATCGCTTCTCGAAATACCTTAGAATCACATCCTTAGAGGCTCAAATTTACTTTTCATAAAAAATTATATCGTGCATGCAATGCAAAATGTTACCATGTTGATACACACATTTTATTCTCTTTTTTAGAAATTTTATTAGTTGTTTTATTTAATTTTTTTATTTTTTAAATTTTGAAGGAAAAAAAAATTTTTATTATACTGAAGTTTTTCTATAAATATT